TAACACCCTAACACCCTAACACCCTAACACCCTAACACCCTAACACCCTAACACCCTAACACCCTAACACCCTAACACCCTAACACCCTAACACCCTAACACCCTAACACCCTAACACCCTAACACCCTAACACCCTAACACCCTAACACCCTAACACCCTAACACCCTAACACCCTAACACCCTAACACCCTAACACCCTAACACCCTAACACCCTAACACCCTAACACCCTAACACCCTAACACCCTAACACCCTAACACCCTAACACCCTAACACCCTAACACCCTAACACCCTAACACCCTAACACCCTAACACCCTAACACCCTAACACCCTAACACCCTAACACCCTAACACCCTAACACCCTAACACCCTAACACCCTAACACCCTAACACCCTGATTTGATTTTGGCTTGATTCCATATTGCTATAAATATTTAAGTATTTATTAAATTTTGAATTAATCACTAATAATCTCTCAGTCTCTACTCATGAATTAATAGCTTAATGCTAAAGCCTAATGTGTGCATAACAATTTATAGTTCTGAGAGTGCATGCGCTTGATCAATTGATCATAAAAAAAATCTATAATTATCTTGATCTATTTTGAGTTATCAACATTTTGAATAAGCTTGTAAAAGATAATTTGCAAGCGCGTAAGTAGTTGATTGAAGAAATACCAAGATAATGTCAGAATTGAATTTTTATATAAGACTATCTCTGTATCAATAACTTTATGAGCAAAGAGAGTGCACTCATTATTAAACTAAATAAATAAATTATAAATTGCAATTCTTATTCCATTAGCTTCAACGGATTTTTGGTATTTATGCTTTATTCACTTTACTATATTTAGGATTTATTTGAAGAAGGGTTCAAATGAAAATGGCTTTAAAACTTATCTATTTCGTAATTATTATATGATGGCGAAGAAATGCTTCAAGCCAGGGTGTATGAATGAGGTTGAGTATGCATGCAAATGCTCTTTTCCTGAAACTTTGTTGTGCATAGAACATATTGGAGAGCATGAAAAATTGCCTAATAGAGTTCATAATGTTGAATCAATTTTTATGCAGCCTTGTGAAGGGACAAAAGAAGCAATCCTTGAATTCCTTACAAAAGAAAATTCAAAATTTAGCGAGTTACGAAAAATAATTATAGATTCCAGCAGCCAGTGTCTTTCCAATTCAGAGAAAGATTTAGGGGATTTTTTAAGCAAGTTGGATTGCTATGTAGATGAAATAAATCATTTCTTTGCAAAGATTTCCCAAGCTACAAATTTATTAAAGTCAGAACAAGATCCAATTTTAAGATTATTGAGTTTACAGCCTCAAGAAGCTATTGAGAAAATGAAATTGATGACTATAGCTAGCAGAGATTGATACAACGGTGCAAAGCTGTTTTATATATTTAACCAAAAGTTAGAGAGTCTAAATAGATCCTTCTTTACAGAAATATTTAAGGCATATCTAGAAAAAAGGGATATGCAAAATGCATCTGTAATGCATAATAAAACTAGCAAGCCAACAAGTATAGAGTCAGCAAACGTTAAAGCAAGCTTGCTTAATTCTCACATAAGCAATGCTGCTAATGATCTCAAGAGAGTTCCCAATAAAACAGAAAGTGCTTTAAACGATATAGACATCTTAAGAAATAAAACAGCGGAGATTTTGAGTAGACCAAACAATCCAAAATTAGAAAAAGATTTCAGAGCAACTTGTTCAGCAATTCAGACCCATTCTAGCCTTCATGATCCACCACTAATGCAAGCTTACCAAGATTATCTTAAAGCTTATCAACAAAAGACATCTCTTTATAATATTGCAAAAGATAATCACAACAGAGTTTATTTGCACATTTATAACAGTGAAACTGAAACCCTAGAAGACATATTCTTGCAGAACAAAAAAAATTCACTAGACTCAGTCACTTGCATAACTCAAGTTCCAAATGGTAAGCTATTCTGTTTTGGCAATGGCTGAAAATCTGGAATTACAGTGCTGATTGATGCGGATGGTGAAGCTGAAATTCTGCCATCTGGAACTCCTTGCGGATACTCATCATGTATCTATTTCAAAAACAGTGTCTATTGCTTTGGAGGATTTAATAATGAACTCAAAGATTTATCTCTATCCATAAGATTTGATTTGGATCAAAATCGATGAATACAATTAACTCCAATGCCAAGAGCTGATTATGGATGCAATAGTATAATATTTAATGGAAATATTTTGATTTCTGGAGTTATAAATAGAAATCTTTTGCTATACTCAATTGATATTAACTCTTTCTCGACAATTCCTTATGAGTTCACAGCGCATAAAAGAAAGATCCTGATAAATGAAAAGAGACTGTATCTGATTGAATGTCCTAATGGATCAATCTATGAAAGCGAAATTGGAAGCTACTTGAATTGGAGGAGAATATCAGAATCAAAAATCAATTGTGTTCCTGATCAAATTTATTGTTCATATAATAAAGGATTTATATGCATCTCAACTATTTCCGCATCTTCATCAGCTAGAGAATATTATTATTTTAATTTATGACAAAAAAACATTATTGATGTTGCTTATTATAATACACATGTCTCAATTAAAAGAGTAGGCAACAAGATTGAAGCAATAAGATGATTTAAGCAGAATAAGATCGATCCTTATTATCTAAATGAGTGCAATGCAAAAGGAATTGCTTTAAGCGATTTAGGAAAAAATCTAGAAGAAATCGAATGCATTGACCAAGTAATCAAAATCAATCCAAAAAATGCTAATTATTACAATAATAAAGGAAAAGCTTTTTATGATATAAAAAGATACCGAGAAGCAATCAAATGCTATGAAAGAGCAATCATACTCAATCAAAAAGAGGCTAATTTCTACAATAATAAAGGCAAAGCCTTTTATGATCTAAAAAGATACCTAGAAGCAATCAAATGCTATGATGAAGCAATCAAATTCAATCCAAACGACGCTGATTTATACAATAATAAAGGCGATGCTTTTTATAGTTTAGGAAGATATCTAGAAGCAATCGAATGCCATGAAGAAGCAATCAAACTCAATCCGAGCAATTCTGATTCCTACTATAAGAAAGGATATGCTTTAAATGAATTAGGAAGATATCCAGAAGCATTAGAAAGCTATGAAGAAGCAATCAAAATCAAGCCATATAAAGCCAAGTATTATAATGATAAAGGCACTACTCTTTATGTTTTAGAGAGATATCAAGAAGCAATACAATGCTATAATAAGGCAATGATACTTGAACCCAATAATCCTTTGCATTTCTGCAACCGAGCTAGAGTATTTAATAATCTCAGAAAAGAAGTAGCAGCTTTGCAGGACTTTAATAGGGCTTATAATTTGAGAGGAAAAAATCAAGAAAATGTTTTTATCACTAGGAATGAATGGAACCTTTCTGAAAAAGAAATCAATTTTATTAACGACTTATTAGGCCAAGATCGTATTGAACTACGCCAAAAAAGCAGATTTAGAATAAAATTTGGTTATAATAAGCCATTATAATAATTATATAAGAATATCCATGCACCTCTCATTTAACTCTATCCTCTGAATCTCACTTTGGGAAGCATTTAAAGCTTCCCGGTAAGGTTCATGCCGTTGAGATATTTTTTAGATCAGTTTAAAAAGCGACAAAAGATTCAGTTCTTAGATTTTTAGAAAAGAATAGACAAAAATAGCAAGCTGAATGGAAAATCCTAGTATTCTTTAGCCAAAAGTTTTTAGTCGAATCAAGAAACAGCTTTAAAGAATCAGTCTCAGATGAATTTACCAATTATTTTACAAACTCAATTCTTATCAAAGTTAGAGCAGCATCCAATTGTCGGACTATTAAATTTACACGCTAATAAAATGAGTTCACTGTGGCTCTGAATACCTTACAGTAATGTCAAATAATAATGCCGGGCTATTCTGTGAAATAGGAAGACAAGTCGATGCAGTTATCAAGAGCTTTCACGAAGAAAAGTCTAAGGTTATTCCACATGAGATGCTATCTGAATTGAAAACACTCATATGATTTCAAAAGGATTAGGAATAAATTTAGATTTGAAGATTTAAGAAGGAATTAGAATTTACAGCTAGCATTAAACAGTTGAAAATAGGGTTATCAGAATTGATCCAAATGATGCACCTGCATACAATAACATAGGAATTACCTTCTAAAATAAAAAGAGATATGGAGAAGTAGTAAAAACATTATAATGATGCAATTAAAATTAACCCTATCTGTGCAATTTACTATTCAAAAAAGGAGATGCTCTATATAAGTTAGGCAGAAGAGAATATCTATGGAATGCTATAAAAAAGGCATCAGAATTGATCAAAATGATGCACCTGCATACAATAAAATAGGAAATATCTTCGATTATAAATAGAGATATGAAAAATCAGTAAAACATCAGGACAATGCAATTAGAATCAACTCGAACTGTGCAAATTGTTACTATAATAAAGGATGTGCTCTATATATATTAGTCAGATGAGAAGAAGCTTTGGAATGCTTTAGCAAAACAAAGAGTTTTGAAAATGCATAATCTTATCAATAATAAAGTATATCTGCTAGAGCTCATTCTTATTAGTATATATAGATTTATATAATATAAGAGTTAAAGCAAATTTATTAAAGATTTTTAAAAAACAACTTTGCTCAATTTTGTAAACACCTGGTATTAAACATTATAGGATGCCCATATGCTCTTGCTTCTTCAAACCATGTTGCAGAATCTTTAAAGGAATTTCACCTTGATATCGTATACCAGCAAAGCTTCTGATATGCAATAGATCAATTTTTACTAGGAAGGCCAGAAAATTTGAGCGATGCGATATTTAATTGCGACTTTTTGCGTTTTTAATGCCAACAATTTTTGAGCCGAAAGCTACACTTATGGTAGCAAAATAATCCTCTCTAAAGCATTATCAATAAAATTATAAGCAAGACTTTCTGACACCAGTATCTCCTATGATAATAAATTTAAACTGATAAGTGTATGCCATTATTAATTAAATTTGCAAACAAATTTATTTGATGCATAGAGTTATAGGATAAATCATTTTACGCAGCTTATTATATTTAAAATTTTAATTTAATTACTATAATCTCTCATAAAAGTCCACCAGTTTCTTTAAAAATCATTTTGGAAATTTCTTTATTGATATTTAATTGTATCTACAATTATTTTGGCGCGCATGGTTGAAAACTTTGTTGACATTCCAGATGATTTTTGCTGCCCAATAACAGGAGACTTAATGGAAGATCCCGTTGTGGCAGCAGATGGTCACAGTTATGAGAGAGAATCAATTACAGCTTGATTTCAGAGGAAAAAAACTAGCCCACTGACAGGCTTAGCTTTAAAAAGTACAGTCCTACTCGATAATCATAGCTTAAAAGCAATAATCAACAAATTTAAAGAAAACATTCCAAAAATTCAGCTGGAAAATCAAATTAAAATCGATTTACTAGAAGCCATCAATATGAGAGAAGCATTTCTTGAGGATCACCTGAAAAAGGAAAAAGAGCAGCTTGGAAATCTTGCTAATTTGTACGGAGAAGAAAAAGAAAAAAATTTGTCGCTCGAAAGAAAGCTTGCTACTTATCTAAAACAGATTAAAAATCAATCAGATATAATTGATACTCTCAATAAAGATGCTGAAGATCTCGTAAGAAAAAGATGACGAAATAAAGTGACTTTATGAAGAGTTGGGGAAGTCTCTTGACCATAAAGATAGTTTTAAAGGAGCTTCTCACATTAAGGACACTCCGATAATCTCAAACTTGTATAAAATTAAGAAGTCTTTTTCTGGACTAGAAATTGGTGGAATTTTTAAAGAGTTTGTTGAAGAGAAGTTTAATGTGTTTGTATGCCATCTAAATGAGATCAAAAAACAGCTTAAAGATTGCCGAAAGAGGATCCATTCGAGTAAAACTCGCGATAAGCTATCAGAAATTGAAGCTTCTGTTTTGAATCTCATCCTGTGTATTGAGATAAGTAAAAACGAGTTCTACGATAGATTCCAAGGGCAGGAGACAGAAATTAAAGAGGATTTTTATAATTCTCAGCTGAATCTTAGCGCCATAGAAGATCTTAGCCTTGACTATGATTCAAAAATTCAAATAATAAAAATCAAACTCAAAGCATTATTATTAATCTCAAACTCAGCGAATAGTCAAGAAATAGAGCGAGATTTCAGAGAAATGATAGCATTAGAGAATGAGATTGAGAATTTGGCAGATTCATTATTATACACTTATCTTTACCAAGATTACAAAGCCGCTTATTGTCGAATAGCATCTCTTTATGCTATTGACACAATTAGCAATAGAACGAATTTGTTTATTTATGACACTGAACATGAAAATAGAGAAGAGAAACTCTTGGAGACTCCGGAACCATTAAACTCTGGTACTTGCATAGCTCAGCTTCCAGATGGCGAGCTATTTTGCTTTGGTAGATCTCCTGCTTCTGGCATTTCATTGAAAATCTGTAAAAATTATAGAGTCCAACAGCTGCCATCTGGAACCCCTTGCTTCCATTCCTCAGCGATTTATTTTAATAGAAAAGTATATTGCTTTGGTGGTGAAAATAATGGCTCTTTAGCTTTATCTTTATCTTTGAAATTCGACTTGGGTGTTAATATATGCTATCTATTAACTCCCATGCCTAGAAATGACTGTAAGTGCCACTGTATATTATGAAACGATGATATATTGATAGCGGGGTTTTATAGTGCAAATCTTTTAAGATATTCAACCAGCAGCGACTCTTTTTCAAGCGTTTCTTATAGCTTTGCAGAGAAAAAAGAAAAATTTTAATAAATGTTGAAAAGTTATATTTGATTGAATGCGGCTTATCCGGAAAGATATATGAAAGTGAAATAAATAACGAAAATGGTTGGAATCAAATAGGGAACTCAAGAATTTCTGATAGCTCACCTAATCAGGTTTACTGCTCATACAATAAAGGTGCAATATATATTGGCTGCGTAGGGTTTTCTGAAAACTACTACAGGTTTAGCCTAAATAATAGAGCTATTGAAAAGATATTATAATATGGCACTAATGGTAATAATTAGCATTATTTATTTTTATTCCCCGCTTAATACATACTAATAACAATCTTTACCACCATAACTTTAGCATTAAAAGTTAATAAACTGTCTTTTCTCTAAATCAAATTTGTAATATCTTGGCTGAATATCTGTTATGATATAAATTACGCCTTTATTATATGAACTATACACTTGGGCAGTCCAGCTCTTTATTGAAGAATTTCCTATGATATCCCAATTGTACTCATCCTTAATCCCGCTTTCATAGATTAATCCATTCGGACACTCAATCAAATACAGCCTTTCTGCTGTACTTATCAAGATCTTTGCTATATGTTCAGTAAAGCTATAAGGAATCGTTGAAAAAGAGGATACATAAACTGAGTATACCAAAAGATTAGTGTTTTTCAATCCAGAAATTAATATATTCCCATTAAATATAACACTATTGCAGCTATAATCTTTTAATGGCATTGGATGCAATTTAAATCACCGCTTTTTTTCTATATTAAATCTACTCGACAAAAATAGTGGGCTATTGTGGTTATATCCTCCAAAGCAATAGACATTTCTGTTATAATAAATAGCTGACGAGTATTTGCAAGGCGTTCCAGATGGCAGCAATCGAATTCTATGATTATTATCAATTATTAAGGTGTAGCCCAGGAATGATTAAGGATCGCCTTGGCTATAGAAACTCAAGATTACTTAATATCTCATATCAAGTGTGTTAGGTAGCTCCTCGATTGGCTCTCCAAATTGTTTATCCAACTGAGAAGGTGCTGAGATGCTTTTGGCCCAGGACGATTCAAAATTGTTCCTTGACTATAATCCCTGACAGTTCATAATTACCAAAACAGAATAGATCGCCATTTGGCAATCGAGCTAGGCATGTCGTGCTGTCTATTTCTGGAGTCCCGAGCGTTTTCACTTCTTCTATTTCGTTTTCAGTATTATAAACAATCAAATTGACTGTTTTATTAAGTCTACGGATAAGATAAAGAGATGTGAGCTGATTATAAGCTCTAACATATTCTTGAAAAGCTTCAGTTATTTCCGAGCTGGAAATAGAGCTTTCCTTATATAAAAAGCAAGCTTTTCTAAAATTTTCTTCTGCTTTTAGATTATTGGCTTGGTTCATAATAAGAATATGCCTTAGGGATTTTCATTTTTCAGGATTAAATAATCAATTTTCGTTTTGACTGAGCAGCCTTTGAGTGTCATTTAATTCGTTATTAAGGACTTTTTCTATAGGGCTTAGTTCGGAGCTAAGCAACTTTAGTTGATATCTAGTTTTAAAGTCCATATTACTACTTTAAGCTTCTATTTTATAAGTTACTTTAATTTATGATCATCGTAATGATCTTAGAATTATTAAAATGGCAGTGTATATTTAAGCCCTCTATGCCCTGCGAGTTGACCCAAGCCCCAAATGAAGGTGGATCCCAATGGCTAGTTCTTTGGGGGTGGATTTTTTGGTGCTAATCCTTGCTTTCTCGACCCACTGATGGCAGATCAGGCGAATATCCTTCCATACTTATTGGTTGGCAATATTTAGTCTGCAATAGAGCTAATGCAGGCAAAGAATGAGATTTTGAGCGATTCAGCAATACATCAAGCCCTACTGGGGTAGCAGTTCTTAATTGTTGGTCAAGTATCAAGGCCTGGATTCTTAAGTCTCCCCGCAGACTGTCTGGTGTCACCATTTTTTGGTGAAGTTGACAGATAAATGGCGCTAGTTAGTGTCTAGTGCAAACTGAGCGTGAAGATTACTCGCTAAAGGGTAGGACTGAAATGAACTCAATAATTTGCTAGAATTAATCTTGATCGTAAGATTCTTTGCCTAAAGGAAATATTGCCTCAGAGCTAAATTAGCTATGGCTATAATCGAGCATTAAATAAATTTATAAAGGCAAGTCACCTATATCTTCACTCAAGGAGGATATATAGGTAAATAAAAAATAAAATAAGGTTAATTTAGCCATAAATCTCAATTGAACGAACCTACACTTTATTTAGCCCTAGCAATAATTTTTTTATCGAGGATTGAAAAATAACGATTGTCAAAGAAAATTGTGATCTATAACCCGCTTGCAGATTGCATTTACAAAGGATAGTAATTCAATAACTAATAATTATTATAAAACACTATTGATTATAGCATCTTCATATTGCAATTAAACATGCTCCTCACCTAAATTGAGATGTTCATTATATTGATCAGAATTAAGTTGTTTCTTTGTGCAAAATTTTTAACTTATCCCTTACTCCCCCCCCCCTCCGTGAGCGAACAAAAAAATTTTGTTCGCTCACGGAGGGGGGTTAATTTTTTTTTTAAAAAAAAATTATATATAAATTTTATAAAAAAATATTTTTTTCGAAATTTAAAAAAATCCTAATTTGCAAAAATTGGGAAGCAAATATTAATTTAATTTGCAAAATTTATGTTTTAAAACGCAATTTGTTTAAAATTAAACAGAATTAGCTCTAGATTTCATTATACTAATTTATCACTTATATATCAAAATTTTTTTTCCATTAAAATTTTTTCTATTAAAAAAATTTTTTGTTCACTCACGGAGGGTGGGTTTTTGGTCAAAAAATGGGCGATTTTTCTAATGGTTTTGTTCGCTCACGGAGGGGGGGGGGGGGAGTTAGTATTTTAACTATAAAATTTTCGAAAAAAAATTATTCCAATTTAAAGCTGGTTTAAAGTACCAAAGAAAAGAAATTACTGATATTTGTTCCGATTTAAAGGAGGGAGTTAACTAGATATCTTATAATTATAAAAAACTACAAAGCATTGCCATTTTTCTCTGCGTCAGCAATTTCATTGTTTTTCAATTCTAGACTAATACTGCTCAAATTGATACTTATGGCATGGTTTTTTTGGAACTCATCCCATAAACTCTGAACTGCGATAGAGTTGATCTCTCCAGGACAATTATTAATGGGGCATCTAATAGCTGGTTCCATAGAATTTTCATTGATATTCTTCTCTAAAAAATGCTTTAAATCAACTTTACAAAAATAGTGATCGCAAGGAAACCCTATTAAGGCTTTTGCAGGAAGCATGCTTGCACAAATTCCGCATTGTTTGAAAGGGCCAAATGCTGAATAAGCAGCTGTCTCTTTCGATTGATAATCTTTATCGGGAAAATTGTTGGAAGCTACTTGTGCCTGCGCTTCTTCACGTGTTCGGAAGTCTTCCTCTTCCAGCGTTTTTTGGACTGATTTGCGACTTTTTCTGATTTTTATGAAGAGAATAGCCAAAAATGCTACCAAAGCTATGAAGACTGCTGACACAGGAAGTGCTATAGCAAGGATTAGCTTCCAGTTGTCATCTGAACTATCAGAAGAGCTACTGTTATTAGAATTTGTACCACCTGAATCTGTTGAATTAGGGGTACCTGAATTATTGGACCCTGAGCCTGTTGAATTATGGGTACCTGAGCCATTGGATCCTGAGCCTGTTGGTGGATTGGTCGTCCCAGAGCCATTTCCTGAAGTTCCTGAACCGCTACCTGAATTTGTGCTGTTAGAGCCTGAAGTAGAGTTTGTTCCAGAAGATCCACTGCCAGAACTGTTTGAGCTAGAAGAATTATTATAGCTTATCTGAGATGTATGTCCGACAGTAGCAAAGCCGATTTTCATGTTATCCATGTCATAAAGTGAATAAAACCTTCTTAGGAAAGGATCACCCAATACTCATGCATTGGATATATTGGGTATGGCTGAATAATCAAAGGTTGGGACGCAGAATAGACCACTTTTCATCAAATACGCTGTTGGTTTGACTGTAAATTTTACTCCACTAATTTGGAGTATAAAATCAGGATAATTTGAATTGCAATTGCAAGAAAGATCTTTATCATTAAAACCGAAACAGTTATAATTATTGTGCAAGCGCTTCAAAATATCATTAATGATATCTGTTGGCCCTAAAATAAAGCTGGTCCCAGGCGTAATTATTGCTGCAGATCCGCTTGTATAAATAACCCCGTCAAAAGAAGCACTATCGAAGTCCATTTGCCAAGATCCATTTGAATTTGCTGCTTTAATATATGTAAAATTGCTTTCTGCTGAATATTTATTTATATCATGGCCATCAATCATCAGCACTGATGGGCCATAATCAGGCAAGTCAGATGGACTGTTGCAATCATTTAAGTAAATCGAAAAAATCTTATGGCTAATGTCATTCTGGGCATATAAAATACTCAAAATAGAGGGATTTTCATCATTTGAAGTGGTAAAACCTAAGCCAAGTATACCATCCGACTTAAGGGTATCTATACCTGACTCCTTGTTGAGTAAAAGTATTCCTTGGGATTCTGCAACAACATCTCCTAATTTGACTGTGTCTTTCCCTGTATATCCTTCTAACTTGCCTAAGGTCAAATATTTATTCCCACTTTGAAAGGTTGATGAGCTGTTGGAATCAAATTTGATTGTCGAATCCCGACATTGAGAACAGTTTTTATTATCTATAAAAATCCAAGAATACTTTAGTGATACCGCCGCTGTAAAGTTTTGTGGAGGTGTTCCAACTCCAATCTGAGTGTAATATTGATACTAAATAGAGCGTACGTTTTCATAGTTTGTCACCGCTGATGAAGATGAAAGTCTTCTGAGTGAAAAGGGATGAGGTTTATTTAAAATGTTTGTTAAGGGTTTCAGTTCTTTATACAGAGGGACGCTGATTAAGGCTTCTGCTAAAGAAAGGAAGATAAATAAAATGATCATTGATTATTTATTATGGGATGGTGCCATGAGTTTATTCGCTTAAGTAAATTATGAGAAATAGTCAATTTAGCCGCTAATGACAACTGCTTCTACACTTCTCAAAGAAGTATAGATGCACTAAACCAGATTTCCTAACTCCATTCTCCCATATAAGTGATGCAAAATTATTAGAGAAACTAATTTTTGGAATTATCCTTTTGTTTTATATGATTATTGATAGAACCATGCGATACCTCTGCATCGATCTTAATCTTAAGTTTTTCACTTACCACTAGAAATAGGCTTAAGCACTGCTTGGGTATTTAGTGGGATCCACTATAGTCAGCTCGTCAAGCTGATTGATCTAATACTAAATTATATATTGGCCTACTATTCATATCTGAAAAGGTTGAGACAGGAAAAATGATTTTCTAGAATTTCTAAAAGGTCGTTGACAAGGCTTCAGATTTATTTAGACATATACCTGAACCTCAGATGCATATAAAGCTATTGGGTGCACATGTAGAGTGCATTTTGTCTTTCTCTCTTGCTAGAGCACACATGTGCAGAAGTTATCGTGATCAAAATAAAAATATTTATATGAAGCATTTCAATTTTAATAATGGTTATTACACTATTTTTATAGGCTATACAAAAATCAGTTATTTGCCCTTCATGAGTTGACTTGATTATGCATCAGGAGAGCAAGGAAAGACACAAAAATAAGAAATAAAAATAAATTCTGATAATCATACAATTTAGAATCTCTAAGGATCTATATATCTAAATAAAGCATGAAATCATTAATCAATTTTTTTATTCACTCTGAAACAAGTAAGCAATAGAGAAACACAACAAGCATAAAACTTTTGTATTCTGCCAACTAATTTTAATTGGTAGCGCGTATTTCCATCGATATTGGTAGAAATACTATTATCTAAATGCATTATATAATTAAATTAATTAAGAAGGCTCTGGCTTATAATATATCTCATAATTACTCATTTTAGATTTTGATAAAATCCATAGATGAGATTTAAATTGGTTTTAATAATACAAATGATAAGTTATTAAATGAATTAGCTGAAAATCAAAATAAGATAAATTTGAGTGTTTTTATTTTAAGGTAATTTTAGAATTTTGAGAGTTTATGTTTGAAAAAGTCATTTGAGTAGAAAATAAGGCATTGCATATATAAAGTGTAAGAAATCAGAAAATAGAAGGATTGTGAAAACTCAGCTAGCCTTGATCGGTTAATTAGCTTGAAACTGATTATAGATATTATCATTTTTTTAGATCACTAGACAACTTGTATCCAAGAAACCAATAACTAGATATTTGAGGATTGCGCACCACCCGCTTTTTCCATAAGCAAGTCATCAATTTTTGCAGCAAGCAAATAAATTAAAAATAGCTACATTATAAAACGATCATTTTTAAGTAGAATTTATTAAAATTCAGATTTATTATAGCTTCTGCATTGTAATATACCGCTATTGACACATTTTATCATCAACATAAAGTTTCACTCATCAATTTCTTGAAAAGTATAACGAAAATATCATTCTTTGTTTATGGTTTTGAGATGCCTAACATGACTTAGGCTGCACAAGGTAAGTGTTCTGAACAATTTCTTTTTTGATATATCGTTTTATAATAGCGGCCTATTATGGCGAATGAAGTATATTAATTTTCATATCTTATTTTATGACTCTCCAGGTCCAAATCTTCTTGGAACGCGCAATTTTTGAGGCGGAAGGCAAAGTCTGCCCAATATTTTGCATTCACTACATTTTTCTGGCGAATATCGATCCCGGACTTGCCTATTGTTTTCTTGAAAATGTGCACAATCTGGCCTATGATAATGTTCTCAATGAGCAATTATAGGCGATCTGTTCGCAGAGCATCCGAAGCAGAAAAGTACATTACATTTTGGGTCTACGCATTGCACATGGTCGCAACGGTGATCCTTTAAATATGGGGCTTTACATCCAGGACACTGCGCCACCATTTCTCCACTTGCTTCAAATTCTATTTACTTTTGCAAATTTCTTGGCCACCATACCGTAAAAAATAAGTAATAGCAGATACGGCCTATATTTATATAGAATAATCTAATATAAGCTTCTAATTCTTTTAATCTCCTCTGTATAAACATTTCTCGACAATTATCTATTTCATGCCAAATCTCTTGGCAGTAACTGCAAAAATCCATATAGCAATTTATGCACGTTGCTCTCCTTTCCTGTGACGATTCAAATTTTTGATTGCACTTGGGACACTTGATAATTCTGAAGTTTCTATTTATCATGAAATAATTCAGCTTCTCCATTGCCTCTTTGGATAATATATCTTGCATAATCAGCGAGCTAATTTCACCATTGCAATTTTCGTTAGGACACTTCATAGCTTTTGCAATAGCATTTTCTGCAATGTAAAACTCTAACATTTGACGTAAATCTTTACTACAAAAATAATGGTTGCATGTTAGCTTTTTCAAAAGACGTAAAGGTAAACGCCCCATACAAATTCTGCACTCTTCTAAGTTATCATCTGATTGATTTTTCATTCTTTTTCTGTACTTGATGTAAAGAAAAATTATGACAAAAACCAATATAGAAAAGAGAACAGATGTAGGAATAGCTATAGATAAATAAAGCTTTCAATCATCATTTGAGCTACTGCTTTTATGAGAAGAACTATTGTCTGGGTTTTTACCTCCAGAAGACCCTGATCCTCCACCGCTGGAGCCTGAGCCATTTCCAGATGACCCTCCACCTGTGGAACCTGAGCCATTTCCAGATGACCCTCCACCTGTAGAACCTGAGCCATTTCCAGATGAACCTCCACCTGTTGTAGAATTATTAGCGCCAGAGCCGCTTCCAGATGAACCTCCACCTGTTGTAGAATTATTAGTGCCAGAGCCGCTTCCAGATGAACCTCCACCTGTTGTAGAATTATTAGTGCCAGAGCCGCTTCCAGATGAACCTCCGCTCGTTGTAGAATTGTTCCCACCTCCATGTGAGCCTGGGTTTGTGCTATTAGTACCTGATGTAGAATTATTTCCAGAAGAGCCGCCTGTATTAGTTGCATTTGAATAGATTTGAGATACATTCCCAACAGTAGCAAAACCAATTTTCATGTTTTCCATATCATAAACTGTATAAAACCTTCTGAGAAAAGTATCACCTAACACTCATGTATTTGGCACATTCGTATAATTAAATGATGGCCAGCAATAATCATTTCATTTATAAAAATATGCTGCTGGTTTAATTGTAAATTTTACTCCGCTTATTTGGATTATAAGATCAGGATAATTCGAACCGCAATCACAAAAGAGCTCCCCTAAATTATTATCGTCACAGCTATAATTGTTATGCAATTGCTTTAAAATGCCATTAATGGCTTCTTTTGGCCCTAAGATTAAGCTGGTTCCTACACTAATTATTGCTTTATAGCCGCTTGTAAATGTTATTCCATTAAAAATGGCATGATCGAAGTCCATTTGCCAATATCCTTCCTGGCTTGCTCTGCAGCTTATATATTTAAATGATTTTTCTGCTGAGTATTTATTTAAATCATAGCCATCAATAATAAGCATTGACTGGCCAAAGTTAGGCAAGTCATATGGATTGCTTAAATCATTTAAGTAGATTGAAAAAATCTTGTGGGTAATATTATATTGCTCATATAAAGTGTTAATAATAGGAGTAGTCCCATTATTAGAAGAACTAAAGCCTAGCCCAAGTATTCCATCACTTTTTATGTTATCCATATTATACTCCTTGCGCTCTACAATAATTCCTTGAGATTTAGCATCAATTCCTCCAATATTGACCTTGTCTCTTCCAGCATCTCCTTCTAGGCCCATAGAATCTATAATCAAATATTTAAAATCATTTTTATAGGTCGATGATCTGGTGATATCAAATTTATTTGTCCAGCTTCGACAACTTAAACACCCTTTCCCACCTATAAAAATTCAGGAAGATTTTAAGGATAATAGCATTGAAAAATACTGTTGAGGGGTTCCAATTCCTATCTGGACGAAATATTGTTTCTAAATAAAGGTTACATTTTTATAGTTTGTCAGACCTGTTGATGCTGAAAGTTGCCTGAATGAAGAGGGAGGATGCAAATTTGGAAAGTCTGCTTTTTCAAATAAAGGGAGTAATATTAAGGCTTCTGCTAAAGAAGCAAGAGTGAATAAAATGATCATTTAATTATTATAATGATTATTCTATAAAATTTCTTTCTAAGTAAAGGAAATTTATTAGCTAATACCTATTGTTTCTACATTTTCTATGAGGCTTAAGGTACTTTAGAAAATGCTAGAAAAGGTCTGATTATCTTTTTTTATAAGGTAAGATTGAGAAATAAAAATTGGCAAAGGACATTATAGTCAACTGCGAGACTGCCTTTAAAAATATAAAAATTGATCAATTAAGATGCTTATTTCCCTCTTTGAATTAAAAGTTATCCACTGCTTATGGTGAGCTATAGCACCATAGATATGCTAAATCCAAGGAATAACTAAAAAACACCAATCAAGATTGAATTAACTCAATGAAGAAATGACTTAATACAAAAACTTTAATTTAAATCAATTTAGCCTAAAGATTCTTGAATTAGTATTATTATGACTGTGAGACGAAAACAAATTATCTGAAATCCTTGGGCCAATGAGTTTCATTTTCTCTCAGTAAAACTATTTTTATGATTTGGAAGCTTGCTTAACTAAAGTTTCTTTAAAAGATCAAACTGTGTGCTGAACTATAAAGATGGCTAGACTTAATTCTATTTACATAATTGCCATCTAAAAATTCAGTTTATTAGCTCTCAAGCACTTTGGATAACTTAAAAAACGATAAAAATTTACTTGTATATTAATAACAGCTGCTGAATTTTGCAAAGATAAGCCATTATCTCTTGATAATTTTAGAAAATGGATAAGGAAAAATAAGCAAGAACAACACATGAACAGTGCAGAAAAGGAGCTCGAAAAGACAGCTTTAATTGCTTCTTCTTGCTCTAGATAATTTTATTCCTGCCAATACACTAAATATGCTAAAGAATTAGATGTAAGCATTTTTAGAGGATTTAAAATGACTTGTACAATTAAAAGCAAATACATTGAAGAAAGCATTGATAGAAGAAGTGAAGCTGCTGGAATATAAAACTCCAGACAGATTTTGTGCTATTGAATGGGTAAAGGCTGCTTTTGAGGGTTGAGAGCCAGAGATAATCGAAAATGCTTCAAATTATGCAACCTAGGAAGGCAAAAAGGAAAAAAATTTGAATTTGATTATCGCCCAAAATTTAATTTATAGAAAATAATATAAAAATAGTCTTGATTACTTATAATTATCATAAAATGGTTTTAATTATTGCTATTCATAATTTTTTTCTTGTTTCCGACGTCCCTTGCGATGTTTATGATCTTTTTCTTCGGCTTTTTCTTCGGCTTTTTCTTCGGCTTCACTATCTGAATGATTATGTCTTTTTCTCCTTATGCATATAAAGATAATCACAGCTGCAATAATGATAACAATAGTAAAGAATGTGGGTATTGCAATAATCATAGCAAACTTTTAGGTTTCCATTGAGCTATTACTATTATCAGAATCCTCAATTTGAGATACTGAGCCCACTTCAATTTGTGGCTGATTTCCTACAGTAGCAAAGCCGATTTTCGCGTTTTTCATATCATAAAGGGTATAAAACCTTCTCAGAAAAGCATCACTAGAATTCATATATCATCAATTTCTGAGTAGCCAAATACTAGGGAGCAATCTTTATTTAATTTATGCAGATACCCAGCTTGCTTGATTCTAAATGCATTTCCACTTAATTGAATTAATAAATCAGGATAATTTGCATTGCAATTACAAGTCAGCTGATTATTACTATCAGTATTGCAGTTAGCGCTGCTCTGCAGCAGTTGTAAAATTCCATCAATAGCTTCTTTTGGCCCAAGGATTCCTTTTTCACCTGAGCTGATCCTTGCTTTATTGCCACTATTAAAGGTCAAATCACCTAGACTGACTTTATCGAGGCTCAATTCTCAATACTCATCGGAGTTTAACACGCTTATATAACTCTCCACTCAGTGAGCAAACAAAAAAATTTTGCTTGTCTATGGAAAGGGGTTAATAATTTTTGTTTTTAAAAAAATTATTTTAATAATTTTTTTTTTCAAAATGTAAAAAATTCCCAATTGGAAAGCAAATATTTATTTAATTTGTAAAATTTATATTTTAAAATGCAATTTGTTTAAAATTAAATGGAATTAGCAAGAGATTTCATTATACTAATTATCACTTATATCAATATTTTTTTCTATAAAAAATTTGTGTTAAAGGGATTTTTCCAATGGTTTTGTTCGCTTAAGCAGGGGGCGGGAGTAAGTGAATTCTTCTTCTGCTGCATATTTATAAATATCATGGCCATCTATAATAAGCATTGATTGACCTTTATCTTGCAAGCCAGAAATGCCACTTATGTCATTTAAATAAAGAGAAAAAATCATATTTTCAATATAATTTTCGTCATATCATCTTTTTAAAATTGAGACAGCTTGGCCTTTAGAAAAGCCCAGCCCGAATATTCCATCTGCCTTAAGATTGTCCATCCCATGCTCGCTGTCTATTAAAAATACTGCTTGAGATGTAGAGTTGAAGCTCCCTATTATGACTGTGTCTTTTCCAGCATTTCCCCGCATTTGGTAAGCACTGTCTGTGTTTCATTTCTTATTGGTCTTTTTGAAAGTTGCAGATTGCAATGAATAAAACTTATAAGTCCATCTGCGGCACTGCAGACATTCTTTTTGATCTACGAGAATTCAAGAGGTTTCTAGAGATAATCCCACAGAAAAAATTTTGGGAGGCGTTCCAATGCCTACTGTCATATAATATTGACTCTAAATAAAGCTCACATTTTGCAAATTGGTCACAGCAGTTGAAGATGAAAGCCCTCTAAATTGAAATGAGGTAAATGGGATAGATGAATCGCTTAAGGACTCATAATTTTCATGCAAAGGGATTTGAATAGCAGCTTCTGCAAAAATAACGAAGATAAGTAAAAAAATCATTGATTAATTATAATATTTGAAGCTCTTCATAAAATTATGATGCAATGAAAAATTGATCTAGTAAGTTTAGCTACTAATAACAATTCTTTCTACAATTTTTTGTATGCTTTCTTAAGGGAAATCCTATTAAAATGCTTTATTGCAAGAAAAAATTAAAATTATATCATTCGAAACAAAGAGATAATATGTCTAATATTTTCCAGTCTTAATATCTTAGCAAGCACATCAATTTAATAATCCTATTTATTTGGTCTAATATTTTAAGAAAAAGTGCAGAGAGAAAAAACTCACCACAAAGAATCGATCCAGAATAGACGAGATATTTTAACTGCAAGAAATTCAGAAATCCCATATGCTTACATCGTTATTATCACCCAAAAGAATGTTTGCATCCTGAGATCTAGGCGAATAATTCATTAGAATTGAGGTATTCTAACCCAAAACCTACTTGAATAAAATATTTTCAGATTCATCTTCTTCAAAATACCCATTTCCTGACTTTTCAGCTATTGCTTTAAGGAGATCGCCTTTTGTGCAACTTTATCTTCGTTTCAATATCCCTAAAGCCTTTAGAGTTTTCATATAGCTTATTTCAAACCTTCATTACATAATGCTTTTAATTGCCTAAATAAATATTACTTTTTTCACCACCTTAAGAGTCAAAGTTTATCTGATTAATAACTTTAAAATGTTTATATACTTTGTTTGGAATAAACAGCTTAATTAAATTCAATTGTTATTACTTCTATTTTAGGTAATTATTAATTTGGGATTGAGCTTTATGAGATTTTGAAAGCCGATGACTTCTTTATAAAAATTTAATAGTTTCATTATTAAATCTTCGGATGCTTGACAGGAAGTAGACAAAAGCTCTTTAATCAAAAGCAGTTATTTTTTATTAATAAAGATATAGTGCTGCACAGTTGACATAATTCTATTGATAATATAAAACAATTTGCTATCCTTTAAGAGTGAGCAGAATTACTGGGAAATGCATATTTTTCAATAAAATTTTTAAATCACCTAGTGAGAAACTTTTTTCAATCGGTAATAGATTATGGCAAGAATCATAATATAATTATATGATATGATCATTAATTGCTTTTGATTCTTCCTGGCTAAAGATAAATTATATTAATTTTCATTGAATAATCTTTAAATCTTAATAATTATTATATTAAATAAATCATGAGAATCAGAAAATTTGCTATTATTTAAATTCTTAAAATGAGAAATTAAAATCTAATAAAAAATTGCCTAAAAATAATTAAAATATGTGGCATAGTAAAATAAATATTTGGTTAAATTTAAGACTTAGTATTAACTAATTTTTGCAACTTTTCCATATTTTTTTCGCGTAAGTTAAACTTGTAATACCCGTCAACGTATGCTCCACAACCAATATATATTGCTTCCTTATTATAAGAGCAATAAACTTGTGAAGGATCACCAAAATATTCATCAAGATTAGCTATGTTTACCCAAGAGTTCTCATCTCCCCTGCTTTCACATATCTTCCCTCTATTTCTGCACTCAATCAACCATAAACTACTTACATTAAACAGGATTTTTCTCACCCCTCCCTCAAAATAATAGCTATTTATTGTCTCGAAGCTGTTATCTTTTATTGAATATCTCAAAATATTTTGATTTTCACGACCAGCAATCAAAATATTATCATTAAACTCCAAACAGTGGCATTCATAATCAGCTTTAGGCAACGGTCTTAATTTGCGCCATTTTTTACTTTTCAAGTCAAATCTCTGACTCTCCCTCCATGAGCGAACCAAAACATTTGAAAAAATCCCTATATTTTGCTAAAAAGCCTTCCCTCCGTTTGTGAACAAAAAAATTTTCTTATGAAAAAAATATTTGATACATTAATGAAATCTCTAGCTAATTCTGTTTAATTTTAAGCAGCTTGTATTTTAAAATATAAAATTTGCTAAAACTTAAAAAAAAAAATTACCCTCCTTAACGAATAAAATTTTTTTGTTCTCTCAGATTGGAGGAGTGAGATAAAGTTAGCAAATCATTGCCATTTTTTCCTCCAAAGCAGTACACGTTATTATTAAAATAGGTATTCTCTTTAACTAACTATTGTGTATAAATGAAATTATTTCCTTTTATTATTTATTTAATAGAAAAGATTATAGCTGATGAGCTGCTGCAAGGTGTTCCAGATAGTTTTAAATTTTTCATAAATTTATTTATAATAGTATAAGGCTATGTATAGCCTTGCTCTTTGCAGTATTTAGATTGGTTTCGATATAATTTATTGATTATTTAATAGAATTAGATTAATCAAAATAAAATATTACTAAAGCCTCCAGATTTCAGCTTTTCGACTTGATAATGCTCATCGAGCATCAATGTAACTCCAGAAGCAGGATAATTTCCAAAACAGAAAATTTTACCACCTGGAATAAAAGTAATGGAAGTACAGCTCTGCAGGTTTTCTGGAGTCTTTTCTAACACTATCTCGTTTTCTCTTTCATTTTCAGTGTCATAGATAACCAAAGAGGTTCTACCGTAGAAATTATTTTCTCTAACTCCATCACTATCATTCATAAATTTTGTTATCACTGACCACAAAGTATGCTATATATTAAACAAATATGCAAGAAATCGCATTAGAATTGTGCAAAAGCAATTATCCTTATAATATTTATTATCAAAAATAGTTAGTTATATTTTTATCATTTTTAAGAAATTTTTAATGGAGCCATTCGATCAAATGAGTAAGAAAATAAAGAGAGCTGACCCTATGATAAGCGTCAATAAATCTTTGGCAGTTAATTTTATATGTTGGATTATTAGCAGCATTACTAGCATTCTCTGATAATCGTGTAAAAGTTCTTCTGAAATCATCCTCAGTTTCTGGATTATTCACTCTGTTTAAAATCGCAGCTGTTTTTGCTTTTATGCTCTGAGGGGCTATCTCATTTTCAGAAACCGAGTTTGTACGACTATTTGAAGGAATCCTATCATAAATTGGCGGAGTTAGGCCAACATCAAAAAAATTGGGATCTGCATCAATAGTATTATTCTTAGAACAGCATTTTCTGAACTTGCCCTTAATTGTATCCCAGTGACAAATAATATATAAGCTCCATAATAAAGTTCATGAAATTGCTGTCAAGCCAAAATAATTACTGGAAATGAACGAACTGCTGCTATGGCTTGAACTGGTACAATTTGAGCTTGATGTGCAATTTATTGTGCCTGGGTTGGGGTTTGGTACAGGATTATTTGGATTTGTGCAATTAGCAGAGCTTGATGTACAATTGGTTGTGCCTGGATTTGGGTTTGGCACAGGATTAGTGCAGTTTCCTGAATTTGTACCATTGGTGGAGCCTGTTGAATTTTTGCAATTGGAGCCAGTTCCAGACGATCCAGAGTTGTTTGAACTACATAACGATGCCCGTTTGCTTATTTGGGATATAGAACCAACAGTGGCAAGTCCGATTTTTTTGTTTTCCATGTCATAAAGCGTATAAAATCTTCTGACTCTCCCCCCCCTTTAAACTGGAACAAAATATAGGTAAAATTTTCCACTTTTTTGGTAAATTAACCCCCCTTTAAATTGGAACAAAATTTAATTTTATAATAAAAAATTTTATATATATAAATCATAATTTTTATGTAAAAAGTTTCGATATAATTTAAATGTTTCTTCTTAACTAAAATTAAAAATTTAGTTATATCCTGCTCTTGTTTAAAGAATAGAGTATAAAGAGCATCTTATTTAAATAAATTTATTATCCTTAATTGTAAATTTTTAAAAACAAATTTATTTTTTTGATAAAAATGATATTTTTTATATAAATAGCTTTGATATAAATCTAATACGAATTCTTTGCAAAAATTCAAAATTTACTTATCTCTTGCTTTATTTTAAAGAATATAGTATAAATAATATCTTATTTAAACAAAATTAGCACTTTGATCGATAAATTTTCTAAAATTTTTTTTTATCAATAAAAATAAAAATTTTTGTGTAAATAGTTTTGATACCAATTAATATTGGCGTATTAATTAATAATAAAATTTTTAGTTATATCTTGCTTTTTTTTTAAAGGATAAAGAGTAAATAGCATTTTATTAAACAAATTTATTAATCTAATTGGATAAATTTTTGAAATTTTTTTTTTTTTATACAAAATTTTATAATGATTTTTTTTTAAAAAAATTTTCTTAACCCCCCTTTAAATTGGAACAAAATTTTTAGTTCCAATTTAAAGGGGGGGGGGAGTGAGAAAAGTGTCACCTAAAATCCATGTATTGGTTACTGTTGAATAGCCAAAAGTTGGATGGCAATATTCATCAACTTTTTGCAAATACCCAGCTGATTTTATTTTGAATTGAACTCCACTGAGTTGAAATACAAAGTCAGGGTAATTTTCGTTGCAATTACAATTTAGTTGTCCTAAATTGTCAGCTGAGCAAGTATAATTAGTTTCTAATAGCTTTAAAATTTCATTGACAGTATCTTTTGGTCCCAATACGTAGCTTGTACCTGGACTTATTCTTGCTTTAGACCCTCCTGCAAAACTTTTTTGGCCAAAAACAACACAATCAGAATCCAATTCCCAATACCCATCAGAATTTGCTGCGTTTAGAAATGTAAACTGTGATTCTGCTGCATATTTAGAAATATCATAGCCATCTATAATAAGCATTGATTGGCCATAATCAGGTAAGTCAGAAATGCTGTTTGAGTCACTAAAATAAAGTGAAAAAAGCAAGTGCTTAATATTATTTTGCGACAATACAGTATTCAAAATAGAGGTAGCTCCATCTTTAGCAGTGCTAAAACCTAGCCCAAATATACCATCTGGCTTTAGATCATCAGTTCCATACTCATCATCGACTAAAACAATTCCCTGAGATTTTGCACTAAGGTCTCCTATCCGAATTGTTTCGTTTCCAATTTTACCTTTCATCTGGCCCACAGTGTCTACGGTCAAATACTTATTCCCGCTCTTCAGCGTTGAGGAACTGTCTGGGTCAAATTTATTAGTTCAGCCTCGGCACGATCCGCAGTTTTTTAAACCCACCAAAATTCAAGAGGTCCTTAAGGAAACTAGTAAAGAAAACTTTTGAGGAGGAGTTCCAATTTCAGCATCGATATAATATTGAGCCTAAATAGAATCTACGTTTTGATAGTTCGTCACGGTTGCTGAAGACAAAAGTCCTCTAAGCTTTCAAGATGTTTTCGAATGATGAAAATTTGATGATCTCAATTTTTCCTCCAAAGGAAGACGAATTAAGGCAGTTGAATAAGAAATTAGGAGGAACAGAAACAGCATTTATGATTTATATGATAAACAGCCATCATCAAACTGAAAATTACAATTCCTTCTACAATTTTTTTAGCTTCAAAAAGGAATAGCAAGAGCTAAAAACAAAGATTATTGATGCCAATATGATTTTTTGCAAGGCTTATGTCTGTTTATCTAGAGTGGCTACTTAGTTTAAAATTTTTGCTACAATTAAATGGAGAAGAGAGAGCTTTTAGTTGAAAGTCGAGAAAATGGGAATGAGAGAGCTCAAAAAGACTGATTAAGCAATTATTTTGATTTTAAATGCTAAAGAATTGTTTGAGTAAATTTATTAACTTAATTTCATAAATTAAATCACTGTAAATAGTTTAAAAACGAAAAGAATTTTCTTGAATGTTTGCTTCATATTAAATATCTGGGTAAATTATGTTTTATATGTTTCAATATTCTTCCCAAAAGCTTCTCATGCACCACCAATATATCAAATAAAACCATAAAATTAATAATAATTACTATCAAATTTTTATTTGCTGCATTGCTTTTCTTTCTCCTCTTCTTAATTTTATAAACTGTCCTAATGCTCCAATACAGACAGTTCCTTTATTATACCCAAAAATTGATGCTATTTCATATAACTTTTCGCACCCTTTCAATTGAAATAGTGGATTCTTCTGGAGAGGTTTATTTCTGCGCATTATTCATTAATTTGCACCCTAAATCTAAATCTTGAGCAAATCGCCTATAAGCAGCTAAGAGATGATTATTTGCAAGTATTGAATAAAGAAATCATTAAATAACTAAAGAGACATGATTAATATGAAGAGAAAGAGAGCGAAGATGAAGATGCAATTAAAGAATAAAGAGATTTAGTATAATTAGATAAATAATATCAAAAATAATTTAAGCACAATTTTATTAATAATCCTATGAATAGATGAATATAATTTCAAGTATGCTGCTTGCTAATTATTTATTAATTTTATATAAGCGTCTTGTATGTCTTTTTTTTTGGCCATGCTAAGATAAATCAAATTGAAAATTTTGTTTCCCTTGCTGCTTCTAAATAATCCTTTCTCAGATTTTTTCAATTTCTTTTTATTTGCTTTTATCAGTCCCAAATGTTATAAAATTTTATTGGTATGACAACACTTTGTGAAATAATATTAATCGGTGAAGAAAGTTGCCTAAAAGACAGCTCACTTAATCGGCTATGCCATACATAAATACACATTAGAGATGGGATTGATTGAGGCTACCGCACCCTTTATTTATCTTCCATAGCTAAAAGCATTGTAAATGCAATGTCAATTGATCATAATGATGCTATAATAATTATTTAAAAATTAGCTGTACATCAAAAAACAAATATAGAGCAAGTTTTTGGAATTTCAATAATTGCCATTTTAATTTGCTAAGGTCAATTTATATTAAAATAGTCTCATTGACTTATAATTATCATAAAATACTTTTAATTATGGCTAATCTTGTGCTACTTCTTGCTTCAAAATTTTTTCGCTATAATATTCTTTAAAGGAAATTTCTCACAGCAGCTGAAGATAAAAGCCCTATAAATAAAAATGAGGTAAATGGGATGGGTGCAACCCTTAACTCTCTAAAATGAGAAATTAAAAATCTAATAAAAAAATTGTCTAAAGCAAATAATTGATTAAATTTAAGAATTAGAATCTACTGATCTCTAACTTGTAAGTTGTTTTTTGGCTTAAGCTAAACTTATAATACCCATCAAATTCTCCTCCGCAGCCAATATATATTGCTTCCTTATTATAAGAGCAATAAACTTGTGAAGGATCACCAAAAAACTTATCAAGATTAGTTATTTCTACCCAAGACTTATCATCCCTTATACTTTCATATATCTTCCCCATCTTGCTGCACTCAATCAACCATAAGCTACCTGCATTAAACAGGATTTTTCTCACCCCTCCCTCAAAATAATAGCTATTTATTGGCTCGAACTTGTTATCTTTTATTGACTATCTCAAAATATTTTGATTTTGACGACCAGCAATCAAAATATTATTATTAAACTCCAAACAGTGGCATTCATAATCAGCTTTAGGCAATGGCATTAATTTTTGCCAATTTTTACTTTTCAAGTCAAATCTCTCAGATAAAGTTACACGCTATTATTAAAATAGGTAGCTGATGAGCTGCTGCAAGGTGTTCCAGATCGCAGCATTTCAACTTGATTATTATTATTGATTAGCAATGTAACTCCAGAAGCAGGATCATTTCCAAAACAGAAAATTTTACCGCCTGGTATATAAGTAATGCAAGTACACTTATTCAGTTTTTCTGGAGTATTTTCTAACACTATCTCTTTTTCGATTTCATTTTCAGTGTCATAAACAATCAAAGAGGTTCTACCGTATTTATTATTTTCTCTAACTCATTCACAATCATTTATAAGTTTTTTAAGTCGCAAAGTATGCTATTTATTAACAAATATGCTAGAAATCGCATTAGAATTGTGCAAAAGCGATTATCCTGAATAGTATCTAGATCAGCTATTATCAAAAATAGCTATTTATATTTTACCATTTTTATTGCAGCCATTCGATCAAGGGATTAAGAAGATAAAGAGAGCTAACCCGATCCTAAGCGTTGATAAAACTTTGATATGTTGGATTATTAGCAGCATTAGTAGCATTCTCTGATATTCGTGTAAAAGTTCTCCTGAAATCATTCTCGGTTTCTGGATTATTCACTCTGTTTAAAATCGCAGCTGTTTTTTCTTTTATGCCCTGAGGGGTTATTTCATTTTCAGAAACCGAGTTAGTAGGACTATTTGGAGGAAACATATCTGGAATATTGCTAGCATTCAAAGTATTATTGGAATTTTCTGCAGAAGGAGCAACAGGATTCTTTTTTGGGCAACATTCTCTTAACGTGTTCTTGATTGCATCACAGTAATAAGTAATAATAAAAAGGAAGATAGTTACTGTAAATAAAGCACCTAATGTAATGAGCACACCAAACCCAATGTAAGCCTTTTCACTGATGCTGCCTTGGCTAGAATAAGATAAATTTGAGCATGATGTGCAATTTATTTTGCCTGGGTTGGGGTTTGGCACAAGATTAGTTGGATTTGTGCAATTAACAGAGCTTGATGTACAATTGGCTGCGCTTGGCTTTGTCGTAAAGTGTATAAAATCTTCTGAGAAAAGTGTCACCTAAAATCCATGTATTGGTAACTGTTGAATAGCCAAAAGTTGGATGGCAATATTCATCAACTTTTTGCAAATACCCAGCTGATTTTATTTTGAATTGAACTCCACTTACTCCCCCCTCCGTGAGCGAACAAAACAATTAGAAAAATCACTATTTTTTTGCTCAAAAGCCCACACTCCGCGATGAACAAAAATTTAAAATCTTTTATGGAAAACATTTTGAATTATAAGCGATAATTAGTATAATGAAATCTCGAGCTAATTCAGCTTAACTTTAAACAAATTGCGTTTAAAACATAAATTTTACAATGCAAATTAGTATTTGCTTTCTAATTTTTGCGAATTAGGATTTTTTTAAACTACGAAAAAAATAACGATGAACCCCCCTTTAATCTTCATGTCTATTACAACAAAAGTGCAATTTTTTAATATAAAATTTTATATAAAAAAAATAATAATTTTCATATCTCTTGCAACAAATTATATAAATTAAAATGGCGACACGCGTCAACATGCCCTCTTGGCGCAGTGGTCCAGACCTTATCGCTACAGCGAACTGGGACGGACTCCTAGCCGAGAATCAGACGCAGGCTCAAGAAGTGTGTATCCAGGTAGGTTTTGGCTGCTTTCCTGTGGTTGGAAATGGAGGTGCTCAACAACGTCCTTGGATCCGAGGACCCATGGGTATTCCTCTAACGAGAAACTGGGGGTTTCAGCCCAGGCCACAGGGGAAACAGTCTTTTTCCTGTAGCTGTTGAAGAAATGCACTTTTATACCCAATAGACTACAAGAGCTGATCCTTGGGATCAAGCTACTCCAATCGCTCGTGGCAGGGCTGCAGAAATCCATAAGCACTCAAGACTGAACCGCAAAGCAAGGAGGAGACCTAAGGTACCGGAAGGGCACTCGTAAGAGGGATAGACCCTCTGGGCTGGAGTCGACAAGCAGTAGAACCTTCCGTACAGGAGGTCTTTAATGACTGCGTCATCAATATGGCTAGCGCCTGTCTGTAATAATCTTAATACTAATCCTCTTGCAACAAATTTTCGATGCGCATCTTAAATTTTTCCGTACTTTTTAGCTAGATAAGTTTATTAAAATGGCGAGTAATTGCAATAGCCGTCCAAATCTCGATGAGAAGGTCATTGACACACCTACAGTAGCGCTGCTTTATGGTTTTTTGTTGAGAAACTCACCTAGAGAAAAATGCACTAATATTTTTTATGTTCTGTAGGAATGAAGATTTTTTCGAAAAATTTTTGTTGCAGTAGATATCAAGGTTGAGGGGGGGCCATCGTTATTAACCCCCTTCCGTGAGCGAACAAAAATTTTTGTTCACCCGCAGAGGGGGGAAGTTAGTTGAAATACAAAGTCAGGGTAATTTTCGTTGCAATTACAATTTAGTTGTCCTAAATTGTCAGCCGAGCAAGTATAATTAGCTTCTAATAGCTTTAAAATTCCACTGATAGCATCTATTGGTCCCAATATGTAGCTTGTACCTGGACTTATTCTTGCTTTAGACCCTCCTGCAAAGCTTTTTTGGCCAAAAACAACACAATCAGAATCCAATTCCCAAAATCCATCAGAATTTGCTACATTTAGGAATGTAAACTGTGATTCTGCTGCATATTTAGAAATATCATAGCCATCTATAATAAGCATTGATTGGCCATAATCAGGCAAGTCAGAAATGCTGTTTGAGTCACTTAAATAAAGTGAAAAAAGCAAGTGCTCAATATCATTCTGCTCATATAAAGTATTCAAAATAGAGGTAGCTCCATCTTTAGCTGCGCTAAAACCAAGTCCAAAAATACCATCTGGCTTTAGATCATCAGTTCCATCCTCATCATCGACTAAAACAATGCCCTGAGATTTTGCACTAAGGTCTCCTATCCGAATTGCTTCGTTTCCAATTTTACCTTTCATCTGGCCCACAGTGTCTATGGTCAAATACTTATTTCCTCTCTTCAGCGTTAAGGAATTGTCTGGGTCAAATTTATTAGTTCAGCTTCGGCACGATGCACAGTTTTTTAAATCCACCAAAATTCAAGAGGTCCTTAAGGAAACTAGTAAAGAGAACTTTTGAGGAGGAGTTCCAATTTCAGCATCGATATAATATTGAGCCTAAATAGAATCTACGTTTTGATAGTTCGTCACGGTTGCTGAAGACAAAAGTCCTCTAAGCTTTCAAGTTTTCGAATGATTAAAATTTGATGATCTCGATTTTTCCTCTAAAGGAAGACGAATTAAGGCAGTTGCATAAGAAATAAGAAGGAACAGAAACACCATTTATTGATTTATATGATAGCCAACCATTAACAAACATTAAATTATAATCCTTCTACACTTTCAACTTCAAAAAGGGATAGCAAAAGCTAAAAACAAAGATTATTGATGTGAATATTTTATTTTGCAAGGCTTATGTCTTGCTCCAATTAAATGGAGAAGAGAGCTTTAGTTGAAAGCCGAGAAAATAAAAATGAGAGAGCTCAAAAAGAGTGATTAAGCAACTATTTTGATTCTAAATGCTAATAAATAAAATGGCATTCGGTTCGAGAGAAATTAGCTTTGCTAATTTTCTCTCCCTCATGGAATTTTATTTATGGGGTTAGGTTTTCACTCGAGAACTTCTGGACAGCAATAGCGGTTTAACTCTGGGGATAACCAGAGGAACTGCTCCTCAGTCCTCTCAAGATTTCGGGCTTTTACCTCTCAGCACATCTCCACGGGAAGATGACCCTCAGGCGGAACACGCGCAGGAGCTGAGTCGAGACAAGGGCGACGGCATCGCGCCGGGTGAGACGTGCAGCAAGACTGGTGAAGCAGGAGTTGATAGAAGGCTTGGCCAGGGCTGACCTGTTCCAAGATGGCTCGCCTACGTCACTAGTTTTGCCATAAGCCTTTTGGGCTGCGGCACTAGACACCTTAAACACCAGATAATTAAGTTAAGTTAAGTTAAGATTCTAAATGCTAAAGAATAGTCTGGATAAATTTAATAACTTAATTTCACTAAATTTAAAGGAGATTTTTTGAATATGAATAGAGAAAACATTTGTAGAGGGTTTTAATAATACTGATATTAAATAAAAATTCACTTTTATATCGCTGAATTAAAAGGAAGCTTGAAATAGAAGCACTTACCTTGGGATTTTGATTTTTCATGAGAATGCAAATTAAGCTATTTTAGAGAAATAGGAAAATAATTCTCGTTTATTATTTCATTTATGAGAAATCATTATAAAGATAATTAGAAGGTAAATTAGGCTACTATTGATGGATATCTCTATATTTTTATCATCAAAACAGTTGCATAAATGAAGCATATATTGAGAAAATCAAATAAATATTTGATTGATGCCTTACTTTGATGGTCTCATTCTCTTAATTCATTTTGATTTTATATCGAAATAGGAAACAAAAGCTTCCTGAATTCAATTGAAATCTGGCAATAGATAAAATGATGCAATATTTTATTAGATTTCAATCTAATATATGCTTTAAATCGCAGTATCTTGACAAATGCAAATTGCATAAAGCTAAATTGTTCATTTTTTATTTAATAAACAGCTGCTTGCAATTTAGGCTTAAAATTTCTTCAATTAAAATGCTTTCTTTTATTTTAGTCTATTAGTTTTTTGTTCCTCCTTCGATTAGTCTATAATTTCTTAAAGTCATTTTTTAAAACATTTCATTTTACATACATTAATCCTATGTCTATTTATTTTTAAACAATCTTTTATTTTTATAGCAGCCCTTATTTTACCAAGGTAGACCACTTTGAAGTTTTGTCGTCACTTGATAAAATACTATAGCTTTAAATCAACAAAGCTAGCAGGAAGCCAACAAAAGAGCTACAACAGAAAAGCCAAAAGCAAAACCAGAAAGGAAGCTAAAAGATTGCACTGCAGAGAAGGGAAGGAAAAAAAATCAAAGATCCTTACTCCCCCCCCTCCGTGAGTGAACAAAAAAATTTTTTGTTCACTCACGGAGGGGGGTTAATTTTTTTTTTTAAAAAAATTTATATATAAATTTTATAAAAAATATTGTTTTTCGAAATTCGCAAAAATTGGAAAGATTTCATTATACTAATTATCATTTATATATCAAAATTTTTTTCAATAAAAATTTTTCTATTAAAAAAAATTTTTGTTCACTCACGGAGGGTGGGTTTTTGGGCAAAAAATAGGGATTTTTCTAATGGTTTTGTTCACTCACGGAGGGGGGGAGTTAAGTGACTGATTAATAATTAATAAAAGCCCATAAGGGCTGCTGAATAAAGAATCATTTTTGTTTAGAGGTTTGCAATTTTGAATTTTGATTTCTGATCTCTGTAAAATATGTGTGTTAAGCCTTGCTTTGGAAAATTACCATAAATAACCAACTGATTTCAAGTTGGTTTTTGTGACCATTATTTTTATATGTCAAATTTCGATTGCGTTTAAATCTAATGATGAGTTAATGAGTTTTTAATATATTTACATCAAAATCAAGCTTTCAATAACAAATAGATTTTATTATAATAAAAATCATTTATTATACTTACTCCCCCTCCGTGAGCGAACTAAAAAATCTTGTTTGCTCATGGAGGGAGGTTTAATTTTTATTTTTAAAAAAATTTTGTTTGCTCATGGAGGGAGGTTAATTTTTATTTTTAAAAAAAATCCTAATTCGCAAAAATTGGAAGCAAATATTAATTTAATTTGTAAAATTTATGTGTTAAAACGCAATTTGTTTAAAATTAAACAGAATTAGCTCGAGATTTCATTATATGATTATCACTTATATATAAAAATTTTTTTCTATTAAAAGAATTTTTATTCGGGCAAAAAATAGGGATTTTTTCTAATGGTTTTGTTCACTCACGGGGGTGGGAGTTAAATTCCAATCTTTTTTTGTACTCAATCAATATTCTTCTCCTTTTTCTCTAACTTCAACTTTAATCCAATTCCATCTTTCCCCATACTCTTCAAAAGTGGTATAGCTATCTCTCCCAGCTTCACATGTTTCAGATTCAATCGGCATGCTAATTTCGTCACTTCTATGACTCTTTACCCCTCTAAATCTCCATTTGCAGTCAAAAAATCCACAATTTTCTGCATCTGCTGCTTTTCGCTTACAAACTGGGCAATATAAATCAGTCGTAGTTTCCCCAATATTAAAAACTCCAAATCCTTTATTGACTAAAATAAACCCCTCTCTTGAGGCTTCACATTCAGGGTTGTAGCATTTAGTTTTAAAAGAAATTCCTCTTTTTGCAGTTCTTCAGGCTGGAGCATTTTCATCAAATTTCAAATGGACTTCTTTTTCATGGGAAAGATTGGCAAATATAAAGCCAGCATTTGTAGCCCCACCTAAGGCTCCATGCTGGGCTTCAATAATATCACCATCTTTAATGCCTAGATTTTCGATGGTTTCATTGTCATTTAAAAGCATGTTGTTTTTGACCAGTCGATCGACCTTTTTACCTTTGCAGGCTAGAATTCATTTTAATTTTATGATTTTTGATTGTCCTTTGATGTATACCCATGTTGAGCTTCCGTCATCAAAACTTATTAAAACACGTACATAAGCAAGGGTATAAACTTTATCATTTTTGAATATAATGTTTAGCGAGCAAGCATTATTTATTACTTGCAATGGAGCATCAGGGCTCAATATATCGTAGCACTTGAATTTAATTTGTCTAAAATCTGAATTATTGTCAAGAGAAATACGCTCGATGATCTTATTCAGTAGGTCATAAATTGTATATCTCTCGGGAAATGGAAAACTGATCAGCCCAGCTATTTTGAGATAGCTGATTCTGTAATGGATTTTCCATATCGGGACGTTGGGTGCAAACATAAATGAGAGGTGCAGCCAATTCTTTTCATCACGCTTTTCGTTAGGATAAAGCCGTCTGCCGTTAGCATACAAGATAATATCTGATGGAGATAATTCTCTTTCAGTACCTTCAATTTGCTTACAAATCAGTTTTGCGATATCTATAGTTTTTGCATTCTTTGCCATCTGTCTGAAGTCAATTCATACATCAGAAGTAAGTGATTTCGCCTCCATTAATTTAACAATTATTAACTAATTGAAGGTTTTTAATTTGAAATGGGTATTTAAGTTTTATTTTAATTTTAGCTGAAAGCATTTCGCTGATAATGTTTTGGAAATATATTTTTATGACACCATTTTAAATCTTAATAATCTCCAAAAACAGCAAAATAATTTAAATTTGGTTCAAAATTGCATCACTATATAACTAAAAATATTGGAAATCCCTTCAGAAAAGTTTAAAATTCTACAAAACCAGCTTTAATTTGCTGCAGGCCATAGCATATTAAAAGATAATTTCCAATTAAATGGAACTTATCAGAACAATGGCGATCTCTGAAACATTTTTTGAGCATTGGTGATTTCTATAAAGCGATTGCATCATAAGACTTGTCGTTCTAGGAGATCATGCTGTTGGGAAAACAAGCATATTAAATTTTTACAACTCCAATAATCCTAGACCTATTCCTCGTGATGATGTAATTTTTATAAAGATTTTCATAAAAGTTTTAAAACTTTTTGGAAAAACTATTCGGCTTGAGCTGTGGAATTCAGGACAATGAGAGAGACCAGCAGATCTACCATTGAGGATTGACAGTTGAATTAATGGAGTTTTTATTGTTTTTGATTTAACAAGAAGAGAGAGTTTTATGAATGCCAAGGAGTGGATATATAAAATAAAAGAAAACACTGAAAATTGGCTTGAGACTGTTTTAGTTGGGAATAAATCGGATTTAGAGAGTTATCGAGAAATCTCATATGAAGAAGCAAAAGATTTGGCTGATGAAATTGGGATAATTTATTTGGAAATTTCAATAAAGGAAAATATTCATGCTAATAAGCTAATTCAGCTCACTTTCTCTTTGGCAAGCAAGATAGCGAATAAGTTAATAATACCTTAAATCAAAAAAATTTGAGGATTTATCATTCTTACTTAGAAGGTTATTTGTTCAGAAAGCTAGAGACCAAGCAATATTACAGGAAATTTCTTAAATTATAAGAAATTATAATAAATGTCCTCAGTTTATTCGCAAATATACCAAAAATAGGTCCTATCCTTAAAAATCTCTAATGCTAACTATTTTGGTTTAACATTATAAATAAATTATCAAATTATACTTTAACTTGATTCACAACGCTCGCCTGAGTCACAGTCCATATCTTATGCCCCTTAGGCAATTTTTCGCAGCAGTAAATATACAGATTTTTCAAATATCCTTTACTAAATGGGCTTCCCATTTCCGATGGAAAATTTTTCAAATACGAAATTTTTCCTCATGACATAATCTCCCACGTCGTCACATTATTTAAAGCTATATAAGTATGAAACCCCAAAAGGCTGCTGACCATCAATGTAAAAAACGCCAAAAGCACAACAGAAATTATCCTTGTGCAATTTTCCAAAATTCATGCAACTACATCATCCTCGCTTTGAAAGCTCAGAATATTTACTATATCAGAAATTCACAGCTCAGTGCATTGAAACACTAAATACCAATAAAATTCTCGTCTGTTTTTTTCCCCTACACAAACACCTAGCCATGGACAATGATGGTCATGCAAAGCTACACATTTTCCGCACTCTTTGCAGTGTTTAGCTCTGATTGGCTGGTCAAGTTTGCATATCATGCAATATCTCGTCTCAATTACAGCTGACTCTTGGCTGATTATTTCGTTTTCTTGGTCTTCAACAATTTCTTGGTTTTCAAAACTCCCATTTCCGCTGTAAGTTGTATAGGAATCTTCGTTGTTAGGCAAAATTTCTGTAAAAGATTGGATTGGTTGACTTCTTATTGGCTCAGAGTTTGGCTGGACTGTAGAAATACAATTGTCGTGGAGCATTGAGCTTCTTTCGTCTTGGAATTTTATAGTAAAATCATTATTTTTTGTGTTATTTTGCAACCCCAAACCCTTTTTACAAGAAAAAATACTAAATTTTCATATAAAAATAGAGTTTATTATATAGAGTCCTAGAGAAAATGCTAAAACCAGCATAAAAATTTAGGAGATTCTACTGATTTTGGTTCTGAATCTTTCTTTACGCGAGATGAATCTTTTGAGGATTGATCTGTCTGCTCATTAGGCTTCATTTTAAAATCATTCATTCAAGAGAGATCAGGAATAATATAGCCTGGGTTTTTTAAAGAAGCACGGGAGTAAAAGAAGACTACGAGTAATCAAACCGTTCAAAAAGGCAAACAAATCAAGCTGTTGGTATTAGATAAATCAGAAGCATTGAGAAGCATCAGGAAGGTCATCGTGAGGTAAAAGAAAAGCATATATAAAGGAGCTTTCGAACCTAAATTAGCATTACATTTTTTATCCATTTTCTGAGTAAATATTATTAGAAAAACGCATTTTCAATTGATTTTTGATATGATTAGATTTAATTATCATTGAAGATAGGAAATAATAGAGAGATTGGCATCCTACATTATCTTTAGCATTTTGCACTAGACTTATACAATTAATTATTAGAAAAGATACCTTAATTCACATAAAATAATTCCAGAAAAGGGTTTTTTGCTGAAAATTCGTGATTTTCTGTGTTATTATGATATATTAATTCCGGAACCTAAATGATGAGATATAAGGATCTTATATGGGTTTAAAGATATAAGTTAATATAGCATATTGATTTTAATTGAAATGCAATGTTCTTGAAATGCTGAAATTAATAAAATCATTTTTTACCATTTTCAAATAGAAAAAATGAAATAAATCTCTTAAATGCTCCCTTTTAATATCTATTTGGAAGAGCTTTATTTGCAGAGGTATATTAAATATTAATTATTCAATGATCTTTTTCGATATGAAATACTGTATTCATTAAATAATAATAGATAATATAGCAATATTTATAAAAACTTTTTTATGTAGAATATAATACATTTTTAACCTCTAAAAACTCAAAAACCTTTAATTGTCTTCCAATTACTATATAAACTATTTTCTTTAATAGCTTTCTCAGATGCTATATCATTTTAAATATTTAGTTATAGTGAAGTTTTTTTTAAAATACTGCTTATTTATATCAAACATCTTTTGACCTTAAATGTTGATTATAAACATAATAAAGCTATGAAATTAATATATGATCCATAACCTCGATTTAAGACTCCTGAAAAATTTTTGAGTGAAACGCCATTTTTCCTGGACAGTTTCAGATTCGATATATTTTAAATGGATTTTCCAAAGAAGTCTAAAAAAGCACAAAGCAGTTCTATTCTTGGCCAAGATTCCAACCAGTCCTCAAAGCTAAAGGCCACAATAGCATCTCTCGTTGAAGAAATCCATTCAAAAATGGTCGCCAATTTATGGCAGATGTATTACGAGTTCAGCTCTTTCATGCCAATTAACTATAAAGAAGTCATAGACGACCCTTACGAAATTTGAACTACATACTTACCACATGAAATTGAAAAATACGAAAAAGACCATTTTTCAGGTGAGATAACACTTTGGAAGCCTGGCAATATTATAGATCATAGCATGATGTCAGCATTCTGAAAATCCTGTGATATCTTTGAAGGTGTAAGTCAGGTGCCTTGGAGATTTAGGGTTTCTGAAAAAGCTTTCGATAAAATCAAGGATTCTTGTCGAGAGCTAAAAGTTGCACTCCTTAAAAAAATGATATAGGGATTTTGGTATTTTAAGATTTTATGAGGGGATTTTTGGATAGAGTTTAGAATTTTCGTGCCAAAAGGGAAAAAGCATTAAAGAAAAATTTTTAATATATGATAGAATTTAGCCTTGGGTTCATATTAGAGGGCTATAATTGCGAGATAATAAGAACTGGTCCTTGCATAGGGATGGTATTTTTTAGTTTCCCATTTATTGACTCCCTCCTTTAAATTGAAACAAAAATATTTTCCCAATTTAAAGGGGGGCTAATTTTATTTTTAAAAAACTAATATAGCCGGGAACGGCTATACTAAAATTTTCTCAAGAAAAAAACTAAATTGAACAATATTTAATTTTCATTTATTTTTATAAAGATTTAATTTTAAATTTAATCGAATTAGTGTAAAACTGTTTAAAATGCATTTTATCTGCATTTTTCTATTAAATTAATTTTATAAAAATTTGTAATTTCACCTATAAAATTTTCTGATTGAAAAATTATTAAAGGAGTTTAAAATACCAAAAATGGAAATTTTTTATATATTTTGCTCCAATTTAAAAAGGGGAGTGAGGAAGATTATGATAGTTTTAATTCTAATATTCAATGACATGGAATTGCTGCATGCATAGTTGAGAGAATTCCTGTGATCAAAGACCACAAAGTTATTGAGTACTCATACGAGCAATACATTAAATTGCTTTCTGTAGTCGATAATACTAACTTAGTTCCCAACGAAGTATACCATTTTTAATATATTTTTAAAAAAATTCTTAATTCTAAATCTATTCATATGCAAAAGATATAGATAATTTTTGTGATGATATCAGAGAAGATCCTGACCGATGGCTTGAGTATTCTGACTGAATTGGGTGTTTAGGCATTAATAATCAATGAAGAAATGCTATGGGCAGGTTTTATCCTATAATAATTCCGCAGCTATTTTTAACTGAAGAAGAGTCAAACAGTATAGCATTCGATGCAGGGATTAGAAGGTGGATATGAACTGACCCAGATATTTTGGAAAATTGAGAAAAAAAAGAAAAGTTCAAAAATAATTTAGTCAAGCTTTTAAGTGAAGAAAATAGCTGCAAAGACTTTATTAGATTGCTGAAAACACTTCCAAATATGACTTTAAAATTAACAGATGAAGAATTAGAGCTTATAAGCACTCCAGGAAATGTTCTTACCATTGGAAGGTCTGGGACAGGGAAAACTACTTGTTCATTGTTGAGGATGTTTTCGGCTGAAATTTTGTTTCGATATAAAATGCAAAAAAATAAAAAATTAAAAGCTGAAGATATAGATAATCCATTACATATTCATAATTAATATTGTGGCGGCGACTAAATTGGCCTTGACGATGATGCATCAATCTAGTCGCAAAAGTCACTTTATAGTCTAAACTAGGGTTTAGGCCCTTTAATTATAACTTTGCCCATCTCGTGGTTGAACTTGTGGGTTGTGTAAGCTTTGGGAGTCAGCTGGTGGTAAATCCATAATCAAGTAATGATTATTTGGATGGATTTTGGGCTAGGGTTTTTCTTTCCGGCTCCGGAGGGCATAACTTTTATTTTCCTGAGTCTCACTCTCCCAAAGGTGGTCAGCAGGAGATATCGGACTCACCTTAACCTCCATAGAGCCTGATGGCGCACTGGCAGGGAATCTTCATAACCCGTTGGGACTCTTGGGGATCACAGTGCAAATCCTGCTACGAGAGGAGACTATTGTTTAAATAGCGGCTAAATTCCCGCCTGAGAAGCAGGTTGGAGTTAGTATGAAGCGTGCGGAGACATCAAGTCTAGAAGGATTTAAGACTCTTAATTTAATTTAATTTACCTCTTCATTTTGTTTTTGCCACTGCTTCTCCAGTCCTTACTAATGAAGTCAAAATTTATTACAAAAAACTCAAAAAATTAATAAAAAATGGCCTCAAATCAAAAGAGAAACAGCAAAATCTAGAAGAAGAAAAAGAAATAGAATTAAAAAAGGAAAATCCTCAGCTCACACAAGTTGAAGAAATCGAAAAAGAAATAAATACAGGCCCACACTCAATGAAATTGCTTACCCTTCCCCTTTTGCGAACTAACAAATTTTTTCACTAATAGAGGGTTAATTTTTTTTCAAAAATTCCCAATTGGAAAGCAAAAATCAATTTCCTTTGTAAAATTTATGTTTTAAATGCAAGGTGTTTAAAATTCAACAGAATTATTAGGATTGCAATACACTATTTATCATTTATAAAACAAAATATTTATCTTATAAATTTGTTTTTTGTTCGCTATATAGAGGGAGTTAAAAACGAGGATTTCCCATTATTCGCTACTATAAGAAAACTAGTCTTAATGATAGATGGTAGCCTAGAAAGGCCCTTTTTCTCCAGAGACAAAAACGGTAGAGTAATAGGTTCCTCCTGCAATTTCGAATGGCACAATGAGCAAAAGGGAGCCCTTGAAATAAGCAAAGACTATAAAAAGAAAAAAAGAGAACAGTCTGAATTTATCAGTGATAGCGATTCTGATGAAGAATATAATAAATACTATGAGACAGATTGAGACGAAAGCCAGCGACAAATAAGAAGCTGGGAAATCGATTTCGCAGCTTTTTCTGAAAGATTTTATCCCAGCTTGACGTGGAAAAATAAATTTTCACCGTTGATTTTGTGGACAGAAATTTCTGCTTATATTAAAGGCAGCCCAAAAGCATATTTGTCAAGAGGTTTTTACCTAAGCCAAGAAGAGTATCTTGAGTTAGGTAGGAAATCATCAATGCTGTCAAAAGAAGAAAAAGTTGAGGTATATAGAGCTTTTGGGCTCTATGAGGACTGGAAAAGGAGCGTCAATGGGTATGATTTCCAGGACCTTGTGAATTATATTTTGTGCGAAATCCACTATCATGGGTATAAAGGGATCCCAATTCATTATATGATGATTGATGAAGTCCAAGATTTGACGTCTGCGACTCTGAACTTGCTTATGCAGGTTACAGACCAAAAATTATAGGTTTTCTCTTTATTTGGCCAGAAAAAGGCAAGCTATTTTTTCTTATAGGCAATCCAAGGGAAACCCTTATAGTTTTTTCAGGAGACACCGCCCAAACAATCGCAAAAGGTGTTGGCTTTAGATTCTGTGACTTAAAAAGCTTGTTTTTTGAGGCGTCTATGACGCCTCCTACAGTCCGACAACTTACAATTAATTTCAGATCTCACAACCAAATCTTAGAGCTCGCAAATTCAGTTGTGGCTCTATTAGAAACTTTATTCCCGCTGACTATAGACAAGATGGGTAAAGAAAAAAGCTTAAAAGATGGCCCACATCCTATTATCATTAACAGTGGAAATCCTGAAGATTTGCTAGAAGTTTTGTATTGCAGTAGTGAAGAAAATCCTCAATTGTCAAATATACAGTTTGGCTGCAGCCAAGTAGTCATTGTAAGAAATCAAAGCTCAAAATTTAAGCTTCCCTCATCATTAAATACAGCTCTCTGCCTGACTGTTTATGAAGCAAAAGGGTTGGAGTTTGATGATGTCATTCTTTATAATGTTTTTACTGATTCAGAGATGCCTGTTAGGTGTTGGAAAGCTCTATACCATTTTATTATTAAAAATAAGGATTATGGTATTTTTTATATAAATTATTAGTTATAGTAATAAATTGAGAAGCTCGAGTAATAGAAATGGCATAGATTATATAGGAAAAATTCAAGATGACCCTAATTATAAACCTAGCAGCCTTGAAGACTTAGAAAATGAAACACCTAAGCTAACCCGTAGCAAGCTCATAAATAAAAATAAATATTCAACTCTTTGCACAGAGCTAAAACAGCTATACGTCGCCATTACACGACCAAAAATAAGACTCATCATATATGATGATAACCCAGAATATAGAGAAAAAATCCAATCATACTGAGAAAGAATAGGGACGTTCAAAAATTCTGAAACCCTCCAAAACCCACTGTTCCAGACTTTTACTAAAGCTTCTACCAAAGAAGAATGGACCGAACAAGGCCAAAAAATGATGTCACACCAATTTTACGAGCAAGCTGCCAAATGCTTTAGGGCTGCTGACAACATTTTACTAGAATCCAAAGCTTTAGCCTATTTTAAAGCAAGCCAAGCTTCTGAGCTAATTTCCGCAGAAAAAAAGAGATGGTGGCCTGCAAAAAACAGAAACTTCAAAAAAGAATGCAAAGAAATAGAAGAAAAAGCAAAAAATGAATTTATTTCAGCTGGGAATGAATTTTTGAGGATTTCTGAAATTGACGAGAAGGAATTTATGCTGAAAGAAGCAGCGAGGTGTTTTGCGTCAGCAAAAGAAAATGAAAGGGCAGCTGATATTTATCAAAGTATTGGGCTTATAAGCCAAGCTGCAGAAGCATATTTGGCAAGTGGGCATTATGAGGCTGCTGGAGATTTATTTACTGACTCTCCCCTCCGTGCGGAACAAAATTATTGGAAAAATCCCTATTTTTGCCCAAAAACCCACCCTCCATGAGCGAATAAAACAGTTATTAATATTAAATTTTTTTATTAAAAATTTTGATATATAATTGATAATTAGTGTAATGAATTCTCTAGCTAATTCTATTTAATTTTAACAAATTGAATTTTAAAATAAATTTTTTACAAATTAAATAGATATTTACTTTCCAATTATTCGAATTGGGATTTTTTAAATTTACTATATTAATTTTTTAAAAAAATTAATACCCTCGGTGACCAATTTTTTTGATCGTTAATGGAGGGAGAGGATTGAGAAATTTGAGTATATAAGAGCTATAGATGCCTATAGATGTGGAAGAAAATGGGACAAATTGGTGCACTGTATATATAAATGTAGAAATAATATGGCTGATAAGGAAAGGCAGAAATTTATAAAAAAATATGTCCCATTGGCTTTAGAAAATTTGATGCCACAGGCTTTCCTGACTTTAGATGAGGATAAAAATACAATTGTTGAAGAAAAAGAGGAAGAAAATGAGGAAGAAAAAGAGGAGCCAGCATCAGAAGAGTCTTTTTCTCTAATTCAAGAATCCCATAATTCTTTTACTTTAATAGGAAACTCAGCTGACAGTTTTAGTATGATAAAAGACGATGATGAAATTTTTGAGGTTTTACAAGATATTGACCCTAAAGACGAATGACTTATTTCGGACTCAGGCTCTGTGATAGACTCTTTAAGCCCGACTCTTAATAAAGACTCCATTCTTTCAGACTATTCCATTATTGACAATCCCCATACAGCATCTCTCAACCAAGGCGGAAAGCTCATCAATACAAAAACCGACATTTTCATTGAAGACCAAGCTATGCTAAAAATAATTGAATACGTCGGGATGTTCTCCTCAGACGTGTCTTCCTTCCTAAACTCTTTTAAATCTGCAGAATCTCTTATTAGCACACAAAAAATTGCTGAATCCTGGGAACTGATTGATTTAGATGAAATTTCTCCTGAACTTTTGGGAATAATTTTAGACGCTTTGGAGGAGTTTGGGATGTATAAATTGTGCTTGTTTGTATGCAATAGGTATCAGTTAGAAGAAAGGCTTGGACGCTATGTCGTATCAGTAGCTTTTAAATATTCCAATAATCCTTTATTAAAACCAAGTGATTTAAACAAGCCAAATTTTATAAAGGCACAATCACAAAGGGCAAATTTAGCGTTTTCAGCTGTTCATAATGTGCTGGAAATGATTAATCCTGAATATTTGGCATTGAAAAAGGATTTTGATGGGAAAAACTTGGGGATTGAGTCGTTTAGAGGGCTGCTTTTATTAGGATATTGGAAGAAAACTGTATATATTATGGATAGAGAAAATTCTTTAGCAGTGACTTCTTCGTTTATGGATTTTAAAAATTTTAAAAATATCTATTTGATTTTTGAAAATTCTGACTTTTTGGAGAAAATTAATGAAGAAAGCTTTGCATGGCTTCCTTTTAATACTCCTAGCAATTATGAAGAAGTTAGAGCTGCTAAAATTGCTTTGGATTCTGTTATTTGCAGTCTTAACACACTTTATTTTGTGACTCACTCCTCTCTATACGTAGCACAAGATTAATAATTAATATAAATAATTGAGTAATGTTTATAATTTATTTCAAAAATGTTTTTTAATTTTTTGGCACTATATAGCCCGTTCCTGGCTATAGATCGGGCTATGCCCGATCTTTTCGGGAAACTTGGGGGGTTATCTGCGTCAATTTTGGGTGACGAGTCAACTCCTCGAGTTGGCAAATAGCCACCATATAGTGGTTTGCCAACTCGGGGAGTTGACTCGTCACCTCGAAGTGACGCAGACAACCCCCCGAGTTTCCGGCAAAGATCGGGCATAGCCCGATCTATAACCGGGAACGGGCTATATCTTATAAGGAGAGTCAGAAGTCTACTTGCTCTTCTATCAAAAAATTTCCGAATTTCCCAGAATACTTTTTTTATAATGAAAATTTCTGGAAATTTATTCATAAACAAGATGATTCTGTGCTTATGAATTGTTTCAGGCAAAGCGTTGGGGAAATTAAGGATTTCCTTCGAGGAAAAGGTTTTAAAGAGATTATAGATGAGTGTAGAGCTTGGGATGCCTTATCATTTTTTACACAATTATTGCTGGGATCCAATTATCAACCTGCAATAAAATCTTTCTTACAGAAACTACCATATGAGGATTTTGAAGAAATTTTGCTGATTTCAAGTATGGCTATAAAATTATTATGCTTCAATGCCCAAGTACTTGATTCTCGTTATTCAACCTTGGTTTTCGCTATGTTGGCGCCTCTTGGTATACGGCAATTAATTTCTTCTCCAGCAATGGCAGCATTTCCTTATTTTTCACATGTTTTAATGCATAAGAATAATATCTTGCTGCAATCAATCAATCTTTGAGATCGGTGATGCTAAAGATGAATTTTTTTCAAAAATAAAATTTTCAAATTTTAAAAAATTAAGTGTTCATTAAGTGAGCAGCAAAAAAACTAAAATATTAGCGAAAAAGAAAATAAAAATTGCATAGAGCCCTTTCAGATATAGAAAGAGTCTATACTGTTGATACAGAAGGGCAATTTTTAATTCTCCCAATAGAAAACATACTAAAAGCATTTTCCAAAGAAATTGTTACTTCATTAACATCTATAATAAAAGAGAGAAATATCTACCCAAAATCAAAAAAATATCCTGAAACAGCCAGTGCCCTCATAAATAGATATGGAGAGCTATGAATGATAAATTTCATCAATTCCCATATTGATGGAAATCCTTACAAGCTTGAAAACTTATCATCAGCATTCTTAAAAGAATCTATTGAATATAAAGAATACTCAATAAACAAGAAAAGGCTTCAAAGAATTATTGATTTGGCTGATGGAGATAGAAAATCAATAAATTTTATAAAAAAACAAAATAAAAAAGAAATTGCGTTTCTTGAAAAAGAGATACAGAAATATAAGGACAATAGTGTAGAGAATAAGGAGAACTTACTTAATTTAATTATAGAAAAATGCTCATTTATGCCTAAAGCTGAAGTGAAACTGACAAAGCTAGCGAGTCACGCTTTATTTTCTCAGGCGCAAATATTTATGGAATTGTCAGGGAAATCGAATGAACCAACTGAAATTGTAGAAGAGCTCTTCATGTCTTTGGACAAGGCCAAAAAAGCTGAATTTTTATATATAATCGAAATAAATTAATTATAAATTATATTTTTGTTAGAATTGAATAAAATATTTTTTCTATATATTAACTTTACATATCTGAGGCTTTTTTAGCCTTGCCCATGTCTTATGAACTCTGCAAGCTATCAGGGTATTCTATTTATTTTCATGAAATGCTAAACCAAAGACTCAAACCTACTATATCAGCTTCTGGTGAAAAAATGTTTAAAAATCATTCATTTTATCATCATGCTGTTGCTTACTTAGATATTGACTCTTATTTTGACCAAGGCTCCTTTGAATCTGCTTCAACTTCAATTTTGTCCTTATTAAATGCTCAATTCTTCGAAATAGATATTGAGCAAGTCATCAAATTAACTGAAAAAGCCGTAATTTGCTGGGCTATTTCTTTAGGAACACCTATAAAATTATCCAAATTTCACAATAAATATTTACCTAAGAGCCAATATACTCGAAACGGTGATATTATAATTAAAGGAGTCGCTCAAGGAAAACGGCCATCTATTTCAGCAGAGCTTTTTGAATGGACAGTTAAAATTTTAAGCCAAATCAATAAATCTGATACAAGCATAAAATCAAAATCAAGACTGGCCTCAAAAATCTATGGATTCTTGCTATTAATTATTCAATATGGAAATCCAAGCATTTTATATGAATCAATGACAAAAGTGCAATTAAATCGAGAATTCGAGCTGATTGGAATAACAAATGAAATACAAGAAATTGCAGAAATAGCCAATTTGGCAGCTCTAGAAGAATATCAAGCAATTAGCCAGTCTTCACCTCTAAAAAATGGGGAAATTATGGTTATTCATGAAGAATTGATTAGTGAAGAGGAAAGTTTGCAGAGGCTTAATAATTCGTGGATTTCTGAAACTAGGCTTTTTGCAGCCCATCATGAAAAAGTCTATATATTAAGGAAGCTTAAAAAATATAGAAAAAGAGTGCAAAGGTCGAATATTCAGCAGCAAATTCTGTTTTCCTCTTTATCTTCAAAAGTCCAAGAAACCCTATCTTTCAAAAAAGACTGAAAATCCAAAAATTTCTTAAAAATAATTTCAATAATAGAAGAATTCCAAGCAGAAATCAATGATTGCATATACAAAGCAAGCTTAAAGAAACCATTAGATTTCCATTACTTGCTAAAACAAATGAATTGGCTTTTAACAGTCTTTAGCAGCATCATAAATTGTATAACTTCACAAGATATTGACTGTTCTGAAACCATAAAAAATTCTATCCAAGAAATAGAAGCGGCAATAAAACGTATGAATTTATGGAAAAATGTAATTATCCTACAAAATAAAGAAATTGAAATAAAGCATCAGAAGAAATGGAATTTCAAATGGAGGCAAGAAATTATGAATAAGAGGAAGAAAGGAATAAAAAGACAAGAAGCTTTGATGAAGAAAAGGGATAAGCTTAAGAGCTCTTAAGTATTTCTTTATATAATTACGATATAAATTTGAAATTTAAATATATGTTATGCAATACAGATATATTTTCTTTTAAGACCTAATAATAGCAAATAACATTACATTTTCTTTAGCATTAAGCATTTTTAAAATAATCTAAATAAATTAACTTTAAACTAATAAGAGAAGTATTATAATCTGAAAGCTAACAATTATAGAGAAAACCCTTAACTGATTTATTTGAACTATAATGCAAAAAAATTAATCTATATTTAACAAAAAGTGGTCCCAGTGAGGATCGAACTCACGACCTCTGCGTTATTAGCACAGCGCTCTAACCAGCTGAGCTATGGGACCTACAACTTCAAACATACAAAATCTCCTAGATATATGTCTTATTATAATAAATTTATTTATGTTGTTTTCATTAAAACATCTCTCTACTTAAGTTTACTATTTCTCTTTCGGTGAGACTATTAAATGGCAAGAACTAAACAAACAGCAAGAAAGACTACCTCAGCAAGAAAAACTCCTAAAAAGCACCTTGCAAATAAGGCCGCTGAGATCAAGCCCAGAGGTGTTAAGCCTCCAAACAGATTATTAAAAATCCCAGCTCTAATTGAAATCTATAAATACCAAAAGGGCACTGAACTTTTAGTCAGAAAACATCCTTTTCAAAGACTTGTGAGAGAAATTGCCCAAGAATACAAGACAGATCTCAGATTTCAGAGCTCAGCTGTCCTTGCACTCCAAGAAGCTGCTGAATCTTACCATATTGGACTTTTTGGAGACAGTAACTTTTGTGCAATTCACGGTAAAAGAGTGACTATTATGCCAAGAGACATGCAATTAGTCAGAAGAATCAGAGGAGAAAGATCATAATATAATCCTATCTATGAGATTGCACAAAAATAAAAGCTTTGATTTAACCCAGAGCCCTTGTCTTTATAAACTGTGTTTTTTATTATAGTCAGCAAAATTTTTCTAACACTTAAAAGAATTTTTAGGCTCTAAAAATAGCATCTTTTTAAGGGCTGGATATTTAGTCTTAACTCCAATTCTCCGTGAGTTAACAAATAAATTTTGTTCGCTCACGGGTTAATTTAATATGTAAAATTATGTTTTAAAATGCAAGCTGTTTAAAAATTAATCAGAATTTGCAAGAGATTTCATACTAATTATAAATTATATATCAAAATTTTATTTTTATAAAAAATTTTTTGTTCGCTCAAGGAGGGTGGGCTTACCCCAAAAAATATGGATTTTTCAATGGTTTTGTTCATTCACGGAGGAGGGAGCAAGTATAATATTATATTTGGAAGATACCTAATTTAAGGAAATTTTACCGTTGTTGAAATATTTTATATTTAATTCAATTAAAATTATATGTAAATGTCAGACCAGACACGAATTATGAGTCTTAAAGACAGACTCTATTTGCATCCTCTTGACAAATATGAGAAATATGGGAGATTTCCTTGAGCTTTAGTTGTCCAGCTTTTAATCGTGCTAATGACCACTTGCCAGGCGTTATTAATTGTGAATAGAAACACATCTTATTCCTATGACCAATATCAATTGTTCAACAAAATGTTTTTGAACTTAATCTTCTCGATATAATAAAAACAGGTTTTTTTTAAAAAAACTTATTTATTTTAATCAATAAAAAATTATGTAACTATTAGGAGCAGGAATTTAAATGTCGAAGGAAGCGACACAGAAATACTAAACCAGTTCACAATTTACCACATCCAAGAGCTAAGCACTTATATCCAGCAAACCGTCAGCGTAATTATCATATAGAAATATTTCAATATTAATAGCTACACAATAGATCAATATAGCTATGAATATGAAGATAACGGTGATAAAGAGCCTGCTACACTTCTTGTCAGCTATATAGGGCATGATTGGAAAGATAAGGGCTATAAAAATATCTATTATTTAACAGAAGAGGACTTAGGCCCTTTTTCCCACTATAATGTCCGAAAATACCTAACTTCCTTAATACATGAGCGAGCAAAACCTATATAAATACCCTATTTTCCAATATATAAAGATAATTATTATAATAAATTTCTTGCTATTTCTGCTAAATTTGCATTTTAAATATAGATTTTGAAAATTAAATTAATTGATTTTACAATATTGGTTCTTATATATAAAAAAACTAAGCATCCTCCACGCATATAAAATTTTTTGTTTGCTTACAGAGGGAGTAGGCGACGTTGAGAGATTTGAAATCGAGTTTCACCTGATTCATCATTTAAACTCCAATATGGATGTCTCTTCTAACTGCTACCATTGAAAAATCGTCCAATTCTACGATTTCCACAATCATGGCTCAATCCATGTTTCTCTCAAAACAACCAGAACAACCTGCTCCTCTAAAGAGTGTAAGGGATAATTAGTCAATATTTTCGAAAATTACCTGTGGATAGGAGCTATGGTATTTTTACTTGGGTGTTTTTCTCTCGGAATTGTATGTGCTTATTTATTAAAAAGAGCTATGATTATGGCACATATTAAAAAAGGGCATGAAATGGATATAGGGCTTTCCCTTGAATAGCCCGATAACGGGCTGGCTTCATCCGGTTATCGGGCTATTCAAGGGAAAGCCCTATACCTGGAATGCTTGGGAGTCGTTGAGATTCAGAGAAAAAATAAAATTTATTAACCTTTGGGTCATTTTTACAGTCATAGGGAATTTAGCTCAGATTTTTGCAGGGATTTTGACGCTGATAGACCAAGATACAGTCCTGCAAGTTCATGAACAAATTATTGGGATTGCTTGTTTTTGTGCTTGGGTGGGGCTGGTTAGATTTATAGAGCATAGCTCGAATTCTTACATTATAGTAAATACTTTGAAGAGAAGCTTTGGGAAGCTGCTGCCTTATCTTGTAGGGATTCTTCCTATATTTATGGCGTATGTGTTCTTAGGGATGTGCATGTTCTGGAAAACTGGGCTATATCCGACTACAACAGCTGGAATGGTCACTAACTTTGCAATTTTAAACGGAGACTCTGTTTATGGCTTTTTTGCTTCTTGTGTGGCTGATAACAGTGTTTTAGGTCAGCTTTATATGTTTACCTTTATTGTTTTCTTTATTTGGTAAATATAATATAGTTGTGTACATAACATTTTTATTGCAATTATACAAGAAGGCTTTGCATCATTAAATGAACGGCCAGTCAGAAAGCACAGAGTAGAGTCTAGTGAATCTGATACTGATGAGTTCCCAATGGAGCCTCCACCTTTAAAAGCATCAGCTGAAGAACAGAAAAAAAGTGAAGATGGTATGGAATATTTTTCCCTCCAAAGAAAATTCTTGTAAAATGGGGATTAAATTTTTTTGGATTAAAAATTCTTCTCATTTGTAAAAAAAAATCTAATTAATTATTTGGCAAGTTATTAATAATTTAATAGAATTTGTCGAAGATCATGCTTCTAAAATCATTAATAATATATCAAATTATTATTTTATAAAAATTTCGCTAACTAGCTAGGGATTTTCTATAATTTTGATAGCTAAAACTAAAGGGTGGAATTAGCAAAAAAATCAAGGATGGCCTTAAAAATGATCCTTAAAGGCTCCAAGCCAGATTCTTCTCTTCTTGACGAAAACACCCAAAAAGCTATAGGAAGGATTGTCAGCTTTGGAAAAGACGTTGAAAGGATTCTGCAGAAAATGCAGATGCTGGCAAGTCCACAGCAAGGGGTTTCTGTAGATAGGGATGAAATTGTGAAGCAGCTGGTCATAACTTTGAATGAGCAGAAAGAAACAATAAACAATATTTTGACAAATATTTAATTAATAGATAAAATTAAATATAGGTTTTTTATTATATTTAAATAATTATTTTGCTAGTAAACTTCCTTGATATTTCCAAAAAGAATTTCTCAAAATATAAAATATGGATTTAAAAATTCACGCAATTCTAAATTTATGCTTGAATTTTTGTTTTTTCTCCTTATCTCTTATCTCTCTTTTCTTGAATTATTTCTCAATATCAAGCTACAATATAGGCCTCTACACAATTTCTTATACTCTGACATATGAAGATATTGAAGATCTCAGTGTTTACACTCATTTTGAAAATTTCAAAAATAAAGCATGCCAAGCTACCCAGGACGAAGACGTCCAGTTCATATGCAGCAATATTCAGAATATCGAAACAGCTGGAATCTTATATTTCCTTCTAACAATGATGTCATTGATTTCTCTTTTTCTCACTTTAATGAATCTCATTATTGCTGATGCCTGATTATAGATAGAAGGGATACTTTTTTACGGTTCGAAAAATTTATACATTAAAACAATCGTTTAAAGCCGACTTTGTGGATAAATTACAGTAGCGCGTATCAATTTTTCGACATAATTAAATAGGAAATTTTTATTTTAGCTGTCTATTAAGAACTAAACTAGTGAAATAGAATATACGAAACAGTGGGAAGTATTTTAAGCAGCATTTGGTCAAATCGAATAAAAGAAATGCTTCGAGTCGCCTTTGTAAATTATCATTTAGTCAATCAATGCAAATATAAGAAAAGCATGATAAATACATTTGATTCTGAATTGTAAAAGTCTATATTGGTCGGCTGAAAGAATTATTAAAAGGAGATAGTGTAAAATAAAGTTTTTGATTTTCACTTAAAGCCATATTTAATTTTTTAAGACCCTTATATATCAAATAGAGATTTTAATAGCTATATAAATTTATTTATAAAATAAACAAGTATGCAATTTTTATATTAAGCCCACTTTTAAAAATAGCTCATTTAATTGTCAAAATGGTTTACACTTGCCAAAAAATTTTTTGACTGGCCATTTTTAATTCCCATTTTAGGCCAGGCGATTTTACTGAGAAATTGCCATTTTTCAAACATAAAGAGAGAAGCACTATTTTAATTTTAAAATATGCCTTCGCTTCATTTTGCCGAACCTTAATGCTAGATATTAAAATTTTTTAAAAATTATTAAAAAACAATTATATAAAACTTTATTGATCTAGTTTAAACTAGGAATTTTTTATTATAATCTGATTATTTCTCTAAATAGTGCGGAGTCTAGTTTTAGATGTATAAGATATGAAGCCCATTAGAACTGTTACATTTTCAATGAGGTCAATCTATAAAAGTTCATGAGCTATACAGCAATTTCTTCACATAAGAAATTTTGGCTTTACCTAAAATTTCCCCACTTCATAAACGCTCTTATCTTTTTTATCTCAGTCGCAAGCTACCTTATTATCAGCAAAATCACCACTTTAGACTCAGAAAAGGTACAAATTGATTCAGGAATCAAAATTTTTTATATAATTGCAATAGTCGCTGTTTTAACATTAATCCACTATATTTTCCTCAAAAAATTCAAAAATATTGACCAGCTTTATAATGACGCTTATTCAGCCCAAGTTGACCTAAAAAGTGGAGACTCCAAACCTTCAGGCGGTATTTTTAATAGACAAGGTATAAAAAGCAAAGTTGGGGATGAAATTATTATGGAGCCGAACCAGAGGAAGGACAAAGCTGAAGCTTCTGGTGATGATTCGTCTATTGAGATCGTCAGACTGAGAAAGGACAATGATCAATTGATTTCTGAGTTAGCCCAGCTGAGAAGATCTTATGAAGAAAATAAGTCAAAAGATATGAGCACTGAAGTAAATTCCTCAAGCTTTGTAGGACTGATTGACAAAAAAGAAGACGAAACTGGAAAGCTGAGAAATCTTCTTGATGTGTTTAGAAAAGAAATAATACAGAAAGATTTAAGGATTGATGAGCTAGAGAGAGCGGCTACTGTTAATAAGCAGGCTATGGAATCTTTAAAAGAAATCAAAGATGAAATTTCAAAAAATTTGAGCGAAACAGAGAAACAAGCTAATGAATCAAATAGAGAAAAAAATAAATTAAAATCAATTTTAGCCTCAAAAAACGACGAATATGAAACTCTTTATAAAGACTATAACAATTTAAGAAAAGAATTAGTCATCATTAAAGAATCAAATAAAACCCCAAATGAGCTAAGCCTAGAAAACCTCAATGAAGCCCTGCTAAAGCAGAAATCAGAAAACAGCAGCCTAAAAGACCAAATACAAAAGTTTGAAATGATAAGAGATGAGCTTGAAATCAGAAATCGGGAGCTAAGCCAAGCTTATGAGGACGCTGTGAGGTCAAAAACTGACTCTTCATTAGTTAACTATGACGAAGAAAAACTGCTAGAAAGGATAAGAGAGCTAGACTCAGCAATTGAAGAAAACACAACCACAAATAACAATCTTCGGAGTCAGATAAACGAGCTTGAAGCTTCAAGCCAAGAGTATTTATTATTAAAAAAGGCTTATCAAAAAACAATAGAAGAGCTAAAATCAGCCAATTCTGAAATTTTAGATCTTAGTGAAAAAATAAAAGAATTCAAAAAAGACGCTGACACCAAAGGCAGAATCCTCAAAGACTTCGTTACTCAAAAAAAACAAATCGACGCCTACCAATCCCAAATTGAAGCTTTACAAACCCAAGCTGCCCACAACCAGTCTGAATGGGACATCCAGCGCAATGACCTAAACTATACCATAACCCAGCTACGGCGAGAAACTGAGCAGCTCCAAAAGCGTCTTAAATCCCAAGAGGCAAATCTTTACAAAGAGCTTCAAGACTCTTCTAATCAAATTGACAAGCTTAAAGACGAAAATAAATTTTTCAAAAATCAGCTTGAAATTTCACAAGCTGAAATCGACAGAATGAAAAAACTTCAGGAAGCCTTAAAGCAGCAACTTCTCCAAAAAGAAGCAAAATTTGAAGAAACAAGCCAAGGGGAAATGAAAAAGTCTATGAGCAATGATAAAATAATAAAAATTCTTTCAGATCAGAACTCAGATTTATCAAACAGCCTGAAGCTGTCACAGCAAAAAATGAAAGAGGTAATTGATGAAAAAGAAGAAATGAGGAAACAGCTGAATTCGCAGAGTTTGGAGCTGTCACAAATTAGTGGGGAAAATTTAAGCTTGCATAAGTCGCTGTTTGAGATGGGAAAATTCTCGTCAGTTTATAGCTCAAGAGAAGAATATAGTAATAATACCAGCTTAAGCAGCTCTATAAGTGTACAAGAGCTAATGATAATCGAAAGCATGGCAGAAATTGACGCCCAGCCAAATAAACTAATGGAAATGGCAGAAAAAATGAAAAGGGAACCTCCAATGACTTATTCAAATGTATGGAAATTACTAGAAAATTTGATTGACGAAAAATGCAAGCTGGATAAGCTAGAATTAGCATTAGGCAGACAGCCAAGGGATATGGTGGATTTCGCTTTAGATTACATGTATTTACAATTTGGCCTAAAAACAGTCGCCCACAAGCAGCTTAAAGCTTTAATGATTTCTCTAGAAGAGCTCTACAAAATAAGTCACCCCTATGCTGTCGCTTTCTGCAGAATGCTTGGAGTCTTCCATTCTAGGCCTTTACCAAGCCACGTCTGTGTATTTTTACTAATGATTCATGAGCTTTTTGTCCTTTCTTCTAATAAATCTAAGCCAAAAACTGACAGTTTTGCCCAGCACTACGAAATCCAGCAATACGGAGGGGAAACTTCTATTATTGATATAATGGAGCTTATAATGAAAGTATGCAAAAACGACAGAGAAATTGGAGAAAGAATAATAGCAAGGATCCAAAAAGAAAATTTGGACAGATATGATATGATTGCTATAAAAGTGGTCGGGACTATGGCAAAAATGGGGATTTCGCCTGAAAATATGTTTGAAATTTTAGATTTGGACCATGGAGAAACATTGGATTATCATGAATTTGTGGACTCTATAAGGATAAAATTAAATATCTGGATCACTCAAGATGAAGCTGAATTTCTGTGTGGGTCAATTGACAATGAAGGCAAAGGGATATTCTAGATAATAAAAATAATAAAAAAAAATAATTATATAGAAATTAATATTATTTATAGGAAATTGGCTTAATTTCTCATGAAGAATGGCAAGATAAAATAGATTTCGAAAAATACCTGGAGCTTTCAGACTCCAAAGCCGCCATGATCACCAAATCCCAGCTTTTTAACGCCTTTATAGACGAATACGAATTCGAAATAATCCAAGACTACAATAAACTCAGAAAAAAAATAAAGCAGACTCGACTAGACCAGCCAAGTTTTAAAGAAAAAGTCCTTGAGCTTGACCCAAATTATGAAGAAATCGAAATATCGCGGCTTTATGAGATCGCAAGGTCTCAAGATAACGACATAAAAGGCCTTGTCAGTGCTGAGACTTTTTGCCTGATTATTATTAAAGAAAAAATCGGTGGGTATGGAATTGGGATTTTTGGTAAAAATTATGTAGATTGGAAAAGAATTGACGCAGTTTTACCACGAGCTAGTGGAGCTTCATTTTAATAATTTAATTATAGCTATTAAACAGTCCCGTACTGGCTCTGCACATTGATTTCGAGGCTATCGTCATTTAGGTCTGGCAAATCCATGTCTTGAGGCTGCCCACTTTTTGGCTTGAGGTGGACGGTTGTCCTGAAAAGTCCTTTAATGTGTTGTCCAAAAGGCACTAAGTCCCAGCCTTTTTCTCCATTTCTGTGCTGTGAATAAACATAAGCTATTAGGTATGCTGCAATGCTGCCACCTGTTAGTAAATAAATAAAGGCCCAGAATAATGAAAAAGAGCTGCTGAGTTTTTTGGATCCGCATTGCTTATAAAAATGTGCTTGAATATTCTGAAAATAAGGTAGCTCTATTACTAACTCTTCTAATTAATAGAAAACAGAGCTTTTTTATAAGAGAAAATTCGTAATAATTGGTTTTTTTTAATAATTAAAATCGCTATCCAGTCAATTTTATATGTTTTTCCTAATTAAAAAATAGGAAAATGCTTGTGGGAGTAAGAATATTTCTACTACCTTACCATTATCTACTAAACAATTATAGCTGATTTCTAGTTCTTTTGGATTTTGATCAAGCCATCCTGGCCTTTCAGCACTTCCATTCAATACAGGATATATAACCTTTTCATCTGTGATAATAAAAGGAGAGTTATAGTAAACTTTCCCAGTGTCTTCTTGCATGTGCAGATAAATTATAGTGGTTTCTTCTTCAAAGGGAACTAAATATGCATCATCTTTTGTTTTCTGGTCAAATGCTGGCTTCAATTTCCCATTTTCTGCAATTTCGCTCGACTTTGTGCTGAATCCGATTGAAAGCCCATCTCTTGTTTGTCCCTGTTCTCCACATAATCAATTTTCCTTAACCTCTGCATTTTTTACAAAAATAAAAAAATAGCCCTTTATGATGCCCATTCATAATAAAACCCCATATTTTCATCCAATTAATAGAAATGGGAGGACAGTCAGCCATATAAAAGGTCACATTTAGATGCAGTTTAGTACCCCCAGACCCTCTATTTAAGCATTCCTGTGTAACTTCATAAGCAGCAGACAGATTAAATTTCCGAATTTCTTCTTCATCTTTTGCAACATTCATATGAAGCCATTTTAGGTCATCAGTTTTGTTCTCGTCTTGATGGTGAAATTCTACCTTTTCGAAATCTTTTCACTGAGGATACGAGCTCATGACGTAAAATTTGAGAGATTGCTCATTTGCTTGAGAATTGTAGGTAGGGGTAAGATAGGTCCATTCTGCTTTGGTTTTGCCGTTTGATACAACTTTGCCGATGCTGTCAAAATGGATGCCGATGTCGATGCTTGAGCATATTTGTCCGAATGAAAAAACAGAAATCGAGAGAAGGAGAAACAGCCTTTTTGACATTTTATAATAAAGTAATTTTTAAAAAATATCATGAATTTTTATCAATTTTGATGAGGAGCATGGGAAGATAAATAAAAACTGCGTATTATTTTATTAATGTATGAAATAATTAATATTTCAAGCAAGATTTCATTAGATTTTATAGACTTATTTTATAATAAATGCAGTTCCTAGGTAAAAATTGATAAATTTCTAAATAAATGGAAGAACTGCCAAAAGATGAATTTTGGAAAATTGCAGCAGAACAATTAGAAAGCTATTTATCCCCTAAAAAACTTAGATTGGAAGAGAACACATCTCCAGATAAAAGACTTCTCTCTCTTGCTGTATTAACTCCTCCCCCGAACCGCCTTAACTTAAAAACCTCCATAATGGGAAGAACCTATCGAGTTTATGACCCATTATTTTCAAAAACCACTGATAGAACTAGCCGATACTCTGAATTTTTATAGGCCTCTAGACCTTTTTCATAGTTCTACTTTATTTAAAATCCTTTTTTAATAAAAATAATAGTCTATTTATGCTAAAATAATATTTCCTCAATAATTTAATAGTAAAAAGCCTAGTTTCTTATATCAAAACTTGACCAAGAAAATCCTCTTACTTCCTCGTAGCGAACACGCTAGATTCGGAGGGGGGTTAATTTTTTTTCTATATTTTAAAACTCCCGATTTGCGAAAAATTGGAAAGCAAAACTAATATAATTTGGTGAATTTGTTTCAAAATGCAGGTTGTTCGTTGACGGAGGGTAGTTTTTTTTTTATGAAAATAGAGATTTTCCAATGATTTTGCTCGCTCACAGAGGGGAGAGTTAAAAACTCTTCCCAAAAAGCAGTAAAAAAAGCAGAAGATCCCATCGAAGATCTTAAACCTGAAGTTGTATGGTAATTTAAACGATAGTTTCCCAAGAAATTCCTTCATATTTCTGGACAAAAAGCAAGTCTAACTCTCCCTCCTCTTAAGCTTCTTAAACAAAGAGACCTTACACCGCCTAGGAAGAAAATTGCTTTATCAATAAAAATCCAAAATTTAATTACCCAAGTAACAGGAAAATATACAAAACTATATGAAAGATTATCAGACGACAGCGGAATGATCACAAAAGAAGGAATCATTGATTATTTATCAAAAATCAGCCCAAAAAAGCGCCAAACCCCTATAAATATCAGAGGAAATGCAGTTTCCCCTCCAGAAACACGAGGAATTACCCCATGGAGGACACATGCATCAAGGGTCCAGCACATCCGGGTCCCTTGTGAAACCCCTGAAAATTCCCCAGAAATTATAGACAAAGCCAATATTTTATGGGTAGTTTTTACATAGGACATTTTTGACCCTTTTTTAACAGGCACTGTAAGCAAGCAGGCTTTTTTTGGGGTAATGATTGTGCATGAATATACCAATTTTGGAGTCTATAGGTCTAGAATTCCATCAAATAGGCTGGATTTCCAAGACATGAAGCAGATAAATCAGCTGAAAAACCAAGTAAATCAGTTTAAAGAACTGTTTGGGCAATATTGCCAAGGGAAAATAATGGGGAGAGAAGGGTTTAAAGGGCTTTTAGACGCAATTTGTAGTGATGAAGAAGTCAATGAGGTGATGGAAATGCTGGAAATAAAGGAGAGAGTCAGTTTTGGGCAATTTTTAGCGTCAATTCCATTTTTGTTGGAAAATTATGACAAGTTTTCCCTTAAAGTGGATAATAATGTAATATCATAAAATTTAAATGGAAACAAAAGCTATAGAATTCAAGACTCGTCTGACTTATCAAATAGCCAATTCCCATCTTGTTGACGCTCTGCCATATCTTGATAAATATACAGAAAATGACAACAAAATAGCTAATGAACTGGTTCAGAAGGAAATGAAATCTTTTGAGCCTGGGGACTATTTAAAAGAATTACCTTTGCCAAAGACAAATTTTGAATCAGCGCCTTATTTTAAAGAATTTTTTGACAATTATTCTAAAGAAAACCCTGTAAAGGCTGAAGCTGAGACAGAAAATTCAATTGAAGAGCTAAGAAAAGCTAAACTGCAATTTTGCTATAATGAAATGAGGAACAGCAATCTTAAGCTTCTAACCAAATTCGGCGCTGAAGCATGGAAAAGGCACATAAAAGACCTAGATTCTTATCTTAAGAGGATTGAAAAAACAGTGAAAAACTATGAAAATACTAACACAGCCATCAACCAGCACAGAAAAGCTGATCAGGAAAACGCTGAAACCCAAATAAAATCACTCCAAACCGAATGGAGCCAGCTCGTCAAAAGAAACAACGAGCTCAAAATCCTTCGAAACAGCATGGCAGGAAAGGTCAATAAATTAAAAAGACCAAAAATAGACAAAGAATAAATAACCTAGAATTTTTTAATTTTCTCTGTCTTGAACCAACGCTTTTTCTATCTCCTGGACTTCTTTTACCTCCTTTTCAATAGTTTTCTCTCTATTTTCAATCTGTTTTTTAATTTCTTCTAATGTTGAGTTTTCTACAGCCCACGTGGCCACAATATCTATTGCTGATAGCCCAGCACCTATAGCAGACGCCTTCAAAAATTTGGCATTTTTCCCAGCAGCCATTATTGATGGCCAACCTCCTTTTAAAGAAAAAATACTTTTAGTGGACTTTAAAGCTTTTAATGCTGATAAAGTTCGGTACTCTTTTACCATTTTTCATATCCTTGAGCCAATATGGTAGCTTTGCATTGCTAAATTGCTGGCTTCTACCAAATTTTTAGCTTTAAGCATGGAGACTTCGTATCGGACTGCAGCTTTTTCTTCATCTATTAGGATTTTTTTCATTTTTTTGAGCTGCTTTTTCTCAATGAAGTATTGGGTTACTGTTGTGCCGACAGAAGTAAGGCTTCCTGCAATCATTGTGAGTATCCCTAATAATGCTAAAGGGGTAAACATAAGGCCAGTACCTGCCATACTTGCACTGATTCCGACAGTATTGGAAATTTTGCAGCCAAGTAAGTGGCTTTCTAGGTCTTCTTTGATGTTGGCTAGATAAATGATAGAAGTTCGCAGCTTACCGACGTATGATTTTTTATTGATATATAAATTTTGTAAGCTGGAAAGTAGCTTGTTAGGGTCTTCTGCTTGATTAAGGCTTGATACTGGTTGATTTTTTTTATTAAATTGAGAAATTTCATAGCGGAGGAAGTAGTTATCGGAAAGATTTTTATGCTTAAAGTCTTTTTCAGTCACTGGGGAAGTTTTACTGCGATTGAGTCAGCTAGTAATTGCAGCTCGCTCATATGTGTTTCCATCAGCAGCAATTACAGGGTCTTCCATCATTTCTTGAGTGATCGGGCATAGATATTCATGAGGGATGTGAGCTGACTCAGACATATTTAAAATCCTTATGCATTGGTCTTAAAAAAATGGATGCGCCAGCTTTTTATTAATTAAGTCAGAATTTTCAGGATTTTCTAATTTATATACTTTTATTTCAAATATGCTTCAATATATGCATTTATTTATTTTTATTTAATTTTTCAATGCTTTGCTGGTCAAGTACCTTCCCAAGCCATAATTTCATCTTATCTGTAATCATTTTTATCATAATTTTTTTAATTTATAAATATTTTTAGAAAGCTTTCTTGGAAACATTTAATATTAAGGCTATTCCTTAAATTTTCAAAAAAAGGAAAAGAATCATTTTTAATTTATTATTTAAAAGCAGCATTGCTGCATTAAGCTTTGCTTGATTTATGCCAACGCATTCTCCAATTCTTCAAGTTCTTTTATCTCCTTTTCAATGAGATTCTCTTTATTATCAATTTGTATTTTAAATTCTTCCAATGTTGGATTTTTTACAGCCCATGTGAATACAATATCTAATGCAGAGAGCCCAGCCCCTAAGGCTGAAACTTTTAAAAACTTCGTTGCTTTGCAAGCTGCTACTGCTGATGACCAGCCTCCAATGCCTAATACGCTTTTAGCAGAAAAAATAGTCACATCTACAGCTTTTAAGGCTTTAAAAAGCTGAGTGTGCTTCATGATTTTCCATATTCTTGAGCCAATTTGGTAACTTTTTAATCCAAAACTTAGCAGACCAATTAAATATTGGGATTTCATTTCAGAAACTTCATAGCGGACAGCAGCTTTTTCTTCTTCTAATAAAACTTTTTTCATTCTTTTCAGTTGGCTTTTCTCTATGAAATATTGGGTTACTGTTGTTCCGATAGAAGTTAAACTGCCCGCAACAATAGTTACGACTCCTACGAGAGCTAAAGGGGTAAAAAGCATACCAGTCCCTGCAATACTTGCACTGTTTCCGGCTGTATTGGAAATTTTGCAGTTAAGCAAGTGTCTACTGAGATCTTCTTGGATATCAGTTAGATAAATTATAGTAGTCCGCAGATTAAGGATGTAGGCTCGTTTATTTTCGAGGCATTTTTCTACACTAGATACTGTTTTATCTTCTAAAGAGTCTGGAGATGGATTTTTTTCATTAAATTTAGAGATTTTAGAGGCAAGGCGGCAATTTTCGACTAGATTTTTATGTTTCAAATTTTTCCCAGTCACTGGAGAAATATCGTTGCGCTCAAATCAATGCATTATGGCTGCTCGCTCATACGTGCGCCCATCAGCAGCAACAACAGGGTCTTCCATGATTTCTTGAGTTATTGGACACAAATAGTTCTTAGGAATCGAAGCTGGCTCAACCATAATTAAATTACAATGCATTATCTACATTAATGGAAATTTATCTCTTTATAATTTTAACTTATTAAATTGATAAAAGCAATCGCATATGATAACTATTTATTCTTCTTATATATGTATAGCTAATTAAATTATATAAAATTGCTTTTTAATGGACTGTTTTTATTGAATTTAGCCTATAAAGAGTTTTATGTCTGTATACTTAAAGTAATTTAAATATTTTCAAATTTTTTGTCAATTGAAATTTTATTTCTTGATTATTTTAAACCGTCATTAAGCTAATTATTACAAATTTATATAAAAATCATAATCTAATACCTAGAAATGAATTTCGACGTTTTCACAACTGCAGCAGGATTATTAGCTAAAGCTATAGATTTTTCTAGGTTTTCAAGCTCTCTCATCTGCATTTTAATTATCCTCTCATTGCAATCAATTTCCTTCTTAACTTCTTCTAGGGTCGAGTTATTCATCGCCCAAGTCATCACGATATTGATACTTGATATTGTAACTCCAGCTATTGCACAATATTTCGGCAATTTCCCAGCACCTTACCAATACTCCCTCATCACTCACAACTTTATTACAGGCTCCGCAGCAATATTACCAACTCTTACAGCTTGCAAAGTCTGCAACTGACTTGCCATTTTTTCAATTCTTGCCTCGATCATGACGGCTTTCGTTACACAACTTGCGGTTTCTACAAAATATTGAGCTTTAATTTCAGAGACTTCATAGCAGACTGCAGCTTTTGCTTCATCAGTTAAAACTTGTTTCATTTGTTTAAGCTTATTTTTCTCTATGAAATGTTGGGCTATGGTGGATCCTTAAGAAGCTAAACTGCCAGCAATTAAGGCTCAATAAGGTTAATAGAGTAAAAAGAAGACCGGTTCCTGCAATGCTTGCGCTATTTCTGACAGTGTTGGAGATTTTGCAATCAAATAGGCTATTTTCTAGGTCTTCTTTGATATCGTTTAGATGAATGATATAAATTATGATGAAGCTTATATATTTTTTTCTTAGAAATTGCGCTTTGCATAGTGGAAACCACTTTGCTGAGCTCTTCGGAAGCCAAAGGAGCCTCGATAGATTGACTTAAGTCAACAGATTGTGGACGTCAGCAGATTTTTCTGTTGGCAATGTCATTAAATAGAGAAATTATGGAGCAGAGATGGTGATTTGGATGACTACTATACAAACACCCAGCATTTAATTGAAATTATAAAACTCCTTTTATAGGTCAACACAGATTACCACCATTTTAGTAATTTCGAGATAAATAAGGAGAAAGATGTCACAAAGCAGTCAATTCTTAAGGCTTTATGTCATGATGGTTTTAATTTTAAAAGCGACTTATATTTATATTATCCAAAGTAAATCAAATCTTAGATAATATTTTTTCTTGGAAACAAGGCTGTTGGCATCTTCAACTTAATTTGAAGGGGTTGTTTTCCGATGAAGTTGATCTAAATATTGAGATATCTTAGAACGGAGACGGTGGTTTTCAGTAAGTTCTTTATTTCTAAAATCTTCTCGAGCCAAAGGCGAAGTATTGCTTCTTTCAAACCATATGCTATCCTTTCATAAGTGTACCCGTCACTAGCGACTACAGGATCTTCCATTATCTCTTTAGTGATTGGGCATAGAAAATCTACAGGAACATTATTGGACTTCACCATAATTTAGGAATTTTTATTAGGGATTTGTAATTTATGTAAATTTATGATTTATGGAATCTACAAAAATGGAATTTAATTTTTATTGATAAAATAGTAAGCAAAATGCTAATACTTCTTTTAAAAAAATGGATACACCAGCTTTTATTAATTAAGTCAGAATTTTCAGGATTTTCTGATTTATAAACTTTTGTTTCAAATATGCCTCAATATATGCACTTATTTATTTTTATTTAATTTTATTAATATGCTTTGCTGATCAAGTACTTCCCCAAGCCATAATTCCACCTTATCTGCAAGCATTTTATTTATTTCATCATAATTTTTAATTTATATATATTTTTAGAAAGCTTTAATATTAAAGCTAACTTTAATTAATTATTTCCTTAGTGGCATTGCTGCATTAAATTTTCCATTCATTTGGCAACGATTTTTCCCAATCTTCAAGTTCTTTCGTATACAATTCAATGTGTTTTTCTCTATTATCTATTTGTATTTTAAATTGTTCCAATGTTGAATTTTTAAATGTCCATGTGATTATAATATCAACTGCAGATAGTCCAGCCCCAAAGGCTGAGGATAATGCAAACTTCGTCCCTTTGCAAGCTGCTGCTGCTGATGACCAGCCCCCAATGCCCAATACGCTTTTAGTAGTCATATTTGTAGCTTTTAAGCCTTCAAAAAGCTGAGCGTACTTCATGATTTTCCATATTCTTGAGCCAACTTGGTAGCAATTTGTTCCAAAATTCATCAGACCAATGAAATATTGGGATTTCATTTGAGAAACTTCATAGCGGAATTTAGCTTTTTCTTCTTCCTTTATAATTTTTTTCATTCTTTTCTGCAGGCTTTTCTCTATGAAAAATTGGGTTACATTTGTTCCGATAGAAGTTAAACTGCCCGCAATAATAGTTACGATCCCTATTAGAGCCAAAGGGGTAAAAAGTATACCAGTCCCTGCAATACTTGCACTATTTCCAGCTGTATTGGAAATTTTACAGTTAAGCAAGTGTTCGCTGAGATCTTCTTGGACAGCAGTTAGTTTTACAATACTAATCCGCAGCTGAGCAATAAGGAGTCTTTTGTTTTCAAGGCACTGTACTATACTAGTAACTGCTTTATCTTCTAAAGAGTCTGGAGATGGATTTTTTTCATTAAATTTAGAAATTTCAGAGGCAAGGCGGTCATTTGTGACAAGGTCTTTATGTTTCAATTTTTTCTCAGTCGCTCAAGAAATATCGTTGCGCTCAAGTCAAAGCATTATGGCTTTGCGCTCATATGTGAATCCATCAGCAGCAACAACAGGGTCTTCCATGATTTCTTGAGTTATGGGACATAAATAATTCTTAGGAATAGAGGCTGGCTTAACCATAATCAATTAAAATACAGATCTACAAAAAATGGAAAACTTATCTCTTTATAATTTTAACTTATTAAATTGGTAAAAGCAATTATTTATTTTCTTTTATATGCATAGCTGATTTAATTATATAAAATTTACTTTTTGGCTTTTTAATGGACTGTTTTTATTGAATTTAATCTTAATAGCGATAAAAAATTCATTTTTGTAAAAGCTTTTATGTCTGCATAACTTAGGAATTCATATAATATGTGTTTGATGATGTTTGAAAATAATCAAGAAATAAATTTCCAATTGGCAAAAAAATTGAAAATATATAAATCATTTTTATTAATCATTCACAAATTTATGTAAAAATCGCTGCTATTGCTATATCACATCAGGATTATTAGTTTAATCTATAAAATTTTTTAGATTTGCAAGCTCTCTCATCTGAATTTCAATCATCCTCTTTTTCAAATCAATTTCGTTCTTAACTTCTTCTAGGGTCGAGTTATTCATCACCCAAATCATCACGATATCGATACTTGATATTATAACTCCAGATTCAAGAGATAATGTTTATGACAAATAGCAATTTCGAAAGAAATATGCAAAGAGGTGAGGTAGCTCATGCTACTCTAAATCTGGAATTTTATATTTTAAATTGTTAAAATACAATGAATACAGTAGAATTATATTTTAACCTAAAATTGTATTGAGTGTGGAATAAAAGAAATATTCTAAGTCCATATTTACCATAATGAAAACATAAAATCAATAAATCGCTCTTAGCATATGGAATTTATTTTATCAATGCCCTCTTAAAGAGTGAGCAAAATGTTTTAAAAGGAAAATCTTTATAAAAAACTTTTTTTGGATTTAAAAATCTTAAATTTGCATATATTTGAGAGCAATCTATTTCATTAGCCTAAATAATTCAGATACCATCAGAAAATAAATAAATTCAAAATTAAGAAAAGCAAAACCTGGACCTCTACTAAAAAAATCGCAAAAAGCATTGCAATTATTATATTAATCTAAAGACTCCAAGTCTTCAAGCTCTTTCATCTGAGCCTCAATCATTTTATCTCTGTATTCAATCTCATTATTTATTAATTCTAGTGTCGAATTATCCATCGTCCACGTCAAGACGATATCAATAGTCGATATGGCGACTCCTGCAACTGCACAAACTTTCGAAAATTTCCCAACTGTCATCACTTTTGACAATGCATTTCCTCCAGAAATCGCATTTGCAGTAGGCTTTATAGCAGCATTTGCAATCCTGGCTGCTTGCATTGCCTGAACCCATCTTACAATTTGATTAATACCTGGTCAAGCACAGGTAGCAACCCTACACCCCCACCCCCCCTAAAAGTGGTACCCCCACCCTCCTAAAAAATGGCACCCCCACCCCCATCCCCCATAATATAGCATAAAATATATGAAAAATGCCAATTTAGAGCAGACGTAATAAATAAATTATTATTTTAAATATTCAAAATTACTGATTTATGCGATATCCACATAGCGTAGCACAATCGATTAATGGAATGGGGTGAGAATTTCCTATAACTAGTAAGCTCACCAAATCTGAAAAAAATTTTTTAGCAAGCATAATAATGATCTTTGGTATTAATTAGCAATATATCCTGCATATATTTATGAACTTTGTGGAACAATGGCTAAAAGTCGAATTAGAGATTCAAAAGTAAAACTGACAATAGCAAATACTATTTTTATTACCACTATTGAATCCTGCTACCAATTCAGTCCTGCAATCCTTTGTACAATTGTCATTAGATTAGCTTTAATTTATGAATCAATAAATTTAAAGCAAGTTATTGTGTTATCCTTGGCTAATTTAATAATTAATGCCATTATCTATATCTTTGGCATTATATCTATAAATATAAAAAACAAATTTAATATATTTTCTAATTAATTTCTAATTAATTAGCAATTAATTAGAAAATATAAAGTAATTTGTGGACTTAATTTAAAAATATAGTGTTTTAATTGGGTTATGTTTAATTTATTCTGCTTATTTCCTATCAAATACTTCTATAGGATAAACCCGAGAGGGGGGGGTGGGGGTGCCATCTGTGGAAGGGGGGTGGGGGGGTTCCCTTATTGGGGGGTGGGGGTGTCTGGTTGCGACCTATGCTTGACCAAATACCAATTGCGGTTTCTACAAAAAGTTTGGCTTTATATTCAGAGATTTGATAGCGGATTGCAGCTTTTTCTTCTTCAATTAAAACTACTTTCATGCTTTTGAGCTTGCCTTTCTCTATGAAGTGCTGAGTTATTGAGGTTCCTAATGAGGTTATCCCACCTGCAATGGCGCCTATTATACCTACAATGAACAAAGGAGTAAAAATAAGTGGAGTGCTTGCAATAGTGACACCGTTTCCAACGGTATTGGAAATTTTGCAATTGAGAAGGTGGTTATTAAGGTCATTTTTTAAATCAGTTAGATAGTCTCTTGTAATTCTAAGTTTGAGTAGATAAAATTTTTTCTTGGAAATTAAGCTGCTGGCACCTTCAAATTCTTCTGAAGAGGTTGTTTTCCGATGAGTTTTAGCTAAATATTCAGATATCATAAACGGAGACGGCAGTTTTCGGTAAGTTCTTTATTTCTAAAATCTTTTAGAGTCATAGGCGAAGTATTACTTTTTTCAAACCATAGCAGAATTGCTGTCCTTTCGTAAGTGTGCCCATCAGCAGCAACTACAGGATCATCCATTATCTCTTGAGTGATTGGGCATAGAAAGTTTTTAGGAATATGATCGGACTCCACCATAATATAGGAAATTATTATTAGGGATTTGCAATTTATGTAAATTTATGATTTATGGAATCTACAAAAAAATGGAATTTAATTTTTATTGATAAAATAGTAAGCAAAATGCTAATGCTTCTTTTCTACTTTAAACGAATAATTGGTATTTAGAATGCTGCTTAAATCGTCATATGTAAAAATCCTCTATGACTGAGCGTTTTTAAGGTCTTTTTTAAAATTTTTTATAATCTTTCATTCAAAGTCTATAATCTATCTAGCTGAATTTTCAGATTATATTTACCAGAGATTTTATGAAAACGATTTTCAAGCAAATAAGAGTAGGAATTTGCTTAGAGTTCGCACCGACTCATACAAATTAGGTAGTTGCTTATAATTATAAATCTGACATGTATTTAAATATATAAAAACGAAATAGATATGGGAACCATTGAAGAATATTTTATATCTATAAGGAATTTATGGTCAATTGTTAAATTAAGGCCAAAGTCTCTCAAGATACTCAATCTCTTTCACCATCTCGTCAATTATTTTCTCTCTTTTCTTAATTTCCTCCTTAATTTTTCTCAGAGTTGCACTCTCTATTACCCATGTTGCAATTATATCAATAGTTGATAGCCTGATAGTTCCCTCTGCAAAGTTCATCTGAGCTTTTTTTACAACTTTTGAGTTTGTAAAATCTATACTTTTAAGTGCTGTTGTAGCAAGCAGACCCACTTGAAATACAATACTTTCGAGTCCTAACATGAAATGATCGAATTCATCTTCTGAAATTTCGCAAGAAATTTGTGCTTTTTCTTCTTTTATCAATACTTTTCTTACTTCTTCAAGTGCATCGCCTTCAAGTACTCTTCGAACTATTTTTGATCCAATAGAAGTCCCTCCTCCTAAAATTACAGCTCCAGCGCCTAAAAGTGTTAAAGGGGTAAAAATAAGCGCAGTCCCTAGAATGCTTGTAACGGCTCCTAGGGTATTGAAAACTCTACATTTCTTAAGATCCTTTTTAAGCTCTTTTTTGATAGCGACCAGATGATTTTTAGAATCCCTGACTGTGCAAATGTAATGCTTTCTCTTTGAAATATTATTATTGAGTCTCATAGGAAAAAAATTATAATCTCTAATATAATTTATGAACCTTTACTGAATTTTATAATTAAGAATGCCCTAGTCAATACTATGATGAGTTTGAAAATTTTAAGCTATATTAATTACTATCAAAAATTGCAACTAGGGTGGGTATCATTCTTGTGTGAAAATTGTTTATCAATCAAGAATAGTAAATTTTTCCAATTTTTAGGATGATACAGTTCAATCAGGGATTTAGGGTGAGTAAGAGCTTATTTTTGGTAATAAAATGTCTGTTGAATCTACAAAAATGGAAAATCAATTTATTTCTGATAAAATATAAAATATAAGTTCTATTTTATCAGTTATTTCAAAAATAGCATTCACACAAATAGATTGTGCTGTTTTAAATAATTTATAGATATTTACAATTTTTTATCAATTTATTTATCATTATTTATTAGGCATAGCCTAATTCAATTCCTAGTTTATGATAAAATATTTTTCACTATATAATGCCTTAAAAAGTGATGAAAAGCTTAACACTATTTCCCAGCATATTAAATAACTAAAAATAGTTACCACCTCCTAAAATGAGACTAAAAAATTCTATTTGAAAAGGGCTAATTTAGCAATTTAAAACTGCAGCTTAAGCAGACTAATCTCTTTCTCATAATTAGCTAATTAATAATTAAATTTGGAAGAATAGTTAAAGATATTATTTATCTTGGGGAGATAATTTTTAAATCCCGAAGCTCTCTGCTCTCTTCATTGAGTAACATTTTTTTATTCTTAATTTGACTCTTGAATTCTTCAAGCGTTTCATTATCAAGTGTCCATGTTAAAACAATATCTATTGCAGAGATTGCTGCACCTGCATATGCAAAACCTTTAGAATATTTTCCAGCAGTAATGATCTTTGACAGCACTCCTCCTGCAGACGCAGCAGTAGTTGAAGTCTTTACAGCGCTAGTGGCATTTAATAAAACTTCACAAGCAGTTATAATTTTCTGAAGTCTCGTAGTAATCATAGCAGCTTTAGTTATGGAGTTTGCAGTTTCTACAAAAAATCTGACTTTAACCTTTTCGACCTCATAAATGAGTTTTGCTTTTTCCTCTTCCAATAATGCTTTTTTTAGTTGCTTGGCTGTATCTTTTTCAATGCAATATTGGGTTATAGAGGTTCCTATAGAAGTTGCACCTCCTACAACTAAAGTCAACAGCCCAATTAAGGATAAAGGGGTAAAAAGAAGGACTGTCCCCACAATACTCGCACTGTTTCCACTAGTGTTTACTATTTTACAATTTCGCAAGTCCTTTTTCAAAGATTTTTTTATTTTAGTCAAAGTGGCTATTGATATCCGAATTTTTTCAACGTAAAGTTCTTTAGCCTTTATAATATAACTTCATCCAGCTTTTTTGCAAGAAAATTCTCTGTAGCCAATTTTTATAAAGCTTTGCCTCACCCAAATCTATCATGGGAATAATGGTGTATTTATCTATCCTGCTTAGGATAAGTGGCTAATCTGAATCAGGGACGGAAGCCTGTATAGGCTGCATAATAGTGACGCTAAACTCTTATAAATCTAACTTAACTTCTTTAGCGTTAATCATGTTTCTCGTGCAGGTAACCACGTTTTCAATTTCATTAGTTTGAGAAGTTGCTATTGAACTCCTTAGCATTTTGAATTTAGAAATTTTGGAGAGCAAGGTAAAATTCGTGACAAGAGTTTTATTTTTAAAATCTTTAAAAGTTACTGGAGAGATGTTGTTATTTTCAAAAAAGATAGTTATTGCTCTACGCTCATAGGTGAATCCATCAGCAGCAACTACAGGGTCGTCCATGATTTGTCTAGTAATTGGGCAAGCATACTCTTCAGGAATAAGTGTAGGTTCAACCATTTTTATATATATTCTAGTTATGTTTTTGCGAAATTTGTGAACTTAGTTTCTACATAAATGGAAAACTAATATTTCGGTTTATTTACTTTCACGAAAGGGTTATGTTTCTTTAGCTTTTAGTCTTCAGCAAATGATATATGCTAGCATAGTTTATTAGTTTATGGATATCTCTTATGAATATTCATTAATTTTTTTAGATCTTTCTACATTATAAAAATTGGCCGGTTATTTTCTATTTTGTTTTAGAGAGAATGAAACCAGTGTAATTTTCTTGAAGAGGCTATGCTTGCATTAAATAATTAAAGCTAAAAAATATAAGCATATTTTAATTGAGATTTAAATTTAGCTATTTTATTTAGATAGGCTCTATTAGTTTATTTAGAAAGAATTATAAGCAATTTCTCCATAGAAATTTTCTAGCAAGGTAAAATTCGTAGCAATTTCTTTATTTTCAAATTCTTAAAAAGTTACTGGAGAGACGTTATTATTTTCAAAATAGATAATTATTGCTCTATGCTCATAGATGACTCCATCAGCAGCAATTACAGGGTCTTCCATAATCTTTCTACTAATTGGGCAAGCATCCTCATCAGGAAGAAGTGTCAATTCAACCATTTTTTAAATATTCCCGAATTTTTAATTTTGCCGACACTCTTAGATTATTGAGAAGTTTTATATGGCACCCCATAGGCATTTTCTTTACTCTTGTTTCACTTATTTTGCCGCATGTTTCTTTTAGTTACTCAGAATTGGGTTCTCTAATAAAATGTTGTAAGATAAGTCACCTACGTGCGTCAAACAAGGGCTAAATTTATTAAAAATTCAAAATTTCTGATAGCTTTTATCTAAGCTAAGCGTGCTTTTATTTGAATATTAATTTCTAAAAGTCTTTTTAAATCCATTTTAGAGTTCTAAGAATTGGCTTTTATATGCGTTTTTTAAAATTTATTTCGATAATTCATTTTTATTTATATGAAGGTCGACCCGACTGAAGGCATACTTTATAATTTTTTGTCTTTCCTTTGGTATTGGTGCTTATTCTCCTTTTGCAAAATGGGTTTTTACTCCAAACAATCTAGTAGATAGGAAGATCAAAAACTTATTATCTAATAGCAATGAGCCTTTCTATGCAGATAAGGAAGATATTACTACATCAGATGTAACTTGCAAAGGTCTTCAATCCGATACTTCCGATAATGGATACTGAGGACATGTTTGAGCGATTACTGAAGCCACAGTCGAGTATGGGATAAGTATATGAATGAGCTTGCAAGGTAATGGATACCCAGTTGATATTGGGTATGACAATTATGCAACCACATTTAAGATCACACAACCTTGATTTTTTACAGAACTAAAGAAGTTCCTATTACCGAAGGTATGCTTTAGATAGGAAAATGAATATTTTTAGTATTTTATTACGTTCAAATTAACACCCTTTACACTTGTACAGTTATTTCTCCAGAGTTTTCCACTTTTACTTTAACTGACATAGATCCAGACAATAAAATTATGATTGGACATAGAATAGATGCATACTATTATGAGATTCAATTCTTCAAAAAAGCAGATATAAATTCTTCTATTGTCACTTTATATGATATCTCTGATGCTACTTATAATGCTACAACTTCGACTTGTCCAGCTTCTTGCAATACTTATTGTCACTCCGATGTGGGATGCTTGAGCTCAACAGCTTGCCCATGCCCGGCACTTTGCACATGCTCTGCAAATGATGGAGTGTGCTCGTCTTGCAATGATCTAAATGGCGTCCTTGCGAATAAGTGTCAATGTAAAACTAATTTTGATCTCCAAGGACTTACTTGTGTCTCGAGTAATTTTTATACAGAATCCCCTCCCAATTGTGCATTATGAACACCAGAAAAGGTATGCACTCAATGCAATCCAAACTTTTTCCTCTATAATAGCGGCTCTTCTACAAGTTGCTTAGGTAACTTTTATTTAGCTTGTGACTCATGCACTTCTTGCAACGCTAGTCCTACTTGCTTTAAATGCGCTGATGTAATTTCTCAATCTGGAAATTCCTGCAGAGTTGACTCAGTTGGGTACAAGTTTAGCTTTGTCTCTCCAAACATTATTGTCGACTTCGCCTATCCGTTGGCAAAGACTCTAAAAATCAGCAACTTAAAAGCAACAACTACGGATAACCAGGCTATCGCGACCATACTTGGCAAATTCACTCACAAACGGCAAGCCAGCTACAGATAAGAACTGATCTTATTCTAAGCCAACTCCCAATCAGACTTAAATTCAGCTTTGAGCAGGACTCTTAGAAGGATAATTAATTCCTTTTTCTTAATTAGTAATTTATAAAAAAGTTTGTTTATATTTATCGTTTGCATATAACTCAGTATATATAAAAATGTTTCTCGAAGCTTATTCCAAGACCATTAGCAATCATATTTGTGAATAATTGATAAAATTTACTTCTTTAAATCAATGAATATATATTAATATATGCATTAAATAAGCTATAATAATAAATTTATTTGATTTTAATTTTAGCATAAAATTCTCAATTTACACAAACATTTGTTACCATCTAAAAAAGGTTAGGAGTAAAAATTTTAAAAAATTATTTTTAAAATGTTATATAAATTGATATTGTAATTGCCCGAGGATGGCGCAAGATAGCGCCATCCTCGGGCAATTACTATAAGCTCATATTGCTTTTTTATCTATATTGAATGTAGGTTCAACTTCATGGAATTTAATTTTTATCAATAATAGTCGACGCACGCTGCAATATATTTCTTTTTTACAACATGCTAAAATTTTGAGCTCTCTAAATATTACTATTATTGATATTTAAAGAAAAAAGATAAATCACTAATGTAGGAAAAGCTAGATTTTATAAATACTTATTATATTCGGGATATGGAATTATTTTCATCAAAGATTTAATTTTCCTCAAATACTTTTTTCTTCTAATAAAATAGCAAATAAATCCAAAAGCACATAATAAACGAAATCTCAATAAAAACACCCAAAACTCCTATAATCACATTAATTTGGCCATCAACCACACTTTGCGAATACTGATCAAACTCGATGATTAGCCTATTAAACTCAACTTTCAGTCGTTTATAAATAGATTAAACCGTCCAGCTGAAACTCTGAAAATGAATCTATAACCAGCTTGAAACAAGACCATATCTCCAGCTGAATTAAGCCCATGTGTGAATTCATCTCAAGTCGAATCGTCAGCTTTTTCGAAAAATTACTTGACAAAATGTGGGAATTTTGGAATTTCTGCGAAAATTTAATTCTATGCATGGACTCTTTGATTGAAGATAAACTATTTCTGAAAGAATATGAGTAAATTATTAAGTATCCAGCCATAAGCGATCCCCAAAGCTCTGACCATCCACCCCGTCTCGGCTCCAAAATGGTATCCGAGGACGTCATCTTGAATTTCCGACTTTAGCCACCTTTACAGGAAATTAGCTCGCCCTGGACCGCTCTTAGATAGCGCCCCGATGGTCCCGATATTTGGTAGGTAAAACCTGTATAGTCCATCTGGGACAGGGAAAACCTTCTCGACAAATAAAACTTCTCTCTTTTGGCAAGGCATCCACAAGCCTGAAGGCCTACTTCCACCGGGACAAAGACCCTACTTTCAGCACATCAGGATGGTCCATAGTGAGTGCGTCTCGAGTCTAGGTTCCGTCAAAATTTTATTTCTATATGAGTAAGGCATTCGTTTTTTAAAGAGAAATCCCATCAGTCTCACCTGCACTTTCTGTTGCCATATTCCTAAGGTGACATATAAAATAAATGTTTATTAGTTGATTATTACTTACTCCCCCCCTCCGTGAGTGAACAAAACCATTAGAAAAATCGCTATTTTTGGCCCAAAAACCCACCCTCCGTGAGTGAACAAAAAATTTTTTAATAGAAAAAATTTTTATCGAAAAAAAATTAGATATATAAATGATAATTAGTATATAATGAAATCTAGAGCTAATCTGTTTAATTTTAAACGAATTGCTTTTTAAAACATAAATTTTATAAATTAAATTAATATTTGCTTTCCAATTTTTGCGAATTAGGATTTTTTTAAATTTCGAAAAAAAAAATTTTATAAAATTTATCCCCTCCGTGAGTGAACAAAATTTTTTTGTTCACTCACGGAGGGGGGGGGAGTTAGAGTTTGGGTATTTTCATATAGATAAGCTATTTACAATAGAAAACAGACTTATAACAATAAGATATATGGAAATTCTTAATAGGTACTTTCATTATATCTTGCTTGGAGTTTAATATAATTTTTGAATTACCCTTCTATGATATTGATAAAATTTTAATATCCGGGCCTAATGAATTTTTGTTTCAAATTTCAAAGGGCTTCTACAAGAATTCAAGAGCTCTAAAATGCATACTTGGTAACTTTAAAATGGCCGCAAAAAGAGTGGGCTTGGAAGTCATAGATTTTTAGCATATCAAAAATTTGTAATAATTTTTGAAATCCTTTAAGACCAAAAAGAGAGCATACTACTAGCGATAAGCTTAGCTTATGCAAAATAAATTAAAAAAAATAACTGGCTTGCTTACTTTTTCTAGCTCAAACTTTAATAGTGCTAATTTGAAGAAACAGATTAATCAAGGCCATAAGCTGGAGTAAAATGCAATATATTTTTTAAGTTTAAGGATAGACGCGATACTATTACAAATAATTTTGTAAGATTGAAAAGCGATGACTATAGATGGGATATAATTTTAAGTATTAGCCTTATTGTGGCTCTGATTCATAATTTTTAAATCCATTCACAAATCTACCTTTATGGAGATTTCAATTACAAATAAATTTTATTCAGCGTTTAATTGAGATGATACACTGAATAATAATTATTTATGGTTTTTCGAAATAATCTAAGACTTATCTTAATAATTTAGTTATGATAATAAACTGAATTCCTTATAATTATAAAAATTTTCTTCAATATCAATGCAACTTTAGATATTTAAATAAATTTGGGTTTCATTGATTTTGATAATTTGTGCGATAAGTATTTTATTGAATTTATAATTATAAGTGACTAGAACTTCTAATATATTTTAGCTAAAGCGAACTTTAAGCAAATTCTTACTCTTTTGTTTGAAAATATTTTTCATAAAATCTCTGATAAATATATATTTGGAAATTCAGCTAGATAGAATTATAGGTTTTTGTCATCTAATGAAAGATTTTATTAAAAAATTTAAAAAAACCTTAAAAACGTTCAGTTAAAAAGGAATTTTAATGAGACGATTTAAGCAGCATACTAAATACCAATTCTTCGTTTAAACTAGCAAAGAAATATTCCCATTTTTTTTACTATTTTATCAGTAGAAACTAAATTTCATTTTTGTAGATTCGATAAATAATAAAAAAATTAAAATAGCTAAGCTAATGGAATAAGACTTTAAGGGAAACTCCGATATAGCAAGGCAAGGCCATTCCTGATGAAGCTGAAATCTTGCCTATGCCACTTTTAGAGTAGGCTTTAGGCTTGAGGGAGTCATGCTGAAAAGGGAAGATTTGTTTCTGTCTCTACTATTTCAGATGGATAAATGTTGCCTACCAATAACATCCTCTCATCGGGGACCCTACAGAAGGTGACTAAGTTGGATTATTTAAGATAGGCGTTAGCCATATTGGTGGGTCAGTAATTAAAGACCTCCCATGCGGATGTTTAACCACTTTTTGGCTCCACCCACGAGGATCTATCCAAATATGAAAGAGAGCTCTAGAATTTGCCCGCTTATGGCCAGCCAACATAATTTTTAACTTAAATCATAAATAATAAATTCATTTAAATAAATAAATCCCTAATAAAAGTTTCCTAAATTATGGTGGAGTCCGATCATGTTCCTGAAGATTTTTTATGCCCAATCACTCTAGCTATAATGGAAGATCCTGTAGTCGCTAGTGACGGGTTCACTTATGAAAGGATAGCAATCCTGCTATGGTTTGAAAGAAGCAATACTTCACCTATGACTCGAGAAGATTTTAAAAATAAAGAAGTTATCGAAAACCGCCGTCTCCGTTCTATGATATCTCAGTATTTAGATCGAACTCATCAGACAGCAACCCCTTCAGAAGTTGAAAATGCCAACGGTCTTGTTTCCAAAATGCTGGACACGATTTCCATCAAAAAAGACTATATCGACAAAATTCGAATTACAATAATTTATTTAAATGATATAAAAGAAGACCTTAATGAACATCTTCTCCATTGCAAAGTTTCCAATACCGTTGGAAACGGTGTCACTATAGCAAGCGGCTCCATGTCAAAATGACCGTGGATTTTTGATAAATACATTTTATCGAAATCCATTTGGTCGAAAATTTTTGACAGTGTGGACATTTGGCCGATTTTTTTCAGTCAAATGCATCACTATCAAAAATTTTCGATCAATTTTCGGCTAAAAATTTTCGGTGAAATAGACACTCAAAAAGGCAAAGTTATTTGACCTGCACCATAGCAAGCACTCCACTTATTTTTACTCCTCTGGCCATTGTAGGTATAATAGGCGCAATTGCAGGTGGGTTAACCTCTATAGGAACCACCGTAACTCAGTACTTCATAGAGAAAAGCAAGCTCAAAAAAATGAAAGAAGTCTTAATTGAAGAAGAAAAAGCTGCAATTCGCTATGAAGTCTCTGAAATTAAAGCCCAATATTTTGTAGAAACCGCAAATGTTATAACGCAAGGGGTCATGGCTGGTGCACGAATTACAAAAATTGTAAGAGGGGTTCAGGCAATGCAAGCAGCAAGGGTTGCAAATGCTGCTCTAAAGCCTACTGCAAATGTGATTTCTGGAGGAAATACGGTGTCAAAAGCGCTGACAGTTGGGAAATTTTCGAAATATTGTGCAGTTGCAGGGGTCGCCATATCGACTATTGATATTGTCTTGACGTGGACGATGGATAATTCGACACTAGAATTAATAAAGAAGGAGATTGACTGCAGAGAAAGAATGATTGAGATTCAGATGAAAGAGCTTGAAGCTTTGGAGAGGTCTTTAGATTAATATAATAATAATTGCAATGCTTTTATCGATTTTAATTCATTTTGAGAAGAGCCCTAGCTTTTTCTTTATTAATTTATAATTTATACATCTGTATTATTTAGGAGATTTTTCTTTTACTCCTCTTTTAGAGTTGTAAAGCCATTAGAAAATTTTTTTTTTGGGTGATTTTAACCTTTTTAAGAGCAAGCAACAATTTTTTGCATATCCTGCAGGCTTCGACTTAGTTCTTGTATTTGTAAAGAGAAAACTGGAAAAAGCTTAGCTGCTAGACCAAGGAAACAACTCCAGGTATCATGGTGAGATCCATTTTTAGGCCCCGAAAGACGCAGGCCTGTAGTTACTGATAGCAGGCACTTAGCACTGTTATAGCGGTACCCTTTACAGTTCTTTAAGGATAATTACTTTTAAAAATAAAAAAATTTGATTAAAAATTCTAACTCCCCCTCCATGAGCGAACAAAATCATTAGAAAAATCTTATTTTTTTATCAAAAACCACTTTGTGAGGGGGGAGTTAAAAACATTTTGCTCACACTATTTAAGGGTGGCATTAGTAAAATAATTTCCATGTGCTAACTCCCCCCCCTTTAAATTGGAACAAAATATAGGTAAAATTTCCACTTTTTGGTAAATTAGCCCCCCTTTAAATTGGAACAAAATTTAATTTTATAATAAAAAATTTTATATATATAAATCATAATTTTTATGTAAAAAGTTTTGATATAATTTAAATGTTTCTTCTTAACTAAAATTAAAAATTTAGTTATATCCTGATCTTGTTTAAAGAATAGAATATAAAGAGCATCTTATTTAAATAAATTTATTATCCTAAATTGTAAATTTTTAAAAAAATTTAATTTTTTTTGTTGTTGATAAAAATGATATTTTTTATATAAATAGCTTTGATATAAATCCAATACGAATTCTTTACAAAAATTCAAAATTTACTTATCTCTTGCTTATTTTTAAAGAATAGAGTATAAATAACATCTTATTTAAACAAAATTAGCACTTTGATCGATAAATTTTTCTAAAATTTTTTTTTTTCAATTTTTTTTTTATCAATAAAAATAATAATTTTGTGTAAAATAGTTTTGATACCAATTAATAGTGGCGTATTAATTAATAATAAAATTTTAGTTATATCTTGCTTTGTTTTAAAGGATAAAGAGTAAATAGCATTTTATTAAACAATTTATTAATCTAATTCGATAAATTTTTGAAATTTTTTTTTTTTTAAATTTTATATAATTTTTTTTTTTAAAAAAATTTTCTTAACCCCCCTAGTTCCAATTTAAAGGGGGGGGAGTAAGAGCAATTTATTCCTATTCTGAATAAAGCAGCTAAATTTATATATAAAACAGGCTCTATAAATAGTTTATTTAGGAAGAATTATAAACAATCATTATTCTCCATGATCCTTTCTATTAAATAATAAAATGGCAAAGGATGATTTTTGATAATATTAGGAATATCCAAGAGCTCTCTTATATATAGATTTGGCATTATGAAAAATAAATTATGGTTAATAGTTTAATTGATAATCCTTTCTAGTTCAGCAGCTCCTTCTTCTTGCAGCTTTAACTTGTTTTCTCTGTCTTTAATGCACTGCTTTATTTGTTCAAGGGTTTCATTGTCCATTTTCCACGTCATTACTATGATGTATGGGCTATAATACTTCTTCAGTTTAAAAAAGCCATTTTTTTTTAGGATAAAAGTCTAAAAATAGATCGTATCATGCCAAAGGCCCCTAAAATTTAGCCAAAGCTTTATATATCAGCAGCACTCAGTGCTGCCCCAACGAATCCAAACCACTTGGCCCTCGCACCTATTTTGAGTGCCTTTGGAAAAGTAATTGCCTTTGCTGCACTTGCTGTCTGTGCTGAATTCAAAGCTAAATTCGCTGCGCTAGTTGCTTTAAAATTATTATACGCTCTCACTAAAATCGTAGATTTTCTGATTTTGCTTATTCCATATCCTTTCTTAAGCAAATTTCATTGGAAAAATGATTTTTTTGGAAAACCCATCCTATGAATAAAAATTATATAAATAATTATTATTAGAATCAAAATTAAATAAATTATTAATATTCTTTTAAAATAAATAAATAAATAAAATAAATTAATCTGTTATGAGCAAAAATTACTTTTCAGAAAGAGTGAGTTAGCATAAACAAAGCCTGAGCTGTACTTTTTCCAGCATCTATTGAATTCCCAAGAGTCAAAAATGTCGAATTAAAAACTTCTTCTGCGTCTTCTTCTTCCTTAAGCACTTCCCTGATCTGTTCTTTTTTATTTTTTTCAATAAAATACTGAGTTATTGAAGTTCCAAGCGAAGTCAGCCCTCCAACAGTTAGGGCTATAGCCCCATATATTGGAACAGTGGTAAAGAGCAGCGCAGTCCCTGCTATTGTCCCAATGTTTCCTGATGTATTAGAAACTTTGCATCTGAAAAGATGCTCTTCTAGATCATGACTTACTTCAACATTTAAAAATAAAGAAAAATTCAAATAACTCCACTGTCAATTATATAACAAAATATCTATATTTCCTTAAATTAAATTAGATTTCTGATTCAATAATTACAAAAAAAAATTTTAAGGTATAGGGCTTTCCCTTGAATAGCCTTATAAATATAGAAAAAGCCCATCCCAGGTTAAGAGCAAGCAAAAAATCTTGCTCATTCTTAAATAGACGAGTTAGTTCTGTAAGGGTGGTTATTGATTTCTTTATATGCTCAATTAAATTTTTCTTGGCCTCGATATGAATTCTCATATCGTTTACAAGCTGAGAGTCTTCGCCAGAAAATGATTTCTTAAAATCGAGGATTAAGGAGCGTAAAGCAAAATTTGGGATAAGATTCTTGTTAGCTAACTCTTCACCAGTTCAAGGACTTAGGTTGTTTTTTTCAATCCAGTCAGTGATGGCTGATCGCTCATAAGTGTGGCCATCAGCAGCGATTACTGGGTCTTCCATTATTTCAAGGGTAATTGGACAGAAAAATTCGTCGATTTGCTTTTCTACCATTATGGTCTGGTGGTTTTAATTATATATATATTTTCCCTCTTTAGATCAAGGTGCAAAATATTAGTAAATTTAATTTTTTGTGTTTTTATTCAAAACTATAACGTTTAATTATCAAAATATTAATTTTAAATGATTTTCCATCAGATGAAATAGCATAGCATAATTTAATGGCTTAATTGCGACGAAATTAAATTTATTCACAATTAGCTAAAAATATTACCTAATTTACAAAGAAATTTTTATATGAATTTACAGTATCTCAATTGTTTTATTGAAAAAATTATAAATTAAAATAAACTATAGAATTATAATTTAGATATAAATTCATCTTTTCTTACTCTCTCACTGAGGAGGGTTAATTCTTTTAGAAAAAATTTATAATTTTAAGTAATTTTTTTGTTTTAAAATGCAAGCTGCTTAAAATTAACAGAATTGGCTTATAGCAAATATCAATTAGATATATCAAAATATTTTTAATAAGAAAAAAAAGATTTGGCTTTGTTCATTCACGGATCAGGAGAATTAATTCCATTTTTGTTATAACTATAAATGTCTTCTGCAAGTAATTTCTATTTTAGACGCAATACCTATTGGCCCTCTGCCTATACAGGGCCCAGCGATGCCTACAGAAGACGAAGATATTTCTAGAGCTATAGAGATGTCTCTCTTAGAAAGCGGCAACAGTGTTGCTTCTTATGAACCTCTAAAGGCTGAACAGCGTTTGCGTATAGATGGAATTCCTGTTGGCTTAAAAAACATCGGGAATACCTGCTATTTCAACTCCTTGATGCAATCTTACTTTATGATCCCTACACTGGTCGAAAAAATCTTAAATTTCAGACCTCATCCTTCCCAATTGCAAAATCTTCAAGACGATAGTGTTGAAAACACCCGAAAAAAAGCCAGCATTGAGCTAGTCAAACAACTGCAGCGCTTATTTGCCCACATGATTAGAAGCAACCGACTCTATGTCGACCCAGGAAATGTCCTTAAAGCGTTAGTCGACGATTTCGGCAATCAAATTGCTATTGGCGACCAAAAAGATGTAGGAGAGTTTAATATGAACTTAGTCGCCAGAATAGAAGAAGGCCTACAAACAGCCCAGCCTTATGAAGAAAATAAAGAAAAAAGATTGAATGAATCTCCTACTCTTATAAATAGAAAAGGCAGCATGGTCATTTCAGGCCACGAAATCAGTGAAGAAGGTATTATTTCTGAACTTTTCTATGGAAAACAGCACGAATTTTTAGAAGCGGCTGAAAGGGATGGCTCTTTGGTCCAAATTAAAAATCTAGCACCTTTTGGGCAGATTATTGTAGATGTAGATGAAGGGGACTTGTATAGCGCGTGGGATATAGCTTATCATAGCCAAATTGAAGGGTATTTGACCCCACAAGAAAATGCAACGACAGCTTCTCAAGAATTTTGGCTTGAAAAACTTCCTGGGATAATTTTATTTCAAATCCAAAGAGTAAAATATGACAAAGTGACGAATTCTACCATTAAAATCCATAAGCAGTTCAAATTTCCAAAAATACTGCACCCAGACCGATTTATGGCAAAAAATAAAGAAATTGGCTCAAAACTAAGAGAAAATATGCTCCTGCTTAAAAATCGTATAAAATTCCTTGAGGCTTCTTTAGAAAAGCTGAATAATTACAATTCAACTAATTCTGGGCTAGATACGATTCTTCAGCAGACTATTGAATTTTTGTCCTACAATGAAAACCCTAATCAAGCTATGGAAATTGATGAAGAAGGTCTAATAATTTTTACCCCAGAAAAAGTTATAGCAAATAATCCTCAAATTTCTCGCTCCAAAACGCTTTTGCAAACCCTTACTAGAGAAATAGTCACAAAAATAAAATTGATGAAAACCCAATTAGAGCAGTATCAGTTCCAAATAGAAGAAATTTTTAACGTCCCTCAGCTGAAAAATCATGAATACCATTTGCACTCTATACTGATCCATGATGGGCAAGCTGGGGCAGGGCATTATTATGCATATGTGTATGATGCTGAATATGAAGTGTGGAGAAAATACAGTGATGTGATGATTACTCAAGTCGATTAGATTAAATTAAGCTCTGGCCGGTCTTTGGGGATATTTCAACCTCTATCCATCTTGCCGCAGGCTCTTGTCATCTGGACTTTTTCAAGTCGATGTTACCAAAAAATGGTGATATCAACAGATTCTCGGGAAGACTCACCTTGGGTCAGCTCTAAGAAAGAATACTCTCTTAGCCCTGGCAGTGCTTCTAACGAGAGAAAAACACTGCTGTGCTTTCTAGGCTATTCTGCCCAAACCAGGCAATATTGATTCTCAGAAGTGTAAGCTAGCTTTGCGATTTCAGTTTTTTGTCTATATGAAAAGTAAAAAGTCTGTCATTTAATCCTGATCAGGCAAAAACTACCTAGACCCCAAAAAGATCGAGATCCATCTGCCTAAGTCTAGGATCAGCTCACCATCTTTTAAAAAATACCCAAATCGAAGAAAGCGAAGTTATGACTAATGCCTTGGGTGGAAATGGCTATATATCAGCATACTGTCTGATGTATATCGAAAATTCCTTAATTAGAAGAGAAGCTCAAGGACGCATAAAAGACTTTAGAATAAAGCAATTTGATGATCAGCCCTTTGATTTATATCAAAATTTATTATCAGCAGAGCTTAAACGCGAAGTAGATGAAGAAAATAAAAAAACATACGAAGAGGCTATGGAGTACAAAATAAACAAAACTATTCAGCATATTCAAGACGTTTATTCCACAAGATTCACACAGACAGTAGGAATGTTCAATAACTATAAAAATGAGCTAAAAAACAAGCCAGAGGATATAAAATATGAGCTTATTAATTTTGCTGTGCATTTGAAAATAAAAGGCCAAGAGTTTCTATGCAAATGGTATTTGTTGGATTCTTAAATATAGGGCTGCCTCGATGCAGGAATATTGAGAATGGAAGGATGACGCTTGTGGATTTGTATCTGGCCAAGTTTTGTGGGCTTTAGCTGGTCAAAATTAGGATTTCTAGGTAGCCCAGCAGAATCAGTGGTTACTTTTTTAGCCAATCGGGACTATTTTCCAGCATGAAGCCAGGAACTATATCCTGAGCTTAAGAGAAGAAGAAAGTGTGAATAAAGGGATTTCAGATTTTGATAAGGCAGACCCGATATATATGAAGCTTGGATCACAGTTTAAAAATGTGTGCAAAGAAGCACCTCACACACTGGAATTATCAGCAACTGATATCAATACTTTAATGAAAGAGCTGAATGAATTTAATGCAAATTACCGTAGTGCTAGTGTATCTTTATATTTATATGACTTTCTACTTAATGATAAAATTATTTCAATTTATCATTTAGTGAATGCGTTTGGGTGTCTTGCTGCACACTTTGTGAGTGACCAAAACCATCAATACATAATTTTTAGAAATTAAATTAAGTTTTAGTTAAATTTTTAAGGATTAAAAAAATCGGCGTCTTTTAGAAATAATTTTTTTTTTACAAAATATAATAAACGCGAGTAGACTTACTTTGTTCGCTCATAGAGGGGAGGAGTTAATGAAAACAACTCTAATGAAATTCAAAGAATGCCTAGTGAAATATACAAAATTTCTTTGCTGCATATGACAACTATAATAAACCAAACTCTTTATATTAAAAATGTAAAAGATGCCATTGCATGGGCAAATCATCTTAGCAGCTTCACTACAGCCACTTTAAGTCAAAATGACCCTTTTTATACTCAAATTTATTTCCGGCTTCAAGATTCTCGTAGATGGGCTTTACTCTGTCTTTTTAAATTTGGATCAAAAATCTCTGATCTAGTTTAAAGGGCTTTTTTTTTAAAAAAAAATATCATAATAAATATAATTTATTTGCATTCCTCACTTTAACTAGACAAATACAGATAAATTTTCAATATTGGCCAGCTAAATTAGGTATCGAAGCTGCTTACATACAACTTGATATTTTTACCTATAAAAATTAAAAATTTTACCAATATTTTGTTTCGATCAAATGGGGAGCTAGAAAATTTAATTGGAATTTATAACGATGACTATGATAAAGAATTAAGAGAAATCATCATGAGAATGGAAAAAAATGTCGTTTTCTTGACTTTTGATCCAAATTTCCCAGCAGAGCTACAAGAATTGAAGATGAAAATTGAAGGGTTTAATAATTATGCTTGGGCCGAAGGGTGGCAAAAAGACTCAATTGCTGTCAAATATGCAGAAATGAAAAACAGCTTTTTTAATTCTAGGTTTGCAGGCTGGATTAGAGTTGCTGAAAGAATTACAATAACCAGAAATATAGTTCCAGAAATTGAATTAAGAGAAATGGAAATGAGAACAGGATTTTTCCCTCAATAAATAGATAGATAAATAACAGATATAAAATACTTAAATATGAGCTAAATTTGAAGAGATTTACCAATTTTTAATTATTTTTTCACTAATTTTCAACATTTTATCTAGCATTCTAAATCCTCACAATATTCATTATTATTATTTTCTAGAAATTACATAAGAAGTCAAATTCTCTATAAATCGCTTTAAAAATATAAAAAAATCTTCATAAAATTCCTTAATCCCTTGCATTCTCCCAAAATTATTAATTTCGTCCCAATATCCTTTCTTTAAAGTTTCCTGCCTTTATCTTAATATTTTATGGAATCAGAAAAAGAGGAACCAAAAACAAGCCAGCATCGATTTATTCCAAATGACGAAGAAACCAAAGCTACTCATCGTTTCTGGGACACACAGCCAATGCCACGACTCTCCACACTGATTACCAAAGACGAATCATCTCAGCACGGTCCAGTGGATGCTCCTAAGACAGTTGCGGATGTAAGACAAACCCCATACCCGCTTCCAGCCGCATTCGAATGGGTGAGTGTTGACGTAAATGACGACGAATGGATGCAAGAAATCTACACTTTGTGGGTGCATTTTTACTTAAAATAAATTTTTTTCAGTCTTTTTTCTTTAAAAAATGATTAATTTCAGGACAAAAATAATGAACCAACACTTTGTTGACAGAAAACTACGTCGAAGATGACGACAGCTATTTCAGATTTGACTACTCCATCCCATTCCTGCGCTGGGCACTGACTCCAGAAGGCTACAAACAATCCTGGCACGTCGGAGTTGCTATTAAAGGCCGCAAAAAGCTGGTAGGCTTCATATCAGGGATCCCAGCCAAGGTCAATGTGTTTGGCACATCAATGGATATGTGTGAGATCAATTTTTTGTGCGTCTTTAAAAAGTACAGAGAAAATCGCCTTGCACCAGTGCTTATTAAAGAGGTCACTAGAAGGGTGAACGTGGAGAACGTGTGGCAAGCTATATATACAGCTGGCGTCGTATTGCCAACCCCAGTGGCCCAGGCAAGATATTACCATAGGTCCTTAAACCCTATAAAACTTGTAGAAATTGGCTTTACTCGCTTTGGGCCTAAACTGAACAAGGCTCGTGCTCAAAAGCTTTATAAGCTTCCTGAAAGTCCTTTAATCCCTGGTCTAAGACCTATGACCCCTAGAGATGTCCCAGCTGTCCACAGGATGCTTCAGGATTACTTGCAGAGGTTTTCTTTATATACAGAATACTCAGAATCTGATATTGCCCATTTCTTTTTGCCTCAGGAAGACATAATTTACTCATATGTCGTCCAAAATGAAGCTGGGGAGACCACAGATTTTTGCTCATTTTACTCGTTGCCGTCGTCTGTGCTTAAAAGTGCCAAGCATAACAAGTTAAGGGCAGCTTATTCTTATTACTCAGTACCTGGGGTGCATTCTCTGATGGACTTGTTTAAGGATATGCTGATTTTGGCAAGAGCTAATGGGTTTGATGTGTTTTATGTTCAATAAAATGGCTAAAGGAAATTTTCTTATAGGCTTGGCTTAGCCCAGAGAATTTATTTGCAGGGCTCTAGTCTTTAGTAAAAGTAATTTCTTATAAGATGCCTAAAATAAATACATTAAATAATTAAAATAAATGTGTTTAACGCTTTAGATATCATGGACAACATGACGGTATTCAAAGAACTGAAGTTCGGAATTGGTGACGGAAACTTGCAGTACTATCTTTACAACTGGAGAACTGAGCCAATGGTGCCTGCACAGGTAGGGGTCGTTTTAGTTTAACTTAACCTTAGTTAGAAATAGCCTTATTATTCCTTATAATAATTAAATTATCATAACTGTAGACTTATTTTTCACACTATAATGCCCAACTTTTTTAGTGTCATCGTTCATTTCTTGAATGGCGAACACTATCCTATCGTTCTCCGAAGGGTATTCTTCCTTAATTTTTTTCTTCAGCTCCTCCACCGTATCACTTTCTTTTATCTTGATTTTTTTCCTTTCCCCTGTGCTTAGCTCCTGTGCATATATAAAAAAGGTGCTTTTTTCTTCTTTTTTGGCCTTTTTTGATTCTACTTTGACGTCAGTGATTTCTTCTTTTAATTGCTCGATTTTTGATTTTAATTTTTCGTTTTCTTCAGTCACTTTTTTGTTTCTGTTTAAAATCATTTTCATGAGTTTTTTGCCTGAGGATTTTCGTCTTCTGGGGGCTGATTGGTTGGCGAGTTTGTCGAGGACTTTTTCACGGGAAACTCGTCGGGCGTTGACGTTGTCAGATTGGTTTAGCTTTTCACGCTCTTTAAGCCATCCACAGATAGAGGTGTGGCCAATGTTGTATTTGTCGGCTAAATCTCGGAGGGTTATGTTGGTTTCTTCGTATTCTTCAATAATATTGAGCTTGTCGGCGACTGTTAGTCGTACTCTGGAACGCTTCATTGGGTAGTCCATCATAAATATTTGTAAAATGATCCCCCAATTTTGAGATCTGGGTTAATTTTCATATGGATTTTATAAAAGGCCCTATTTTATAAAGAACATATTATTTTATAAACTAATTATTTTATTATTAATGCTTATTTATATGAATAGCAAATAAATATAAATGCCCCATTCCCTTTTTATGCTATATATTACTGAGGTATTCATGCTTATTAAGATTGCTCAATCACTCCACCATCCACTAAATAGTCAATGCAATCCTCATAAGTAGTGTATCTGCTGACCGCTTTAAACAGCTGCATTTTTGAATCAATTCCAGGGTAATTCCTTTTTATTTGGTCAGCTAGACATATTCTGCCAATTTCCAGTGTCTCAATCAATTGATTTATTTTTTTAGCTGCTGGATCCATTACAGGAGGTCTTATCACTGGTGCAGGGCTTGAAAAGGATAGTCCATTACCCTCTTTAGGCTGAGGGCCATCTGAATCCACATCTTCTTCACTGCTTTCTTCTCCTTCTTCACCTCCTAAATTAAGTGCATAGGCAATGCTCATAACTTCATCATCTTTCATAACCCTCAAACTGACAGATTCTAAATTTCCATAAGGGACCACAATTTCAGCCATTTCTCCATAATCCAATTCTTTTTCTGTATAATACTTTTCACAGGTCTCATTACAGAAAACATAGAGATTATCAATAGTCTCTGGCGAAGAGTTCAAAATGGTGTATTTCAGAAGGTTTTTTGGGTTGTTTTCGTCTTCTTCTGGAATTTGTTCTGCCCCTTTAAATTCGATTCTCATAATAGGGAAAATCTCAGAAACAGGGAAGTCGTCGATTTTGGCGATTATATGTTTGCCATATATGTCTTTTACGTCAAGAAGGCCTATGTGCTTTTTTATGTCAGTATCTGGCTCAATAAGGGGTTATCGGGGAAAAAAAGGTTGCAGCCTTTTTAGAGTCAAAAATAACAGAGAGATTTTTCTGTTTTTCCAAAAAAAAATTTACAGAAAAAAGACTATTAACACGGAAATACCCTTTTTTTTCAAATATTTTACCAGGCTCTTAAATTTAGCCTTATTATCTAATATATAAAGACTAGTTGCAATCTAAAGCTAAAATAAAGACCCCTATAAAATACTTTTCAAAGAAGAAAAAATCACATGCATTTTTTTTCTGTATACTTTTTTGAAAAACATTGGGGTTTTCCTGAAAAAAAAAAAAAGCCTCCGTTATTTTTGACGGTAAAAAGGCAACAGAAAAAACCCTTTAGCATAACCACTCAATAAGTCTGATTTCAGCTATCTTTAAGTTGTCTTCAAGAATAAAAAACTCAACTTTTCTAAAGTAATCTTTGGTTTCGTTGGCAACATTAAGAACCCAGGTGTATTGATCTATCTTTTCTTCACTTTCTTTGCAGTAAAACCTTTGTATACTCACTTTGGAGTCTTGGGAGATTATTACTTTGGGAAAAATTCCCTTGCAGTTTTGAATAAGCAGATTTGTAGATTCTTGAAGCTCTTTGAGGGATTGGATTGTGGAGTTAAGAATGGAGGGGGAAGACCTGCTATGCGGTTTTGGAGATTCGTTACATGAGGTTTGAGTTGTGAGAGTTTGGGTAATCTCTTGGAGTTGACGATTCAGCGAATCTATTTGCCGATGCAGTTCTTGGGATTCTTGGATTGCTGATTTTGAAGAGTCTTCAGAAAGGCTATTGAAAGTGTTTTGCATGATTTTTTGAAGCTCTGACTTAATTGTTTCGACTTGGAGCTCGGCGTATTTTTCAAGGACTTCTTTGTTAGGCTGCGACATAGTGAATCTATAAAATTATAATAATTAATATTGGAATATTTAATAGCAGAATCAGCTTTGCTAAAAAGTGAGGAATTTATATTTAGGTATTTATAAGTTATAAAAAAATAATTAGATATATAAAAGTTTAATTTTGAATGAAAACAATAAATAATGATAAAAAATTTATAACTGAATATTTTGGTAGGATTTTTATAATAAATGATAATTTTAGTCTATTTTAATATGAATATAAAATAATCTGAATCATTTTCTTTAATAAAGGAAACTTTTATTGCATAATAAATAAAGGTTTTAAACAGCTTATGCTTTTATAAAAATGCAATTTAAATTTTTATTTCAAAATTCTGATATGATAAAGATAATTTAGAGATGATAAAAAAAGGAATTTTTAGCTTCCCATTTAAATAATTTTTGTCATTACAAAAATTATTCTTTTACTATAAAAAATTGAAAATAGCCCAATTTTTATGATTTTCCAATTAAATATAAATCATCTAGCTCATTGGACTTTTCCTCAATAAATATCCATCAAATTATAAAATATGTTGGCTTACTTTTGACTTCCTCTTCTTCTCATAAAGGTAAGTGGAATCTGCTACGAAGAATGCAAATCCTCAGACGCTTTTTCATGCAGCAGATGTCTATCAATAAACGCTCTTGACGATAGCAACTCCCAATCCCATTTAATATGTAACCTTTGGGACAGCCCTGAATGCTGAATGGGATGATATAATATCAAAGTTGACCATGAAGCCATAAAAATTGGATTTCCATCAGATCAGAAAGAAATATATATTACTCTTTTTCAAAATAAATATGCTTTTAATTAATCTATAAAAATACTGCCAATTTAACTAGAAAAGATATAAATTCAGCCAAGAAACCAAAAGCTTGTCAGCGGAATTTTGAATTCATGATAAGGAAAAACTGAAAGAATCCGACGAACTTAGTTGTTTATCTAGCTATTTTCCAGATGGCTGGCAAAGCCTCGGATTATTGCTAAAACCAAGAGAAACTGAAAATCCTCTCTTAATTTGGCTAATCGGGAGTTTCTCTGAAAATCAAAATTCCTTTAAAGGATTTATTTATATAGAAATTGCAATCGAAAATTTTCCATCAGAAATTTCGTGTGTTGAAATCCCAGACCAAGCTAAAAATGACTGTAAAAATTGTGAGAAAAGCTGCGCGCCATGGCTGCTTCATGATGCATGTGCCCATAAAAAAAGAAATTTAGCTTGTGGGCCTTATACTTATAATTCTGCGATAACAATGGACCAATGCCCTACAGGAATTACCGCAGATAGTTCTTGTAATTGCCAAATACCAGGAAGTGAAGTTTTTAACATTGTTTTAAAAAACATTGAAGATCCAGTAACTGATTCTATGAATTCCATAAAAGTCGCTGTAGGAAGCACAGGCGGCACATTTTACCCAACCTACGATACATATGATCCTTATCCCTCTGAGGGCCGTGGCTATTATTTCGCTGGGTCAAAATATATGCAGCTTCCTCCTAACAACCTTGATTCAGGTAACTCAATTAATTTTGCGCCTGACTTTGCCATTTCAGTATGGATTTACACTCATTCCTCAAAAAGTGGTAGAGAAATAAATGGTGACGTTGAAGGAAATAGGACTCCGAGGCGCACTTCTATGGAGCAGTAGAACCTATCCTGATGAAGCTGAAAGTATGGGCCTCTGCCCCTTTTGAAGTAAACCTTCAGGTTTGGGGATGCTTTGCCCGAAGAGGGAGGTTTTGTTTCCCCGAAGGTTTTCCTGTCCCTGCCAGACGGGCTAGACAGGTTTTGCCAACCACATGGTCTTTCCTCATCGGGACCATCGGAGCGCTCGCAAGAAGTGGCTCTGCCCAGGGTGAGCTAATTCCTGGACAGGTGGTTCAGGTCGGAAATTCAAAATGGCGTCAGGGCTAGGATTATGGTCTCATCAGAATCTGTTCTGACGCCATTTTTGGAGCTGAGACGGGGCGTATTGTCAGCGCCTGCGGGAGCGCTTATGGCCGGATACTTATTAATCTTAATCAACAAGTGGAAATATTTTAGTTAAAAAAAGCAGCTCTAGCACTTCCACTTATTATCTTTATTACGGCCTAAGTGGCAATACTCCATACCTAACATTAAATATAGGTTCTTCAAATAATGTAGAAGCAAAAAGTGGTGCTACAGCAATTGGTACCTCACAATGGTATAACATAGGTGCTTCAGTTTCATATACTGTTTCAGTGCAATCAGATGTATATTTTTATATTAATGGAGCTCAAGTTTCTACTGGTATTTATAGTGATTATTTCAATGACAACTATTCTGGCTATAAGATATGAATTGGAGCTGATTATGACAGTTCATTTTCCCCTACTAATTCCTTAATAGATACTTTTATATATAGTTTAAGGATCTGAAATACAAATGCCGACCTAACTTCCTATGATTACTTGACATCGGGTTGCACTTCTTCTTGCGGCTATTGTCCTCCTGACGGGGCATGCCTAGCTGCTTATGGGATTGATAAATACTATGACAGTGGGACGTCTTCATGGTTAACTTGTGACTCAGCCTGCACTTCTAAAGGCTGTGTAAGGAATGATAAGAATTGCAATTTATGTGCAACCCAATACTGTAAAACTTGTGATAACTGGAGCAGCTGTATAGATTGCATTTCTAATGCAAATTCAGCGACTGCGCCTTGTACTTCGTGTGGTACAGGATATTTATGGGACACCACAAATGAAGTTTGCAGTGGCTGCATCTTTTACTGTACTGCTTGCGGCAGCGGGACATATCTGATAGCAGGAGGAGTTTGCAGCAGTTTTTGCCCTTTAGGATATACAGCAAATAGTGGGACTAATATCTGTGATGCTAATACCTCAACTGTTGCGTTAAATCTTGTGATTAGCTCTCTTAGTGGAGTAATCACAGAGTCTGCTAATTCTTTAAATGTGATCACTGGGACTTCTTCTACTTTTTATCCTGGCTATGAAACTAATGATCCCAAAGCAGCTTATAAGAGAGGGTATTATTTTGACGGCTCAGCTTCCCTTATGCATCTTGCACCTTATAGCTCTTATACAACACCTTTGTTAACCTTAGCCCCAGAACTGACGATCCAAGCTTGGGTAAACCCTTCTTCTGATGGGACTTTGATAAGTAAAGTTGACTCCTCTTTTGCGAATATTTTTACTTTTTCTATAGTAAGCTCAAAACCGACTATATATATAAATATGAAAACTAACGGACAGAAAACTTTTACCTGTGAAAATACTATAACAACGTCCAGCTGGAATCATATAGGGATTTCTATGCAATTAGTCTCCTCAGGGCAAAATACAGAGTTAGTCTGTACAGTAAATGGTATCTCTGATACAGCAAGCACTGATTTTGGGGTTGACTATTTTATGGATACTGCCAGTGGGTTTTATTCCACAATTGCTGCTTTGCAAACTGCGAGCTCAAGCTACAGCACTTATTATACTGGATTTATATACAAAATCCTAATTGATAACTCCTATTCGTCAGCCACAAGTGACTATCAGACTACTTCTTGTTCAGGAGGCTGCTCCACCTGTCCAGCAGCTTCATCTACCTGCCTAATAGCCTGCCCTATAGGCGAATATTGGACTAGCAGCAACTATAACTCTTGTTCCTCATGCCATTCTAACTGTTTAGCCAAAGGCTGCAGAGATGATGGGCCAATCTGCAATCTCTGTGACGATATAATTTGTTCTGTCTGTTCTGATTATTCTGCAGTCTGCACTACATGCTTGTCAAATGCAGCACTAGTGAGCAGCCAATGTACATGCAATGATTCGTATTATTGGGACAGCACAAATCAGGTATGCACGCCTTGCCAATCGTCATGTGCAACCTGTGATGGTGGAACGAGCTCTGATTGTTTGTCTTGCACAGGCTCTTATTATTTAAATGGAGTATGCTATACTACGTGTCCAAATGGATATACAGGAAGTGGGACTAGTTGTGTATCCAGCGTAAGCTTGATTTTGGCATATACTTTTGATAAAATACAAGATACAATTACAGACTCGGCACAATCTATTGTTGCACTAACCGGAAATAGCAATAGCTTTTACCCTTCCTATGGGACTTATGATCCTCTAGCTGCTTATGATAGAGGCTACTATTTTTCAGGCAGCACTTATATCCAGCTCCCTCCATACTCAGGCAGTGCTACAGCTCAACTATATATAGGCACTGATAACACCTTCTGTACCTGAATATGGCCTACTGCACCAGCTGGGACTATTTTTTCAAAGCAAAAAAACTCTGCATCAGTCGACAGTTATTATACAATTACCTTATCAGGCTACTATCCTATGATAACTCTTAACGTCTACAAGAGTGGCAGTGGAGGCTCTACAATTACGGGAAGTTATGTATGTCCTTCAGCCATAACTAACGACAGATGGTATTATATTGTTATTCAGACCACTTATTCTAGCAGCGCCAAAAAAACTTATGCAAACTGTTATATAGACAGTTCTACAGTGTCATCAAGCCAATTTGTGGCGGCAGGAAGCTTAAGAGACTCTCAGACTAATTATCTTAATGATATAGGGGCTGCACATACAGATCAGTCAACTTTTGGAAACTTTATAACTCCGAGCTAACAATCAAATTTTTTATATATAAATTTTATAGTAGAATTATTAAAAATTAAAAAAAATCCAACTTGAATAATTTTAAAGCAAAATTAATTTGAAAAATTTATGTTTTAAAATGAAATCTGTTAAAATAAATAGAATTATCCAGAGATTTCATTATATAGAATTTTCACTTATATATCAAAATATTTTTCATAAAAATTTCTCTATTAAAACAAATTTTTGTACACTTATAGAGGGAAAAAAAATGATTTTTCAAATATTTTTATCGCTCGCAGAGGAGAGTAAGAGCATTTATATATAGCATCAAGTTGTGAAAGACTATAGTGAGTAATCCTACCACTGTGGATAGACTGACAAGCTGCACAGGACAAGCAGGATGCACCCAATGCCCAGGAAGTGCGACATGTCTTAGCTTGTGCACCTTAAGCCAGTACTGGGACACTACTTCTTCATCATGTAAATCCTGCCATACTAACTGCTATACAAAAGGATGTGTAAGGTATGACAAGTCCTGCAATCTCTGTGCAAGCCAAATTTGCTATAAATGCACAGATTTTACATCGTGTCCCACTGCCTTAGATTCTTGTATTACGAATGCGTCACCGTCGCCATGTGCTTGTGATTCTGGGTATTATTTTTCAACGACTAAAGAAGAGTGCACGAAATGTCCGACGGGCTGTGCTCAGTGTACAGATGCTACTCATATAGGCTGCTCATCCTGCTTGACTGGCTATTACAAGCTTTCAGGGCTCTGTAGAAATTATTGCCCATTAGGCTACTCTATAAGTGGCCAAACTTGCAGCCCAAATAGTCCTACTCTATTTTTCGACTTACAGCTGACCAAAATCCAAGGTGTCGTATATGACAGCCAAAGTTCAATTCCTGCAGTTACGGGGACTTCGTCTGCTTTTTATCCTTCTTTTGATTCAGATGACCCATATCCAGCATATTTGCGAGGCTACCACTTTGATGGGACCAGCTCTATTATGCATTTGCCGTCTTTTAGCTCTTATACCACTCCTAACTACGTCATAGCGCCCCAATTTACATTTACTATTTGGATAAACCCAGAAGCTTCTACTGGGTATTTGTTATCCAAGCACGATTCTTCGAATAACTATAATGAAATTTTCAGTGTCCAGCTGGCTTCTAGCTACCCAAAAATGACTATTTATTTACAATTGGTAAACAGTAAATCAATGACCTGTGGAAATACAGTGGCATTAAATTCGTGGAATCATATTGGGTTTAAAATAACTATAAATGGCTCAGGAAATACATTGGTCACTTGCTATGTAAATGGAGTCGCTGATAGCTCAGCCACTGATATGGGGTTCAGCTATTTTGATGACATTACTTCTAACATCGCAGTGACTATAGGTGCTAAACATGTAAGTGCAGGCTATTTTTCTTCTTATTTTACAGGCTTTATCTACGAAATCACCACAGATAACGCTGCAAACTCAGCTACATCAAGCATTCTTACCTCTGGCTGCTCCTCAGGGTGTTCTGTTTGTCCATCCTCAGGCACCTGCATCCCAAACTGCCCTATTTCTAAATACTGGACAGGCCCTTCAGCGACAGGCTGCACTTCTTGTGCATCTTCATGCGCCACGATAGGCTGTGTCAGAACTGATAACAAATGTAACCTTTGTAATGACCAACAATGCAAAATTTGTACAGACTATACCAGCAGTGCTTGCACTCAGTGTATAACTAATGCAAGTACTACTTCTAGCTGTGCCTGTAGTACAGGCTATACATGGGATTCTACCAATGAGGTTTGTACAGCTTGTGACTCCTCATGTGCTGCATGCACAGCAGTTGGGTTTATGTATTGTTCTAGCTGTGCAAGTAGCTATTATTCGCTAAATGGAGCTTGCCACCCTTTTTGTCCGACTGGGTATACAGCTGGGAGCGGAACTTGTACGTTGAGTCATAGTCCAGCTTTTGAGGTCAAATTCTATTCTGTAGGTATACAAGCAGTTGTGACTGATACAAGTGGGGATAGTGTGACCGTGCTGACTGGGAATACTATGAATTTCTATCCAAACTATGACAGCTATGACCCTTATCCTATACAAAATAGAGGCTACTACTTCAGAGGGCAGTCCATTATGAGTCTTCCTCCATATACAGCGACTTCTACACCTTTATTTTTATTTGGAAATGAGTTTACAATAGCAGCGTGGGTTAGTCATTCAGCCTCAGGAGTTTTAGTGTCCAAGCAGGACTCTTCATCCTTGACTTCTTATATAAAAATGACTATTGCTTCTACCCCTTCACTAGCCATCTACCTCCAACAAGCTGGCTCTGTGACCCATACCTGCTCAAATTCTTTATCCTCTAATTGAAACTTAATAGAATTCACAATAGATCTGCAGTCTAATGGAGATCTTAATATGTTATGCAGGATCATAAATAAAATGGCATTCGGTTCGAGAGAAATTAGCTTTGCTAATTTTCTCTCCCTCATGGAATTTTATTTATGGGGTTAGGTTTTCACTCGAGAACTTCTGGACAGCAATAGCGGTTTAACTTTGGGGATAACCAGAGGAAACTGCTCCTCAGTCCCTTCAAGATTTCGGGCTTTTACCTCTCAGCACACCTCCAAGGGAAGGTGACCCTCAGGCGGAACACGCGCAGGAGCTGAGTCTAGACAAGGGCGATGGCATCGCGCCGGGTGAGATGTGCAGCAAGGCTGGTGAAGCAGGAGTTGATAGAAGGCTTGGCCAGGGCTGACCTGTTCCAAGATGGCTCGCCTACGTCACTAGTTTTGCCATAGGTCCATTTTGGGCTGCGGCACTAGACACCTTAAACACCAGATAATTAAGTAAGTTAAGTAAGTTATGCAGGATCAATGCAGTCGCTGATTCTTCTGCTGAGACCATGGGGACTGGTTTTTATTTAGACCTAACCAGCAGCTTTAAATTTTTAATAGGCGGCCAATATGTAAGCTCAGGGACATTAGGAAATTATTGGACTGGGATTTTATATGAGCTGAAATTTTATAACGAATATAAATCTTCATGCACTGACCTGACATCTTCCTGTACAAGTGGTGGTTTTACATGTTCAAAATGCCCAGCAAGCACCGCAACCTGTATAAATACCTGTGCATTTAACGAATGGTGGGATGGATCTGCATGCCAAACTTGTGGCTGCGGCTCAGTCCCTTGTGTAAGAGCAGATGTCGTATGTAATTTATGTTATGACCAACAATGCAATAAATGTACAGATTTTATCGCAAATACCTGCACACAGTGTATCACGAATGCAGGATTTTCAGGAACTGACTGTGTATGTAATACAGGCTATACGTGGGACTCTACTACAGATACCTGTGCATCTTGTGAAGCCCACTGTTCTGCGTGCAATGGGGTTAATTATTTAGACTGTACCGCATGTGCCAGTCCTTATTATTGGTTCCATTCTATATGTTTGTCAAGCTGCCCTACAGGCTATACCACAAATAATATAAACCATTATTGTGATGTGACCAATGACTTGGTCTTAAGCTATAATTTTGACACTATAAGTGGCACTGTGACTGACCAAAGCTCATTTAATATACAGATGAGGGGTGGGTCTACGACAGGATTTTATCCTACTTATGACTCTGATGACCCTTGGGCGACTTATAAAAGAGGCTATTACTTTTCAGCAACTGCTAATTCTTATGTGATTCTGTCGCCTTTTACAGAATATAATACGCCCCAGCTGACGCTGGGGTCAGATTTTACTATTGCGATATGAATAAGGCCAGCTGCTGACGGCACTTTGATAGCTAAACAAGGGGATTCTGCCTCTGTCCCTATTTCTTTTGTGTATGAAATTGTAAGTTCTGAGCCAAAATTGACGGTTTATTTCATAAATCTAGGGGCTACAGTCACAGTCGACTCTTCAGGGACAACACTAACTCTAGACACATGAAGCCATATTTCTTATACCCTAAATATCCAAACCTCTGTCGGCACTGAAATAATATCCTATATAAATGCATCCCCTGTTAAAACCTATACTGAATCTGATGACTATTTCTTAGACGCCACTTCTAACTATTTATTTACTATAGGCGCTGCTTGGAGTGACCAAACCACTCGTACAAATTTCTATGAAGGCTTTATATATGAGCTAAAAATCTGGAACAATATCATAAATACAGACACAGACTGGGGAATTACTAATTCACTCTGCATCTCAAATCCGACCTCTTGTACGTATTGCCCTTCTGCTGCATCAATCTGTCTTCCTGAATGCAATATTGGGGACTATTATGACCCTACAACACCGTCATGTGGAACCTGCAAAGCATCTTGCACGACAGGGTGTCTAAATGCGAATTATTGCAATTTGTGCTATGACCCAGTGTGTTCGATTTGTACTGATTTTAGCTCGACCTCGTGCACGACCTGCAAGACTCATGCTACAAGTACTTCTGGGTCCTGTGTGTGTGGGAATCCTTATTTTTTTGATACAAGCTCAGAGACATGTTTGGTGTGTACGGCTGGCTGTCAGGTGTGTACGACACAGATACATAATTCTTGCACACAATGTATGTCTAATTATTATATGACACTTGGAGAATGCTTAGATTTTTGCCCATATGGGTTTACTGCTGATTCTACCAATTGGCTTTGTAATAGTGGGATAGGGCAGATTTTTGCAATTGATTTTACTAATAAAATTTTAGGATCCTTGACAGATTCTGTCAGTGGCTTTAAGCTGGTAACTGGGTCTTCAACTTCTTTTTATCCTACTTATGACAGTGACGACCCCTTAGCAGCTGATGTTCGTGGGTATTATTTTAATGGCGCTTCCGTGGTCAATATAAATGCTAACTCTGCTGGTAACACCCTAACTTTCCCTTCAAAAATAACATTTTCTATGTGGGTTAACCCAAGCAGTGACGGTGCAATTTTTTCTAACTCCCCCCCCCCCTCCGTGAGCGAACAAAAAAATTTTGTTCGCTCACGGAGGGGGGTTAATTTTTTTTTTTTAAAAAAAATTTATATATAAATTTTATAAAAAAAATATTTTTTTCGAAATTTAAAAAAATCCTAATTTGCAAAAATTGGGAAGCAAATATTAATTTAATTTGCAAAATTTATGTTTTAAAACGCAATTTGTTTAAAATTAAACAGAATTAGCTCTAGATTTCATTATACTAATTATCACTTATATATCAAAATTTTTTTTCCATTAAAATTTTTTCTATTAAAAAAATTTTTGTTCACTCACGGAGGGTGGGTTTTTGTCAAAAAAATGGCGATTTTTCTAATGGTTTTGTTCGCTCACGGAGGGGGGGGGGAGTAAGCAAGACCAAAGTACAGTCGACACTTCTATCCTTCTGGCAATAGCCAGTGGAGCAATGAGTGTTTCAATAACCTTGACATCAGGGACTACTTATTCAGTTTCATCTTCCTCAACTCTCACTACATCTACATGGTGGCATGTTGCAGTCCAAATTACAATTCTCTCAGACGGCAACACTGCAGCTGCATTTATATTAAATGGCGCTACAGACGCCACTGTTAACGCCGCAGTTGACTATTTTATTGACAATAATGGGGCATTTACCATTGCATTAGGTGCAGAATACGTAAGTGCAGGAACCTTAGGCACCTTTTTCACAGGCTTTCTCTATACACTAAAAATATGACAAAACGTGGTCACCAGCTATTCCTCAGAAATGACCACAAGTGGCTGCAGTGGCTGCTCAGTCTGTTTAGCCTCTACCTCTTGTATAGTAAACTGTGCCTATAACGAATACTGGGACGGCTCAGCCTGCCAAAGCTGCAGTGGCTGTAGCAGCAATACTTGTGTAAAAGGGACGACCTGCAACCTTTGTTATGATATTTTATGCTATACTTGTACAGACTATACAAGCACAGGCTGCACTGCTTGTGTTACAAATGCCCAGTTTTCGTCAGGTACTGGAAGTACTTGTGAATGTGTGGCAGGGTATATTTATGATTCAGCAAGTCAGTCTTGCTTACAGTGTCCTAGCTTGTGTAGCAGCTGTACATCAACAGTAACAACAGGGTGTACCACGTGTGCATCAGGGGCTTATATGATACAGACTGTTTGTATGTCATTTTGTCCTACTGGGTTTACAGCAGGCTCTGGGACTTGTAATGGGGCAGTTGGACTAGTTTTTGATGCGATATTTGTAAAGATACAAGGGACGATCACGGATTCTGTGAAAGGGATTTCGATAACTACAGGGTCAAGCTCAGCGTTTTACCCGACTTATGACTCAGATGACCCTTATCCTTCTCAATATAGAGGATATTATTTTAATGGGGTAAATTCTGTGATGAATTTTGTGACGAATTCGAATAATAATTTGCAGCTGGTTTTTAGCCCGAAATCTACAATAGGAATGTGGATAAATCCATCACAAAACTCAGGGACGATTTTTTCTAAGCAGGATAGTTCGACTGCAACAAGTTATCTTGATGCCACTATAAATGGGTCTGGATACCCCGTGATTTCTATTTATGTCAAAGGGGTTGGCAGTGCTACTTATACATGTGGGAATGCCTTATCTACAACTGCATGGAATTTCTTTGGGTTTACCGTCACAATTTCAGGACTAAACAGCTATATTCAATGCACGGTAAACAGTCACCAAGACTCAAGTCAAGGCGACCTTGGCACTGGGTTCTTTGAAGATCTCCAATCCTCCTACACCTTCACCCTTGGTGCCCAAAATACAGCTCCTAGTACTTTAGGTTCCTACTACAAAGGCTTTATCTTCGAAATGAAAGTCTGAAGCACCTCTCAGTCCCTTACCTCAGAAGTCTGGACTTCTTGCTCAGGCTGCAGTGTTTGTCCATCCACGACTAAATCTTGCATTGTAAACTGTCCTATTTCCACTTATTACAGCTCAGGGTGCTTGTCATGTTCCGGTTCCTGTACCAAAGGCTGTGTCAGAAATAGTGACTGTAACCTCTGCAATGACTCTTTATGCTACAAATGTACAGACTTTGCAGCATCAACCTGCACCCAGTGCATTACAAATGCATCTATGAACTCTATGGGAGTCTGCCAATGCATAGGGTCAGCTTTTTATGATACTGCTTCTTTGTCATGTACAGCATGCTTTTCTAACTGTGCGTCGTGCACTAATAAACATAATGGAGACTGCTCTACGTGTAATTCAGGGTATTATATAAATCCTGAAGGAAAACTGTGTACAAGTTCATGCCCTATAGGCTATACAGCGTCTTCAGGGACTTGTACAGCAAATAAAGCGAGCTCTTTGATTGTGCATTATAAATTCAAAAAAATTAGTAATAGTGTCGCGGATCTTGTGAGTGGGAAAATTGCGTATATGGGGTCGACTAGTAGCTATTTGGGAAGTTTTGACTCAAATGACCCATATCCGATTTTGTATTTAGGGCTGTATTTTACTGGGTCTAGCTATGTGAAGCTCCCTCCAAACTCAGCAGACTCGTCCTCAATACAGCTTGGGAACACCCATAGTATTTTTATATGGGCAAGACCTCTATCAAACACCCAAAACCTTTACCTATTCGCCAAAGAAGGAAGTGGGAATATAAAAGCAGGGCTTTATATAGACAAATCTACTAAAGTTCTTACTTCTAAATACAGAATATATGATGACCAAACATCAAGCGCTAGCACTTTATCAGCTACAGCGACCGCCATTTCTGCTTGGGATGTCTGGCACAATTTTGCAGTCGTCGTCCAACGTATAGGCTATGCTACACAAGCAGTTGTATACGTAGATGGGACAAGTGGGACCATTTCTTCAATAGCCAATTCTTTTCTAGATGACCTTACATCAGACACCTTCACAGTCGGCAAAAGTGTATCATTAACCCAGTCTTTTAAAGGTTACCTCTACGAAATAAAAATCTACAACTATGCCATTACCCCTTCAACACCTACTTTTGCATGTGGCTGCACTGCTTGCACATCTGACAACGACTGTTTAACCTCCTGCACCTATTTGCAATACTATTCAGGGACCTGTATAAACTGTGACGCATCTTGTACAACTGGCTGTGTCCGCAATGGCAACTGTAAGCTTAATCTTGACTCCTTATGTGGCGATTCTACCTTGACTGGTTTTACAGCAGCTGAATGTACAGCATGTGTCAATTTAGCTTCAGGCGCGGGGTCTCAGTGCTCTTGTGCTGAACATTCTACTTATGATTCGTCTACAGATACTTGTGTGTGCTCTACTAACTATATGCAGTATTTAACCCAATGTACGCCTTGTTATTACCATTTACAAGCTTCTGATATATCAGCGGCGTTTACTTCTACATATCAAGGGATTCTTTTTACTATGTCACAAGCAGTTCAGACATCTATGCCGTCAGCTTGTACAAGCTTGTTTGACAGTTCTTCATATAACAGTCTAGGGGTTTCCCCTGCCTGTGCATGGGCGACTGATATGCTGTCGTTGACTGTAACTTTGGGTGTAAACGCGACTGTGACGACAGGACCATTGGTGTTTAAGGCAATGACGCTATATACGAATACAGTCATTTGTGGAGCTTTGCCAAGTCCTGTTAGTGTAAGTGTACAGTCTACGTACACAAAGCCGAATATTGTGCCTATAGCTTCACTTATAGCACCTATAGAGCTGTATATTGAGTGCAATGATTTAAGCTTAGACGCGACTTCTTCTAGTGGAGGGTATAACAGGCCTTTGCAATATAAGTGGACGATCTCTGCAAGTCCTGATGTCCCAGCTTTAGATGGGTATGGGAGCTATAGCTATACTACAGAGTATATAGCCATTTCTAAGGCAAATTTAATAGCTTCATCAGTAAATATAACTTTGACTGTGCAAAATTGGCTTGGGTTTTCAGCATCTACGACAACATCCTTATCATTGATATATGGGAAAGGGCTTAAGCTGATATTTGATACCAGTATAAAGTATGTGCTGAAGACAAGCCAAAGCAAATCAATTAATGTAAAAGCTATAAGTGGCTGCCAGATGTCAGATCAGCTATTATATGAATGAAAATTAACTGATTCTACCGGCAGTGTCAGTGAAAGCTACCTTTGGGGCGTCCAAAGTATTGCTTCTACACTATTTTGTCCAGCCAATACTTTTGCACCTGGGACTTATACTTTTGAGGTGTCTGTGACAGACCAGATGAATTCTTTGACAGGAAAAACCCAATTTAGCTTGACTTATGTGGCTTCAGATTTAATAGTAACAGTTTCCAATCCTTTAATTACTCTAAAATCGTCTGATAACTTATCAGTTTCTCCTACAGTTACAGACCCAGACAACCAACAAGGCACCTTATCCTATTCCTGGACTTGCAGTTTAAATAGTAATGACTGTACGTCCTTGATATCGTCCCCTACCTCTTTATCATTATCTATATCAGGAAACACCTTACAATCAGGAAATTATTATATTTTTACATTTACTGCAAGTAAATCTACTAGAAGCACCAGTACAGCAATCAATGTAAACGTCGTTTCTTATACCCCAGCAACAGTGACGTTTTCAAGCATACCAAAATATGTGAATTATCAGGAGAATTTTGTTATTTGGGCTTATCCAGTCATGACGGAAGACTATACCTGCTTGTGGACGATGACAAGTGGAGGGACTTATACACTGATGGGGTCGACAGATTCTACAAGTATTGGGCTTTTGGCTAACACCCTAACACCCGGGGCGACCTATGAATTTCTGTTTTCTGTGACCACCTCGACCGTTGTGTCTAAATTCAAGATTTCTTTTACTGCAATTCAGCCTCCGTCCGGTGGGTCTTTTTCAGTATCCCCAGGCCAAGGTACAGCATATTCTACTGTTTTCTATTTAGACGCCCCAAGCTGGTCTAGTTCAAGCAGCGTTTTTCCTCTAAACTATCAGTTTGGCTTCTATAACGGCACTTCAGAAATCCCATTAAACGTCAAAAACGAAAGCTCATTTTTATATGCAACTTTACCTTATATAACCCCTATGACTTTATTTGTAAAAGTCTATGATAACTATGGAAGCTACACCCTTGTCAGCTCAACCGCTACCATTTCTCTTGGGAGTTCTACAACAACGTCTTCACTTTTATCGACAGCCCAAAGCACTCTTTCTAATTCCTATACAGATTCCTCTACCCTTATTATGCTTGTGAACTCCTTAAACTCTTTTATTATATCGAATTCATCATCTTCAGCTAGTGACATACAAACTGCTGCATCTACAAGCTTGACTACGATATCAAAAATTATGAGTTCGCTGCCTACAATAGATGCTCAGAACTCACAGACTATTTTGAATTTATTAAAAGGTGTCACGTCATCTGAGACGACGGTTCTTAATGATGCAAATCGGCAGACACTGTTTTCTACTACAACTACGCTATTAGGGAAAATTATCAAATATAATGTAAAATTGACGACTTCTCAGATACAGACCTGTACCAGTACAATTGCTCAGGCGGCTGGGGTTAATTCTACATCAGTTAAAGATAATCCTAGTGTGCTAGCCAGCACAAACCAAGTTTTGACTGATTTATATGTGGCTGGGGCTAACTCAATGTCGTTAGGTCAGACTATTACAAGTGAATCCACATATGTCCACGCGACTGTGCAGATGCTGAATCCATCCGATTTGACGGGCTACAAGACCACCTCAAGCTCAAACTATTACGGCAGTTTTACATTCCCTACAAATGCATCAGTTATTATTGACGGAGTTAAATCAATGCTGACGATCTTTATAGTTTATGACAACGCAAAAGATAATTCTGCAGAATCATATATTTTTTTAAAAAAATTGCTAAAAAATCCAAAATTATTTTTAAAAATGATAAAGAGAATTAATCTGCTTTTTAATCGGCAAATTACTTAATTAAGAATATTTCAAGAGGTGTAGAGTTCAAAATAATCGAAATTTTGCCTAGTGGAAATATAACTCTCACCTTGAATTTTTCTCCAAGCTACGCCAATCTGACTATTCCTTACTATTCAACAGTCAACAAAGGAGACACTATTCAATGTGTATATTATGATAATAACGCATGGTCTACATCAGGCTGCGAATATGTAAGCTACACCTACCCTGAAGTCTCCTGCAGGTGTTCCCATACTTCCTTATTCTCAGCTGGCATGAACCTAGCCATCGTCACTCCAAACAATACCAATGTAGACGCCCCATCAAAAGACGCATGGGAAGGGACATTTTATTATGTCTGCTCCTTAGCTGGGGCTTATGTAATCATGGCTTTTATATTTATCTTTATTGACTCCAAAGAAAAGAAAAAATTATCCAATGAAAAAATGAGTGCTATTAAGCTACATAACAAAATTTATAAAGGAACAACAAATACGGAGCTTGATAATTTGGTGAAGCCTATGAATAGAAATGAAAGCATTGAGATTGAAAGTGATAGGCCGATGTTTTATAAGAGAAGTAATGAAAATATTAATGAAACTCTGCCTGGATCGCCTGAAAATCTGGGGCAGGTTTCGTATTTGAATAAGAAAAAAATAGTGCCGGATATTATTGTGAAGAGCAAAGAAAAAAATGAGGAATTGGAGAGGGGAAATCCTGATTATAACTTAATAGCAGGCTCTCAAAAAGCAAAAGAAACCAGTAATGATACGTATCTAAAGACTCCTTCAAACCCGCTTACAGCTTATTACTTTATTTCTCCATTCTTTTTCTATATGCCATTCTACTCAAGACTCTCCAGAAGCACTTTGCTTATTTTTTCCCTACTTCTTCAAGCATTTTTCAACGGAATTTTCATTGCGCTCTACGAGTCAAAGAAAAAGTTATAAGGCTATAAATGGATAGACCATTAGTCTGCCTATCTGGGTAAACTCTCTAACCTAAGGATTAGCTCTTTAGGTTGGAGTCACCTCTTCTGATGCCCCGTTAGTCTGATAAGCAAAGACTATGTGGGAGGCAAAACCTGTCTAGCCCATCTGGCTGAGACAGGTAAAACCTTCTGAGGAGAAACAAGGCTTCCCTCTTCATCAGACATCCTAAAACCGAAAGCCTAATTTAAACGTTGACAAAGGCACTATTTTCAGCTTCATCCTACCTGCTCCACAGGGAGTTGTCTCAGAGTCCATCTTCTGCCAACGTCACCATTTTATTTCTGCTCTATGAGTCAGGCATCTCTTCCTCAAAAGATTATGAATTTACAGGGATATTCCAAGACATTGATTATCTCCACATAATTTTCGCCATTTTCTCCCCAGTATTTTCCAATCTTTTAGCAATAGCAATCGGCTGGATTTTAATTAAACGCAGAATAAAGATAAGAACTGATATGAAAGAAGCTGCAAAACAAGAAAAAATTAATAGAATATTGAGGCTTGCAGGATATTTGTTATGCTTAGTGGTGATTGGACTTGTTGTGGTGGCTGCTTATTGGATTACTCAGAAGGTTGATGGGAATGGAGATATGATGTGGATGGTGATGATTATTATTTCTCTGCTATGTGATATGGCACTTGTTCAGATTATTAAAGTGATTGTTGCATATGTGCAGCATAAAAGAGAGACTCATTTATAAGTAGTTAATTCATTTTATATAAGTTGCTAGTGGTTGTTATAAGCAATATTTTTCGTCAAATTTAGAAATATATAGTAAAAACAAAATTTAGATAGTAGTTTTGAAAAGTCTTAATTATTAATTAGATCCAGTATTTCTTTGATAGTCTGGCATAAATGGCCCAAATAAAGTTAATTTCTAGCATGACCCATCGTTTATTAATACTACTCCTTTGCCCCTAATATTTTTTTAACCATTAATTATTTAATTAATCGTTTTAAGTGCCTTCTTCAACATCTTGGCAAGCAAATGGCCCAAAGACGCTTAACTCTCCGCTCGACTCATCATTCGACTGATCCTTTTGTTCTTCTATTATATTAATATTTTCTTTAATTTTCAAAATAGATAAATCAACGCTATTTTTTATTCTTTTATCCAATTTTATTTCAATTGCTGAGTCTTCATCCTGATTTATTAAAGAAAAAACAGGCCTCATTTCGCTGTTTTTCTTTATTTTCAGCTCATCAGCATCAAAATAATTCTTAAAAATTGGGAAAATTTCAATTGCTAATAGCTTTAATTCAATAATCATAGTTCGAGTCCACATGAAGACAAAATAAGCATTTGCTAATAATATAAAAAAAAAGAAAATAATATTAGCAAATATGTTTAAGCCGCTGCCTGTATAAAATAGCCCACACCAGGTTGTAATTAGTACTACAAAATTGCTGCCTAACTCAGCTTTATTGAGATTCTCGTACTCAAATGGATAATATGTTTTCTGGATATAATAAAACACAGCAAAAACAGAAGCACATGATGCTGTTTGAATTTCAATGGTCTCAGTTGTCAAAAATACAGTTAAACAAATGATCATTAATTTTCTTATCGTTATGATAAATTCCCAGTAATAGGTAGATTCTCGATATCCGTTATATAAAAACCCAAATTTAAGCTTTGTGTCAAGTCTGTGCAATTTGAACTTTCTTTTTCGTAAAAATAGAAAAACGCATGCAGGAATTCCTATAGATCATACAATAATTCCAGGTAAAGCTATAGTGACAGCATAGAAATAATGATCATCATTTCAGCACTTAATATCAAGGTTGCTTACTAAATATAATTTATCATAAATATAAGTGCAGCTAAAAATCGAAAACATATATGGGATTTTCCCATGGATGGCGTTGTTTTGACCTTGATTTTCCGACTGGGAAAATTTTTTGGTTTGGCAAAACCATATAGTACTGGTCGAACCAAAAAATTTTCCTAGTGGGAAAATCAAGGCCAAAACAGAGCCATCCACAGGAAATTACTATAGTCAGTAATTGACGGCAAAATCAAAAATAATAAAATACATATAGTCGCTATTAATTCGTTTTTCATCATTTTTCAATTTCTTTGAAATATCGCAATAAAAGACCAAAAAATAAATGCAGCAAAGCCTAGAATGGCTGGAAGTGCAACTATAGTAATCAATTTTTTGAAATAGATAGTTTTATATGAATCTGGGTCTCTTTCGTCCATTAAATAGCAGTCTAAAGATATCCAATGTGTAGGGACTTCACCAGGATACCCTTGATTAGCTAATCAATATTCTATATAAAATGGTCAATTCAGCTTAAGTCTAGCTACAAGAGTAATCATTTGTAAATAATTGATTAAAATACGGAAGTATACAGAAATTGTAGATTTTGGCTCATAGGCTGTTTTTAATGAGAAATATACTATGCAAGTGAGTGATATAGCTCGCTCCCTGTTATAGCTCTCCATAGGGAGACAGAGTAGCCCATAGAATTAAGGTCAACTCTCAAAGAGGCAAATAAAGCAGATAATGCTGATTCAAATTAAGATTTGACTTGTCAACCTGAGTTCACGAATAACTCTATGGGTTGCTCTGTCTCTTAGCCCCCTATAGCAAGAAGCAAGCTATATAGCTGCAGCTGTAAATATAAAAATTATTTTAGCTGCATTTGTATCTTGATCAGAAGGACATTTTTCACACTTGTTTCTCCCTGATGATGAATAGCCGAAATCGCATGGCTGGCACTTATTTCCTCTATACCCTTCTGCACATATTCCAATTAAGGATGTATAGTTAACTTCTCAATCTAATCCACCTCTACAGGCATCAGGGTTTGGACAGGGGTAAATTGTACTGGACTCATTACTACCATGCCAGTAGCCTTTATATGGCGCAATTTGATATCCTCCATAGCAAAAAGCATGATTAGGGCATGTTTCGCATTTATCTCAATAATTTAAGCTAAATGTTCCAATTTCGCAAAACTCACATCTATCATTATCCCTATATTCTCCTTTTTCACAGGATCTGGTATCTATAATAATTTTGGCTTCTGGGAGATTATAAAACTTACTATTGTTGAAATAATAATATACTTTTCCAGAATAGCTTAGGCTTAAAACTATTTCTATTCCTGGGGGACAAGATAATGAGAAACTATCAAAATTGATCATTCCTCATTTTGGGTACTCTTTGTAGGTTCCAATAATTTTTGCTCCATTGGTTTCACAATTTAAAAAGGCTAAAGAGTCGTCGTACCCATAAGAGACAGTCTGATTGTCTATATCGATGAGAGCAGCTTGAAAGGATATAATATAGTCTGATCCACACACTATTTTTTTTTCAATAATTTCGCTTCCACTCAACATATTATAAGGCGGCTTTGTTATTAACAATTTTACTGGTTGAGAAGCTGTATTATTCCCATATTCTGCGTAATTAGCAATAAAAGTATTCCCTGATGTATTTTGATAGCTGCCTTCTCAATATACTGCTCCTCCAATTAAAGCCTTATTATGATAAAAAGTATTATTTACCAAATAGTTAGTCCTATTGTTTTTCTGGCATAAAGATACAATGGCCCCTCCGATATCTGATGTATTATTAGTGAATTTCGAGTTTTTTATTATGGCATCACATCCATCTAGTACTATTGCTCCTCCAAAATTTGTTGCCTGATTATTATCAAATTCACAATTATCAACAATAATAATATTGGATTGTGAATAATATCTATAATTGTTATCATTGACAGATTTTATAGAGCCTCCTGTGTCACTATTGGTGTTATTAATAAATTTTAAGTCAGATAGATAGCATTCATAATATTTGCTAATTTCTAATGCCCTGCTCTTTGACCCATTTTTAAATAAGCTTCGTTTTATGTTTATATAATCTATTTCTAGTAAATTTGCTGCAGCATTATAATATCCTTCAAAATAAGAATCCTCTATATCCATAATTTGGGAATAATACACATATATAAACGATGGATGATCAAAACTATTTGGGTCAGGGTTATTTATTCCAATCATCGTGATATTTGATATATATAGGTAATCTCCCTCAAAACTAATGCTTCCGAAATTTGAAGGTTGCAACACTTTAAAATAGCAATTTTGTATTTTAGTACTATTTCCATAAGCATAAATTGCTATTGATGAGACTGATACTATAAATTTTGAATTTCAAATTTTGAAATCTTCTCCATGCTTAAAAGTAATAATGTTATCATTTCATCCGTTGTCAATATTACGATAAAAAGTTGAGTTATATATCTCAAGGATCAAGCTTGAAGAATTTACATCTATCTCATTATTTGCAAAGTAGCTGTTCTTAATGATACTGTATGGGCCGTTTGCTCGTATAAGAGAACTATATTGATAATTCTTAGTGAAGCTGCAATTATTTATAAAAAGAGAGGATTCAGTTTCAATTGAGAAAGCTTTATTTTCTAGAAATGTGCAATCAGTGAAATTCAATGTTCCATTACCAACTTCAAATGAATTGCCATTTCCTCAACTATCGTAAAATTCAGTGCCTTGAAATGAATAGGTTAAGTGTCAAGGTGACCGAAAAGGCCTTATGGTCTTCTTTTTTTTCTCTTCCTTCGGATTCTTCTTCAGTGCCTTCGACATCTTCTTCAGGCATACCACCAAGTTCATCAGTTTTTCAAGCCCCTTTAGGGACTCCTCCAGTTCCTACAAGGGTTTTCTCAGCTTTCTCAAGGATCTTTCCAGCTCCTTCAAGAGTTTCTTCGCCTTTTTCAAGGATTTCTTCAGTTCCTGCTGACTTCTTTGCGGAGTTTGTTGGGTTTTTTGGGATTGTTGTTGGGCTTTTGCAGTCCCTGCTTTCCCGGACTTTCCAGCTTTTTGCGCCTTTTCAATTTCTCCTTCCTTCTCCTTTACCTCTTCCTCTTTTGCCTTTTAATTTCTCTCTGCTGGCTTACTTCTAAGTCATAGGGTGTCGCCCTAAATCATGTGGCGAACATCAACGTCCTCCTCTCGTTTAGCTGCCCAGAGCAGAATCTAATTAAATCCGCTACTTCCCAGGCTGGAAGCTAGCTCTTCCTCCCAATTTCCTTGGCAATATGAGACTTCATCTTCTCCCTCTATTTCCATCATGCGAATTTCTTCTTCCCAAGTCTCTACTTCTGCGATAGCATCATCTATATCTGCATCAAAAAATGATTCGTCATTATATGAATCATATTCATCACAAGAATCAAAGCTACTTGCGTAGGATTCCATATTGACTGAAAAAATAAAAGCTTGAAATGAATAAGTACTATTAAAATTGTCATTTTTTTGATAGGCGTAAAAAACTGAATGGTTTTCTTTAAAACTGCTATCAATATCATGGTAGTTTCCGCCTATTATATATAATTGGTATTGCCCATTTAATAGAAAATCGCATTTCTTGGTTAAAATTGACATATTTTCACTTATAAAGTAAGCTGTAATTACACTGCCATTATTCAAAGATGCATTTAAAAATGAGCACTCTATGAAATGGTAGTCACCGAAGTTTGAAGAATCATTTAAATAAAGATTGCTGTCTACAAATATTGTATCATAAACTCCGAAAAATGAATAATCTTTATATTGAGATTCAGTGCTAATCAAGCTAGAATTGAAATAAGAAGAATCAATTGTTGCGTTTCTGCATTCTCTTAAATGAAGCAAAGCTCTGTTATAATTATTCATATCAAGCTTGATATTTAAAAAATGTGCTGATAGTATATTATGAGCAAGTATTTTGCAGTCTGTGATATGTATATTGCTAAAGATACTTTTTTTGCTATTTTCTATTGATAAAGTAAAATCATCTGTAACTATAAAGCATTCTAATTCAATATTTTCAATTGAAAGATCATCTAAGTCTCTTAGATCAGCAAAATGCAATTCAGTTAGGCTGTCAATAAATGTTGTGCTGTTTATTGTGATGTTTCAGATTGAAATATCACCATTAGATGCATTTATAAAAGAAACGATTGGCTCATGATACAGTTTCAACCCAAATCTTATAAGATTATTAGAATAGCTTATATTTTCAGCTATTTCTGGTTCCGCCTGAGTTAGCAAAGTATCAGTATGCACTGAAGCTATTTTCAGGACTTTAGTTTCCTTTGAGTTTATAATATGATCAAACAATGAATATTTTATTGAAATATTTTCAATGTCAGCTTCAATATTTTTCCCTGTTCCTTCTATATTGATTATATTTAAAGAGCATAGGCTGTTTGATATTTCATAATTTTTTATAAAAATACTGGAAGATTCAGATTGAGATTTTATGGAAAAAAAATTATTCCCAGAAGACGTATAATTGAATTGATTATTATCAAATATAACTATTGAAAATCATCTCATATATACAGTTTTGATTATATATTGCAGCTTTTTCAGCTTGAAAACCTTAAATTTGATGGATAATACTTTGTAAACCCTTATTATTTATGATTAAAATTAAAAATTGTGTTATGGTCTTTTAAAATGGAATAATCTTTTTCAATGCTAATAAAGATTAAATCATTTTCTGTAAAAATATGACTGAATTTATTATTGGTAATTACAGCTTGCTTACAGTCTTTAATGCATAATAATGACTTGCAGCCTTCAAAGGATAAAGAAGAAATTTCTCACTCTCCTAAGACTAAAATATTTGAAAAGTCGACATGATTAAATTCAATATTTTTGAAGCCTTCTGATACAAGAAAACTTGAAGCAAAACTTATGAGGGTGCTAAAATACCCATTTTTTAAAGAAACATAACCTGATTCATATATAAATGAACTGCTGTAGCACGAAGAGCTGCATGAAAGCATAATTACAGAGAATCAGCCTGGACAAAAAAAGGTATTTATATTTGTAAAGTTTGTATTATAAAGGTTTATCGTACCCTCAGCACTGATAACATGCCGCACATTATATCTTATATTTTGAAAAGTTGAATTTTCAACTTTAAATTTTGCCTTCTTTTTAATTTCAATTAAATTCAAAAAATCTAATTGTGGACAAATAGATGATTCTGATGCATCATCAGTAGCATAAACCATATACGGGCCATTGACAGTTTTTCTGTCAATTATTAAATTATAGAAATTTACATATAAAGCTCCTGCTGTTGGGAATGAAAATTTGCTACTTGTTATATTGAGAAATGCATATTCAGAACAGTCATTATCACAGTCAGATTTTAATGTCAAAGACATGATTATTGGATTTATAGGTATTTCATAGTTAATTTTGTGTATTCCAGGCTTCAGTAAAATTTCAATATATGGATTTTTAGCGTTAGTAACTGCATCATAAAGAGTTTTATAAGGATATTTTTTAGAGCCATCAAAGATGCTACTAGTTGCATTATAGCAGTTGCCCGATGATGGCGCTCAATGCGCCATCATCGGGCAACACCAGACAAGGGTCCACACGTGAAATGTGTTCCACACGTGAAATGTGTTCCACACGTGAAATGTGTTCCACACGTGAAATGTGTTCCACACGTGAAATGTGTTCCACACGTGAAATGTGTTCCACACGTGAAATGTGTTCCACACGTGAAATGTGTTCCACACGTGAAATGTGTTCCACGCGTGGAGCCCATTTTGGCGCGTGGAAATGAGGATTATCCACATGTTAAAAAGGACTCCACACGTGGAATCCATTTCCAGTGTGGACCCAGGGTCTGGTGTTGCCCGATGATGGCGCATTGAGCGCCATCATCGGGCAACTGCTATATAATCGACATAAATTTTAACTGAATCTTCGCCTCCTTATTATTAATTACTATAGCAAATTGAAGGGATTAGAGGATGAGGAGAATAGCCTTGAGGGCAGCTCATAACGCATTTGTCAAAAAAGTTTATATACCCTTTCGAACAATCGCATTCGACGCAGTCTGAACTATTTGTGCATTTAAGGCAGCTTGATTCGCAATTGTCTGTTAATAGCTCACCAGTTTCATACAAATTATAAATTTGACAGCTAATAAAATTATCATTGAGGCTCGAAGTGCAGTTTGAGAAATCGATGTTTTGTGTAGATAAAAAATCGTAATTTAATAATTGCCAATATAGATAAAATTTCCTAAGATTTTCATTTTGACATGTCATTCATATAGAGTCATAGTTACAGTCTGGAACCATACATTCTGGCTTGCATTTCCCATAGTCCTCAAACTTACAGTTAGGAGCACATTTACAGTCTTTTCCATCATATTCGCACTCAGCATTATTACACTCAGGATCACAAATTCCATTATTAATCATTTCCAATTTACAGTCTTTTGCACATCATCCACAATCATTTAAATCATATCGGCATTCAGCTGTATTGCATTCTTCATCGCAATTTCCATCATTAAGCATATCTTCATAGCAATTTTTAGCACAAAATCCACATTGTCCTAAATCTCAAGCGCATTCTTGTATTTTGCATTCTTATATATATATTACCATCGTCACATTTATCGTTTTCTAATAGCTCAAGAGTGCAGCCAGATGAAATGCAGAATTCATATAGGCATATCCTGTAAACAGCCTGCAATGGGCTAGGGATAGAGGCCAAAACTTCCCACTTGGTTCGGCCAAAAGGGGCTGATCGAGCCAAGTGGAAAGTGGCAAATAAGTCTCCTTTCACTTGGTTCGACCAATCCATTTTGGCCGAGCCAAGTGCGAAGTTTTGGCCTCTATCCCTAGCTCATATCAGGCTATTTACAGGACACGCCTATAGCAATCACTGGATTTTATAATAGTGATTTTATCAGGAAAATTATTTTCTGAGGAATCATAATTGCAAGGCTCAATCATACATGAAGGTGAGCAAATATTATCTCCTATCTGAGTCTAGATTACATTGTATTTTTCGCAAATATTAGGATTGCAGTCTAGATGCAAAGCATGAGATATATGAATAAGAAAAACCAGCATGGATATTTTTTATACAATTGAAGAAAAATTGCAGATAAAATGATAGATTTTAATCATTTTTTTCGATGATAAATACTAAACATATATTTAAATAGTTTATTGTTTAAATTAAGAATAAAATTTTTTTGATAATGCAACTTGAACAAAGTGAAGATGGTCTCCTTTGGTAACTTGATATTATTAAATTTAGCAAATCTTTATCAAGACTTGGGAAAAATTTATAAAAATAACTACTCTGGGACTTTAGCATATATAATGGATATATGACTCACTCTTGCATTTCCAAATGAAGGAGACCCTTACTTAAGCAATCTAAATTGATTAGAGCATTGAGGATTCTAATAATTTTGTTTCGAGGGTTTTGCAAGGATTATTTTGTGACCCATCAGCAATACTATTAGTAGCATTATGGTCAAGATAAATTTTGATGGATTTTGGTTTCCTTTTTATTAATTAATATAGCAAGTTGAATGGGTAATTGGATTATTAGAATAGCTTTGAGGACAGCTTTTAACGCTTTTATCAAAATAGTTTATTCATGCAGCCAGAATTGCAATTTTTTGTGAATAATTTTATATAAATTAATTAATTCATAAAAAAGAGATTTTCTTTAAAATTTGAAAACAATTTGCCATGGCAGAAAAGCTTATTTAAGCTATATATCTATTTTTCTGAATATAACCTCTTGCAAGCATTTCCTTGAGATCATTTGGCTGAAACTTTATAATCAATAGACACTTGATCGAAAAATAGCAGCAAATACCTGTTTCCAGGTGATTTATGCTGGGAAAAAAGGCATGATACATTAATTTAAAAATTGCCAAGGCAGATAAAATTCTCTAATTTGCCTATGAGCTATGTATAAAAAGGGGAAAAAATACTTTATGATAATGATAGAATAAGATCTTAATAAATGCATTGAGCCCCTATCGAGTAGTAATTACAATCTAAAATCAGTCATTCTAGCTTGTATTTTCCATAATCTAATTAGGGACACATTCACAATCATTTCCATCTTACCCGCAATTAGGATTATTACACTCAGGATCGCAATTTTTTATTAATTTGCCTCAGCTTACAGTTTATAGCGCATTATCCACAATCATTTAAATCTACCTGCATTTAGCCGTTTTACATTCTTCATCACAATTTCCATTCCAAAGAATATCTTCGTGACAATTTTTTGCACAAAATCTGCATTTTTCTAGATCTATCACATTTAATAAGCAAAAGGTACATCCTGATAAAATGCAAAATTCGTAGTAATTCGCTAAATTTCATTAGTTATTTTCTTTTGGGGTTGGATTCTAAAGAATAATAATTGCATAGCCCAGTTATGCATGAAGGCGAGCGGATAAAACATCTTATCTGAATTTAAATTATGCTGTGCTCTAGCGTTAGGGTTGCAATCGAGATTTTAAAGCATAAGCCACTTTAAAAAGAAAAACCAGCATATAAGTATTTTTATGCAATCACTACTCTAAATAATATACATATAAAGAGAATATTACTTTATTCCCTTTTAAATGATAGTGAAAATTATAAATTGAATGCATTTTTTAAATTTTAATTTTATTTTTATAGAGAATTAATTCACAAAATTATTTTATTAAATGTAGCAACTGTTTAATAAGTATTCTAATTGCAATTTTTTCCTATTAAAAATTAGGTTAAAGTTATTTATATAAAAATTAGTATTTTCAGCTTTAAAATTTATTATTGGAAATTTGCCTAAAAAGTATGATTTTGCTCAAATTTAAATGGGGAAGTTAGTTAAATTAAGCAATAAATGAATTAAAATTCTCTATCTAAACTAAGATTAACCTCAGCTCCAATCAGTTCTAACGCTGATTTAGCTCCTTCCATAATGAAGCACGACCCAACAACCAACAAAATTTCATTCTCCTGATCCATCTCCTCAATCGCCGTCGGCAAAACACTACTAATATGTCCAGAAATCGACACAATTTCTGCATTAATACTTCTTGCAGTATTTTCAAGCTCCTGATACCCAAACAACAGCTCATTATTAGCTGTAATTAAATGCAAACAGCTCGCATGTCTACAGACAATTTCCAACAACTCACGATCATCTCTCTTTTTTCCCATCCCAAAGACAACCCTAATCCTTTTCCCAGCAAAACTTAAATTTAAGTCAGCAAAAAGCCTTTCCAAAGCCATAGGATTATGCCCTACATCTAAAATCACTGTCTTCCCATTTGCATTAATCACTTGTTTCCTGCACGGTGGTCTCCATCTTACCCCTTTTTCTATATCACTTTCCCTTACAATTTGTTCTTTTTGGTTTAAAGCCTTAAAAATTTGCCTTGTGATATTAGAATTTTCTTGGTCAAATGTTTCGTAGCTATCTCCTTTTTCGACAAAATAAATTTCAGCTTCTTTTTCTTCTGCGACTTTTCTTAAAAATTCTTTTGTTGGGCAACTTGGGCCAACTACACAAGGTTTGTGGAATTTTATGATCCCAGACTTTTCTAGGGCGATGTCTTCATAAGTATTTCCAAAGATGTGGCAATGGTCGAGGCCTATAGAAGTTATAACAGAAATCTCAGGCTCGACAACATTTGTGTAGTCGTGGGTGGCGCCGCAGCCAACTTCAATTACGGCTCAGTCACAGTTTTGGTCTCTGAAATATTTAAAGCCTAATGAATATTTTTTATTAATTTAATTAGGGCAATTATTTCAAAGCAAAAATAAAAATTTTCTTTTAGTTATATTTAATTAAGAATAGATTATGCCATAAGGGCGAAGCTGAGAGGTCCTTTATTTTCGATAATGATATTGCGAATTATCGGGATGTTCTCTGCTACATAAGACTGAGGTATGTATTGAAAATCCACTTGGAAACGCTCACAAAAGTCTACTAAATGAGGAGAAGTCATCAAGCCTACTTTATAGCCTGCAGATCTAAGAACTGCTGCACATTGAGTTGCCACGGTTCCTTTACCTTTGGTTCCTGTGATGTGGATGACTTTGTAGGACAAATGGGGATTATCGATTTTTTGTAATAAGGAGCGGATTACAGGGATTGGGTTGTGGTGGCGGGATGCATGGAGGCTGTAAAGATAATTAAGGGTATCTTGATATGTTGATATTGAATCTTGCATTATTTATAATAATTTATTATTCTATAAAACAGGGTTTTTAGAAAGAAATAGTTAAATAATAATTTTGCCGATAAAAATTGTAATTGTTTAAGATGAGCTCTAAATTATCCTTATTCAGATCTATAATTTTTTATCAAAAATTAAAATGATTTGTTTCAGTGTTTAAGTTTGTTCTTAAATAAACCTTCAAATTGAGATTTGAAATAATTAAATGTTTTTTATTAATATTCTATATTTTTTGATGAAAAAGTGTTAAGACTAAATTTTTGACGATTTAAGCATAAATAATTTTATATATATAATTATTATTTAAACAGTCAAACTCAATTTTATTTTTTATCGAATTTTTATCTTCTTTCTACTTAAACATTTCAACGATTTTTCTCAAATTTTTGATATTGAATCCATATTGGTCAAATCTGAAAATTGCATCATATTTACATTATAATATCTCATATAAAATCCCATTTCATCCCTACTTATTTTACTCGGATTCCGCTAAACTTCCACAATGAAATATTTTTATTTTTTATTTACAAAACTAAGAAAAAATCGATTCATTTTTCTATAAAATACTGGAGGATTAAGAAAAATTAAAACAATCTTTCAAATATAAGTTATAATAACACTATTTATAGCTGCGAGAAATCGCATGTCGAAGCCTCAGATAGGCTATCAGATTCTTGAAACTTTGAATCTTTAATAATTGGGTTGATTTTACATCGAGCTGGAGCCCATTCAAGAACTGCAGACTTATTCTTTCTTTTAATTTGTGGCAGAGCCAGAATGTGCTTTATCTCATCCCTAACAATTTGATCTTTTAGAGCTGCTTCTTCGTGCTCTTTTTTCGAATTCCTGTTAGGAAAGAACGGGTTTTGCGGAGCTTTGATTTGTGGGAGACACACCCGTGAAGGTTTGGGGGAGATAAGACTGGCCTTATTGATTTTGTTCCTACATAGCGGCTTACATTTGAGTTAGGATTTGAATATAATCAATATGGTAAACTGCTTAGGAAATTATTTGAATTTGGCTTCTGGGGTGAATTTCAAGAAAATAAAGATCTCGAGTATTGAATTTGTACTATCTATCATTACTTACTTAATTAGTGTTTAGGATGTCTTCCGTTCTGCGTGATATCATAATTACACCTCCCATTTTATCTCAGAACTAGTGTTTCACAGACCTTCTTTTATCAAAATAGTGAAACACTCCTAGACACTAAATCCACCATGCCTCAGAATCTCTGTTCACTCCTTACTCACCTAAAGGGTCACTTTTTATATATGGATAGATCATTGATGTGTAGGTTCGCATAGCTCAATTCTGCTCCGTTGTGAAGTGGATATTGTGAACAAGCTATCCAATTTATACACAAGTCATGGAGAAAATCAGTTCCATCTATTCCGAACCGGCTTATCGATATAAATTCAGAGCTTGAAAAAAGGGCTAGAGATTTATTATGTTCTAACAATATAGAAAAATTATTCACATTTTTGAAAATTTCTTTATAGAAAAAAGCTTGAATGGAAGCAAACTTCAAGCTATTTGGGTAGCAAATTATTGTTTATATGCACTAGAAGACAATTCTTTGGCAAGAATTAAATTAAGCAAAATCAAAAAAATTCAAGATTGAGGGTTGAAGACAAATTATCAGGCTTATTTATGCTAAAAAAATACTCAAGAATTGTAGTGAAGTTACGAATTTTTAGAATATTTTACACAATTCGAAAAAATTAGAAAAAAGACCTGAATTGTGTGTGAATTTATTGGAATTTTGAAAAGAAGTAATACCAGAAAAGCCAAGCCTGAGCAAATTAGTAAAGAAATTGATGAATATATTGCATTCCTCAATAATCAATATAAACAAATAGCCGGCACATTTCCAAACTCAAGAGAATCTTTAGCCCTTTATGCATCATATACAAGGAATATCCTCTATGACATAAAAAATTCAACCAAAATTGATAACAAATTACAATATTTCGATAGAATTTACCAAAATTATATTTGCTGCCTAATGAATAATTCTCTAATTGTTAAGCCGATTGCCTCAAGAGCGTAGACCAAACCAAGAAGAATTTTAAAAAATGGGAAAATACATTAGGGTTTTTCTTATCGTTTTTAAGTGAAACATTTTTATTTAGGGCTTTTTCATGGCACTTTAATAGCTCGAAATATAACTAGATTCATTTTCGGAGCTTTCTTAGGCTGGCAGCATTTATGCTAGCTATAAACGACTTATATTTGAGCTTTAATGGGCTAATCAGTGAAAATAATCAGTATTTGCAAAGTGCGGTTGATGGCCAAATTAATGTGATTATAGGAATTTTGGGTGGTTTTAATTTGATTTCATTTATTATATACTTTTATTTTAGGAAAATTAAATCTTTGATAAAAATAATCCCTATCGCTGATATAATAAATATAGCTTTTCCTACAATAGTGGTTTAGATTTTTTCTTTAAATTTTAATAATAGCAATATTTAAGAGCTCAGAATTTTCACGCGGGCTATGAAAAGGAAATATATTTTAGCATGCTATATCTATTATTGATAAAAATTAAATTCCATGAAGTCGAGCTTAAGAAAGAAGAATTAATTATCCTTCTAAGGGTCCTGCTCAAAGCTGAAGTCAAGTTTGATTGGGAGTTGGCTTAGAATTAGATCAGTTCTAATCTGTAACTGGCTTGCAGTTTGTGAGTGGATTTGCCAAGTAGTGGTCGCGATAGCCTGGTTATCAGCAGTTGTTGCTTTTAAGTTGCTAATTTTTAGAGTCTTTGCTAACGGATAGGCGAAGTCAAAAACAATGTTTGGAGAAGCAAAGCTAAGTTTGTACCCAACTGAGTCAACAATACAGGAGTTTCCAACTTGAGAAATTACATCAGTACATTTAAAGCAAGTAGGACTAGCATTGCAAGAAGTGCATGAGTCACAAGCTAAATAAAAGTTACCTAACTACCCCCAATCCTTGATCAAACGGCTCACCATCGTTCGATCAAGATGGGGGTTAAAAAATATTTTTGAGAAAAAATTTTATATAAAATAAAAAAATATTTTTTTTTATATACTTTTAAATAAGAGGGTTAAGAGTATTTAATAATTATTTTTACAACAAAAAATTGAATTAATTTCGTAAGAATACCAATTTTAATATTTTAATCTATTGGTTACCCCTTTAAACTGTATAAATTTTAATTTGTTTCTTATTGAATTAAAAATTTTAAATTTTAAAGATATTTTTATATATATATATATAAAAATTTGCATGATGTGAAAATCGTTCGATCAAGGATGGTGGGCTAATTTTGCCAATTTTTAGGAATTTTTACAGTCAAATCGTTTGATCAAGGATGGGGGGAGTAAGCAGCTTGTAATAGAGCCGCTATTATAGAGGAAAAAGCTTGGATTGCATTGAGTGCATACCTTTTCTGCTGTTCATAATGCACAATTGAGAGGAGAATCTGCATAAAAATTACTTAAGACACAAGTAAGTCCTTCGAGAGCATAATTAGTTTTGCATTGACACTTATTTGCAAGGTCACCATTTGGATCGTTGCAAGATGAGCACACTCCATCATTTGCAGAGCACGTGCAAAGTGTCGGACATGGGCAAGGTGTTGAGCTTAAGCATCCCACATCGGGGTGACAATAAGTATTACAAGAAGCTGAACAAGTCGAAGTTGTAGCATCATAAGTAGCATCAAGGTTGTCATATAAAGTGACAATAGACGAGTTTATAGTAGCTTTTTTGAAGAATTGAATCTCATAATAATATGCATCTATAATATTTCCAATCATAATTAATTTCCCTGGTTCGTAGGCATCAGTTAAAGTAACAGTGGAAAACTCTGGAGAAATAACTGACAAAGTCCAAAGGGATTGAATTTTAACAAAATAATATACCAAAAATATTCATTTTCCTATCTAAAACATACCTTCGGAAATAGGAACTTCTTTTTTTTCGTCTTCAGTTGTTCTAAAAATCAAGATTTGATCCTTAAATTCGGTGTAATAAGATGTCATGTCTGAATATAAACGTGCTATATAAACTGGGTATCCATTGCCTTGTAAGCTCATTCATATACTTACCCCAAACTCTACTGTGGACGAGGGAATAGCACTTGCAGTTCCTCAGTAGAAAGCAGTACGAGAATAGATATGAAAACCTTTACAAGTTACATCTGATGTAGCAATTATGTTACCATCTCCTGCGAAAGGCTCATTGCTATTAGATGATAAGTCTTTGATCTTCCCATCTACTAGATTGTTTGGGGTAAAAACCCATTTTGCAAAAGGAGAATAAGTAGCAATAACAAAGGAAAGACAAAAAATTATAAAGCATGCCTTCAGTCGGGTCGACCTTCCCATTTAATAATTATATCCGTATAAATAAAAATGAATTATCGAAATAAATTTTAAAAAACGGGCATAAAAGCGAGTTCTTAGAACTATAAAAAGGGATTTGAAAAAGACTTTTAAAAATTAATAATTTTAAATAAAAGCACGCATAAGCCCATTTTATCGAAAATAGATCTTCAATTTTTGATGTTTCGAGTGTAGGTAACTTCTTGGAAAACGACAATGAAAATTACGAATCTATTAGAGAGCATTGAAAAATTAAAAGCCAGTGACTTAGCCTAAACTAAAAAACTAACTCAGCCACTGCTTTAATATTTAATAGATTTTATAAATCAACAATCAATAAGTTTTAGCTCTTAAGTTAAGGCAGCACAAATAACTTAAATGGAAGCTTAGATCAATTATTCAGAAAAACTAGAAATAATTAATATTGGGTTGGCTTATTTTAACTATCATCTGAATTAAACGTAAAACTTTCTGAATAAAATTTATTTGTTAAGAGTAATCTCCATATAGCTTTTCCTAAAATAGTGTTTTAGATTTTTTTTTAAATTGCAATATTTAGAGAGCTTAAAATTTTCACACGAGCTATGAAAAGGAAATATATTGCAGCGTGCTTCATCCATTATTGGTAAAAATTATTTCCATGAAGTCAAACTTAGCGTATTTAATTTTCTGCCAAAATGGTATTTTCTGAAGAATTTTATGCTAAAAATAAACTCAATAAATTTATTCTAAGAAAAAAGAATTAATTATCCTTCTAAGGGTCCTGCTCAAAGCTGAAGTCAAGTTTGATTGGGAGTTGGCTTAGAATTAGATCAGTTCTAACCTGTAACTGACTTGCAGTTTGTGAGTGGATTTGCCAAGTAGTGGTCGCGATAGCCTGGTTATCAGTAGTTGCTGCTTTTAGTTGCTGATTTTTAGAGTCTTTGCTAACGGATAGGCGAAGTCGACAACAATGTTTGGAGAAGCAAAGCTAAGTTTGTACCCAACTGAGTCAACTCTACAGGAGTTTCCAACTTGAGAAATTACATCAGTACATTTAAAGCAAGTAGGACTAGCATTGCAAGAAGTGCATGAGTCACAAGCTAAATAAAAGTTACCTAAGCAGCTTGTAGAAGTGCCGCTATTATAGAGGAAAAAGTATGGATTGCATTGAGTGCATACCTTTTCTGCTGTTCATAATGCACAATTGAGAGGAGAATCTGCATAAAAATTACTTAAGACACAAGTAAGTCCTTCGAGAGCATAATTAGTTTTGCATTGACACTTATTTGCAAGGTCACCATTTGGATCGTTACAAGATGAGCACACTCCATCATTTGCAGAGCATGTGCAAAGTGCCGGGCATGGGCAAGCTGTTGAGCTTAAGCATCCCACATCGGAGTGACAATAAGTATTGCAAGAAGCTGGACAAGTCGAAGTTGTAGCATCATAAGTAGCATCAAGGTTGTCATATAAAGTGACAATAGACGAGTTTATAGTAGCTTTTTTGAAGACTTGAATCTCATAATAGTCTGCATCTATATACATTCCAATTATAATTTTATCCCCTGGGCCGTAGGTATCAGTTAAACTAAAAGCGGAAAACTCTGGAGAAATAACTGTCAAAGTCCAAAGGGTTTGAATTTTAACAAAATAAAATACCAAAAATATTCATTTTCCTATCTAAAACATACCTTCGGAAATAGGAACTTCTTTTATTTCATCTGAAGGTGTCTTAAAGACCAAGATTGTGTGATCCTTAAATGTGGTTGAATAAGGTAGACTATATTCATTAGAAGGTCCTATTGAAACTGGGTATCCATTGCCTTGCAAGCTCATTCATATACTTACCCCAAGCTCTACTGTGGACGAGGAAATAGCACTTGCAGTTCCATAGTAGTAAGCAGTACGAGAATAGGTATGAAAACCTTTACAAGTTACATCTGATGTAGCAATTATTCCATAAGTATCTTCTGCGAAAGGCTCATTGCTATTAGATGATGAGTCTTTGATCTTCCCATCTACTAGATTGTTTGGGGTAAAAACCCATTTTGCAAGAGGAGAATAAGCAACAATACCAAAGGAAAAACAAAAAATTATAAAGCATGCCTTCAGTCGGGTCGACCTTCCCATTTAATAATTATATCCGTATAAATAAAAATGAATTATCGAAATAAATTGTGAAAAACGGATATAAAAGCGAGTTCTTAGAACTCTAAAAAGGGATTTAAAAAAGACTTTTAAAATTTAATAATTTTAAATAAAAGCACGCATAAGCACGTTTTATCGAAAATAGATCTTCAATTTTTTATGTTTCGAGTGTAGGTAACTTCTTGGAAAACGACAATGAAAATTACGAATCTATTAGAGAGCATTAAAAAATTAAAAGCCAGTGACTTAATCTAAACTAAAAAAGTAATTCAGTCACTGCTTTAATATTTAATAGACTTTATAAATCAACAATCAATAAGTTTTAGCTCTTAAGTTAAGGCAGCACAAATAGCTTAAATGGAAGCTTAGATCAATTATTCAGAAAAACTAGAAATAATTAATATTGGGTTCACTTATTTTAACTATCATCTGAATTAAACGTAAAACTTTCTAAATAAAATTTATTTGTTAAGAGTAATCTCCATATAGCTTTACCTAAAATAGTGATTTAGATTTTTTTTTAAATTGCAATATTTAGAGAGCTTAAAATTTTCACACGTGCTATCAAAAGGAAATATATTGCAGCGTGCTTCATCCATTATTGGTAAAAATTATTTCCATGAAGTCAAACTTAAGAAAAAAGAATTAATTATCCTTCTAAGGGTCCTGCTCAAAGCTGAAGTCAAGTTTGATTGGGAGCTGGCTTAGGACAAGATCAGTTCTAATCTGTAGCTGGCTTGCAGTTTGTGAGTGGATTTGCCAAGTAGTGGTCGAGATAGCCTGGCTATCAGTTGTTGCTGCTTTTAAGTTGCTAATTTTTAGAGTCTTTGCTAACGGATAGGCGAAGTCAAAAACAATGTTTGGAGAAGCAAAGCTAAGTTTGTACCCAACTGAGTCAACTCTACAGGAGTTTCCAGCTTGAGAAATTACATCAGTACATTTAAAGCAAGTAGGACTAGCATTGCAAGAAGTGCATGAGTCACAAGCTAAATAAAAGTTACCTAAGCAGCTTGCAGAAGTGCCGCTATTATAGAGGAAAAAGTATGGATTGCATTGAGTGCATACCTTTTCTGCTGTTCATAATGCACAATTGAGAGGAGAATCTGCATAAAAATTACTTAAGACACAAGTAAGTCCTTCGAGAGCATAATTAGTTTTGCATTGACACTTATTTGCAAGGTCACCATTTGGATCGTTACAAGATGAGCACACTCCATCATTTGCAGAGCATGTGCAAAGTGCCGGGCATGGGCAAGCTGTTGAGCTTAAGCATCCCACATCGGAGTGACAATAAGTATTGCAAGAAGCTGGACAAGTCGAAGTTGTAGCATCATAAGTAGCATCAAGGTTGTCATATAAAGTGACAATAGACGAGTTTATAGTAGCTTTTTTGAAATATTGAATCTCATAATAGTATGCATCTATATAATTTCCAATTATAATTTCATCCCCTGGGCCGTAGGTATCAGTTAAACTAAAAGCGGAAAACTCTGGAGAAATAACTGTCAAAGTCCAAAGGGTTTGAATTTTAACAAAATAAAATACCAAAAATATTCATTTTCCTATCTAAAGCATACCTTCGGAAATAGGAACTTCTTTTATTTCATCTGAAGGTGTCTTAAAGACCAAGATTGTGTGATCCTTAAATGTGGTTGTATAAGGTGGATCTTCTCCATAAGAAGGTCATACTGAAACTGGGTATCCATTGCCTTGCAAGCTCATTCATATACTTACCCCAAGCTCTACTGTGGACGAGGAAATAGCACTTGCAGTTGCAAAGTAGTAAGCAGGAACAGAATAGGTATGAAAACCTTTACAAGTTACATCTGATGTAGCAATTATTTTATAACCATCTAATGCTCCGAAAGGCATATTGCTATATGATGATGAGTCATTGATCTTCCCATTTACTAGATTGTTTGGGGTAAAAACCCATTTTGCAAAAGGAGAATAAGCATCAATACCAAAGGAAAAACAAAAAATTATAAAGCATGCCTTCAGTCGGGTCGACCTTCCCATTTAATAATTATATCCGTATAAATAAAAATGAATTATCGAAATAAATTTTAAAAAACGGATATAAAAGCGAGTTCTTAGAAATCTAAAAAGGGATTTGAAAAAGACTTTTAAAAATTAATAATTTCAAATAAAAGCACGCATAAGCACGTTTTATCGAAAATAGATCTTCAATTTTTTATGTTTCTAGTGTAGGTAGCTTCTTGGAAAACGACAATAAAAATTACGAATCAATTAAAGAGCACTGAAAAATTAAAAGCCAGTGACTTAGCCTAAACTAAAAAATAATTTAGTCATTGCTATAAATATATAATAACTTAATTTTCTTATCCGATAATCTAGCCTCTAAATACCAGTTCAATGAGGGGCAATTTTTTCGCTACCCTAGATTGCTCATACACCTTTGACTCGATTTTAGCTTCAATTAGGTTATTTAATAACCCAGAAGTTCTAAAAATTCAAGCGGCATGGTTATCACCTTATCTTCTAACACCTGTTTGGTCTAATGGTCTTGCAGTATCAAGCACAGGAAGAGGTAAAGTACGAAAATGAAAGATGCTAACTCCCCCCATCCTTGATCGAACGATTCACTGTAAAAATTCCTAAAAATTGGGAAATTAAATCCCATCCTTGATCGATCGATTTTCATATCATGCAATTTTTTATATATATAAAAATAGATTAGTTATCAAAAGCTGGGAAGATGTGCCTAATGAAGTTATTGTCAGAGGCTTTGAGACGACAGGAAGCTACGAAATCAATCGTTTGAAGTGCTTTAGTCATCAACCTGAGCTTAAAAACTCAATAATCTAAAAAATAGAGATTCTTTAAAAAATTTTTAATTCAATAAGGGACAAATTAAAATTTATACAGTTTAAAGGGGTAACCAAAATATCGAAATATGAAAAATTGGTATTCTTATGAAATTAATTCAATTTTTTGCTGTAAATATAAGTATTAAATACTATTTAAAAGTATAAAAAATATATATATATATATATTTTTTTATTTATATATCCCAAAATTTTTTTTTTAACCCGAACGATGGCGAGCCGTTCGATCAAGGATGGGGGAGTAAGTAGTCTTGCCTTTATCAGACTACCAGACATAAATTATGTACAAAAACTTAGCCCTATAATAACAGTTAGGTTAGGGAAATTCATGAAGCGGATTCTTCTATAATGCTATAATTTTAATAATTATTTTAAGTTAAGCTCTTAAGTTAAGGCTGCACAAATAGCTTAAATGGAAGAAATTCTGATAGCAAGCTACAAAATGAGTTAATTTACGAACTTAAGCTTATAATTATAATCCTAATAAAGACTTCAATTTTTTCGTAAAGTTTAAATTATTAAGATAAGTCTTAGAAAATTATTTGTAACAGTATCACGCCTATCCTTAAACTTAAAAATATGTACATTTTAATATGCTCCCAGCTTATGGTCTTTGATTAGTTTTTTTCTTCAAATAGCACTATTGAAGTTTGAGCTACAGGATTAAGCAAGCCAGTTATACTTATTTTGCTTAAGCTAAACTTATCGCTAGTAGCATGCTCTCTCTTTGGTCTTGAAGGATTTCGAAAATTATTACAAATTTTCGAAATAAACTGGATATGCTAAAAATCTATGACCTCCAAGCCCACTCTTGTTGCAGCCATTTTAGGGTCCCCAAATATGCATTTTAGAGCTCTTGAATTCTTGTAGAAGCCCTTTGACACTTGAAACAAAAAGTCATAAGGCTTGGATATTTAAGTATTCTCAATATCATAGACAAGTAATTAGAAATCCTTCAAAAATTCCATTTAACTCCAAAATATATTGAAAATACCTATGAAGATTTTCGCTATAACTTATCGTCATATTGCTGTTTTCTATTGTAAATAGCTTATCTATATGAAAATTGTGCCCAAACTCTATATCGGTCTGAAATAATCAACTAATAAGCATGCAATTTTATATGTCAGCTTAGGAATATGAGCAACAGAAAGTGGAGGTGAGACTGTTGGGATTTCTCTTCAAAATCAAATGCCTTACTTATATAGAAATAAAATGGTGACGTTGACGGGGCTTGGACCCCAAGGCGCATCCCCTATGGAGCAGGCAGGGCCCATCCTGATGCGCTGAAAGTAGGGCTTCTGTCCTGGTAAAGTAGGCCTTCAGGCTTGGGGATGCCTTACTAAAGAGGGAAGTTTTATTTCTCCCCTGAAGGTTTTCCCTGTCCCTGCCAGATGGGCTAGGTTTTGCCTACAACATGGTCTTTCTTCATCGGACCATCGGGGCACTATCTAAGAGCGGCTCTGTCCAGGGCAAGCTAATTCCCTGGACAGGTGGTTCAGGTCTGAAATCCAAGACGGGGCAGATGGTCAGCGCCTTCGGAGCGCTTATGGCCGGATACTTAATAACTTACTCATATGCTTTCAGAAATAGTTTAGTTTCAATAAAAGACACCATGCATAGAATTAAACGTTCGCAATCTGTCATAAGAAATTCCAAATATTCCCACATTTTTTCAAAATATTTTTCGAAAAAGCTGACGATTCGACTTGAGATGAATTGGCAATGGACTTAATTCAGCTGGAGAAATGGCTTTGTTTCAAGCTGATTATATTAGATTCATTTTCGGAGTTTCAGCTGGAGCGATTTAATCTATTTATAAACGACTGAAAGTTGAGCTTTAATGGGCTAATCATCGAGGTTGATCAGTATTCATAAAGTGTGGTTGATGGCCAAATGAATGTGATTATACGAGTTTTGGATGTTTTTATTGAGATTTCGTTTATTATGCACTTTGGGATTTATTCTCTTTTTTAATTAGAGGAAAAAATTATTTGAGGAAAATTAATTCTTTGATTAAAATAATTCCATATCCCGAATATAATAAGTATTTATAAATATAGCTTTCCTGCATTAGTGAATTATATTTTTTCTTTAAATATCAATAATAGTAATATTTAGAGAGCTCAGAATTTTAGTTCAATATGAAAAAGAAATATGTTGCAGCCCTTCATCCATTATTGGTAAAAAATTAAATTCCATGAAGTCGATCTTACATCAAATATAGATAGAAAAGCAATAAAAGCTTCTCAATTTAATATAAAAATATTTAAAATAATTTTTGAAAATTTTACTTCAAACCTTTTTAGAAGGAAGCAGATGCTTGCATATACTGAAGAATTTTATGTTAAAAATAAAACTCAATGAATTTAGTCTAACTATAGCTTATTTAATATATGCATTAATATATATTCATGTATTTCATTAAATAAATTTTATCAATTTATCACTGTTATATTTGCTAATTGTCTTGGATTAGTTTTAGGGAAATATTTTTATTTATACTGAGCTATTAGCAAACGAATAATAAAAACAAGCTTTTTTTATAAATTATTAATTATGGGAGTTAAGAAAGAAGAATTAATTATCCTTCTAAGGGTCCTGCTCAAAGCTGAATTTAAGCTTGATTGGGAGCTGGCTTAGAATAAGATCAGTTCTAATCTGTAGCTGGCTTGCCGTTTGTGAGTGAATTTGCCAAGTAGTGGTCGAGATAGCCTGGTTATCGGTAGTTGTTGCTTTTAAGTTGCTGATTTTTAGAGTCTTTGCTAACGGATAGGCGAAGTCAACAATAATGTTTGGAGAGACAAAGCTAAACTTGTACCCAACTGAGTAAACTCTGCAAGAGTTTCCAGATTGAGAAATTACATCAGCACATTTAAAGCAAGTAGGACTAGCATTGCAAGAAGTGCATGAGTCACAAGCTAAATAAAAGTTACCTAAGCAGCTTGTAGAAGAGCCGCTATTATAGAGGAAAAAGTTTGGATCGCATTGAGTGCATACCTTTTCTGCTGTTCATAATGCACAATTTGGAGGGGATTCTATATAAAAATTACTTAAGACACAAATAAGTCCTTCGAGAGCATAATTAGTCTTACATTGACACTTATTTGCAAGGTCACCATTTGGATCGTTGCAAGATGAGCACACTCCATCATTTGCAGAGCATGTGCAAATTGTCGGACATGGGCAAGCTGTTGAGCTCAAGCATCCCATTTCGGGGTGACAATAACTGGCGCAAGAGGCTGGACAAGTCGAAGTTGTAGCATCATAAGTAGCATCAGAGATGTCATATAAAGTGACAATAGACGAGTTTATAGTAGCTTTTTTGAAGACTTGAATCTCATAATAGTCTGCATCTATATTTCAGCCAATTATAATTATATTCCCTGGGTCGTAGGCATCAGTTAAAGTAACAGTGGAAAACTCTGGAGAAATAACTGTCCAAGTCCAAAGGAATTGAATTTTAACAAAATAAAAGATAAAAAATATTCATTTTCCTTTCTAAAACATACCTTGAGAAATAGGAAATTTTTTTAATTCATATGAAGGTGTCTTAAAGACCAAGATTTGATCCTTTAATGCGGTTTGATAAAGTGACATGCTTATTAAATAACGTGCTATATAACCTGGATCTCCATTGCCTTGCAAGCTCGTTCATATACTTATCCCAAACTCTACTGTGGACGAGGAAATAGCACTTGCAGTTCCTGAGTAAGCAGCTTCGGAAGAAGCGATATGAAGACCTTTACAAGTTACATCTGATGTAGAAATTAGTTCACCATTTCCTGCGAAAGGCTCATTGCTATTAGATGATAAGTTTTTGATCTTCCCATCTACTAGATTGTTTGGGGTAAAAACCCATTTTGCAAAAGGAGAATAAGCAGCAATACCAAAGGAAAGACAAAAAATTATAAAGCATGCCTTCAGTCGGGTCGACCTTCCCATTTAATAATTATATCCGTATAAATAAAAATGAATTATCGAAATAAATTTTAAAAAAGGATATAAAAGCGAGTTCTTAGAACTCTAAAAAGGGATTCAAAAAGACTTTTAAAAATTAATAATTTTAAATAAAAGCACGCGTAAGCCCGTTTTATCGAAAATAGATCTTCAATTTTTTATGTTTCGAGTATAGGCAACTTTTCGAAACGACAATAAAAATTACGAGTCTATTAGAGAGCACTAAAAAATTAAAAGCCAGTGACTTAGCCTAAACTAAAAAAATAAGTCAGTCACTGCTTTAATATTTAATAGATTTTATAAATCAACAATTATAAGTTTTAGCTCTTAAGTTAAGGCAGCACAAATAACTTAAATGGAAGCTTAGATCAATTATTCAGAAAAACTAGAAATAATTAATATTGAGTTGACTTAATTTAACTATCATCTCAATTAAACGTAAAACTTTCTAAATAAAATTTATTTGTTAAGAGTAATCTCCATATAGCTTTACCTAAAATAGTGATTTAGAGTTTTTGTTTAAATTCCAATATTTAGAGAGCTTAAAATTTTCACACGTGCTATGAAAAGGAAATATATTGCAGCGTGCTTCATCCATTATTGGTAAAAATTATTTCCATGAAGTCAAACTTATGCAAACGAATAATAAAAACAATTAATTATCCTTCTAAGGGTCCTGCTCAAAGCTGAAGTCAAGTTTGATTGGGAGCTGGCTTAGAATAAGATCAGTTCTAATCTGTAGCTGGCTTGCCGTTTGTGAGTGGATTTGCCAAGTAGTGGTCGAGATAGCCTGGTTATCCGTAGTTGTTGCTTTTAAATTGCTGATTTTTAGAGTCTTTGCCAAAGGATAGGTGAAGTCAACAATAATGTTTGGAGAGACAAAGCTAAACTTGTACCCAACTGAGTCTACTCTGCAAGAGTTTCCAGATTGAGAAATTACATCAGCACATGTAAAGCAAATAGGACTAGCATTGCAAGAAGTACATGAGTCACAAGCTAAATAAAAGTTACCTATGCAGCCGCTATTATAGAGAAAAAAGTTTGGATTGCATTGAGTGCATACCTTTTCTGGTGTTCATAATGCACAATTGAGAGGAGAATCTGCATAAAAATTACTTAAGACACAAGTAAGTCCTTCGAGAGCATAATTAGTTTTGCATTGACACTTATTTGCAAGGTCACCATTTGGATTGTTGCAAGATGAGCACATTCCATCATTTGCAGAGCATGTGCAAAGTGCCGGGCATGGGCAAGCTGTTGAGCTCAAGCATCCCACATCGGAGTGACAATAAGTATTGCAAGAAGCTGGACAAGTCGAAGTTGTAGCATCATAAGTAGCATCAGAGATGTCATATAAAGTGACAATAGAAGAATTTATAGTAGCTTTTTTGAAGAATTGAATCTCATAATAGTCTGCATCTATATAATTTCCAATTATAATTTCATCCCCTGGGCCGGTGGTATCAGTTAAACTAATTTTCTTTAAATGAAGCTGCTAAAGAAGAAGACTGTCGTACTTATGGCTGCCTAAGATGCAGAAGTACAGCATTTGGAAATTAAGCGCTAGAGGGACATTTTTTGGATTTGCTGCCCTAACATAAACCTTACCAGAATCTCAGGAAGTGTAGCTGCTAAAAAATTCGATGAAGATTACTTGTCTAAATATGGAATCAAGCGAGATCGGGAGGAGAAAAATAAGCTATACTGGCTCTGATGCTAGTTCTTGAGACGATAGCAAATCCAGGGATATTCTACGATGTAGTAGAAGCTGTCATCAGGATACACAATAGTGATTTTCATCAATGACAAAATTAGGAGAACATATAGGACCAAGGCAAAGTAGCCATAGAAAGAGACAGTCAGAAATTGCAAGTGCCTGTGGGACCCATGGGTATAAACGGAGAGCTGAACTATCAAAAATGCCAAGTGCTAGTGATATTACCAATAGAAGTAGCAATAGAAGAGGCAATTGACTTTCTGAGCAGTCATTGCAAGGTGGTAGAGGTCATAGCGGATAACATAATTAGAGAGAAGGTGAAGCTCTTTACACAGTCCACTTTAATCAGGACTCGAGGCACAAGATTTATGGGGAATTTGCGAGAATGGAGGACGTAAATTAACCAATCAATGGCAAGAGGATCTACTTAGACCATGCGAGGTCCTTTATTATGCTAGTTATGCAAGCAAATAGGGCACAACGATGTTGGACACCAGAGGATAGAGAAAAGAGGCAAGATAGAATAAAGGCGGATTGTCTGAGAAGGGAAAGCAAAGGAGGAAGAGAAGAAGCAGCATAAACTAGTAGCAGACGAGATATTAGGTAGAAGAATGAATATAGAGGAGGATAAAAGCAAACAACTCTACATGCACTGGCGAGCACCTAAAGAGGCTGGACTTAGCTTTCAGCCGATGAGATGAATGAAAAGAAAGGAAAGCAAGGTCTTGACGGCTGCCCACATCAACGCACATGGGATTAGGCAAAAAAAGGGATCAGATAGTGAGATTCCTCAAGGCGATTAATGCAGATTTGCAGGGGATAAGCGAGACGCATTGCCCAGAGGCTGAAATCTTACATAAAATTGAGGATACAAATCTGAAGTGGTACAAGAGATAGACAGGGTTGAAGTATCAAATGCAGGTGAAAGTGCAGAGCAATGCATCACGAACAAGGACGGCTCAATGTTGTGAAACTGAAGCAGATTAAGATAACAGATTGACTTAAATAAGACTCGAATGGGTCGCATGGCTGCTCTTGCAGCTCGATAATATAGATAAATAGGTATCAGTTAAACTAAAAGCGGAGAACTCTGGAGAAATAACTGTCCAAGTCCAAAGGGTTTGAATTTTAACAAAATAAAATACCAAAAATATTCATTTTCCTATCTAAAACATACCTTCGGAAATAGGAACTTCTTTTATTTCATCTGAAGGTGTCTTAAAGGTCAAGATTGTGTGATCCTTAAATGTGGTTGAATAAGGTAGATTTTCTCCATAAGAAGGTCATATTGAAACTGGGTATCCATTGCCTTGCAGGCTCATTCATATACTTACCCCAAGCTCTACTGTGGACGAGGAAATAGCACTTGCAGTTCCATAGATGAGAATAGGTATGAAAACCTTTACAAGTTACATCTGATGTAGCAATTATTTCATGATCTTCTAATGCTCTGAAAGGCATATTGCTATTAGATGATAAGTCTTTGATCTTCCCATCTACTAGATTGTTTGGGGTAAAAACCCATTTTGCAAAAGGAGAATAAGCAGCAATACCAAAGGAAAAACAAAAAATTATAAAGCATGCCTTCAGTCGGGTCGACCTTCCCATTTAATAATTATATCCGTATAAATAAAAATGAATTATCGAAATAAATTTTGAAAAACGGATATAAAAGCGAGTTCTTAGAACTCTAAAAAGGGATTCAAAAAGACTTTTAAAAATTAATAATTTTAAATAAAAGCACGCGTAAGCATATTTTATCGAAAATAGATCTTCAATTTTTTATATTTCGAGTGTAGGTAACTTCTTCGAAAAAACAATAACAAATTATGAATCTATTAAAGAGCACTGAAAAATTAAAAGTCAGTGACTTACCTAAACTAAAAAATAATTTAGTCATTGCTATAAATATGTAATAACTTAATTTTCTTATCCGATATTCATCCGAATTGATAACAAATTGCAATAATTCGATAGAATTTACAAAAATTATATTGATGAAGCCAAGATTTCAGCTTTTAATCGATATTAATGGAATTTTTATCATCTCATATAAAGAAGAGAGTTTTGGGACAATTATTTTTGCTAACAAAAAAGCTTCAGAAATCTTATAAACTCCTTTAAATTTCCTTGTAGGAAATAATTTAGCGAATCTTTATATTTCCTATTATAAGAAGAGCTTGCAAAGGAATTTATATTTGACTGCAATTTAGTTCGAATCCAAATATTGATTTAAAAGAAGGATTTTCTTGAATCTTCCTTCTATTTTATATTAGAGTTTATAAGAAAAGTCTCATAACTTCTGTTAATCATAGTATCGTCAGCATTTTAACTTTCAAGCCAACAAAGCACGAGATCGCAATTTTAACAGAAATTTTTGAAATTTCGTCTTATACAGAAAATTCACAAAAAATAAAGGCGACAGCTTGGTAGGAATCCCTTTGAAAACATTATTTAATGACCTAGTTGCTTTAATAAAACCAGATTTTTCTCAATGTTTCTCAAATGGTCAAGAGGTAATCTAGAATTTACAATATTTAGGTTTACAGTTTTATGCGCTCAAAATAAATAGCTCTTCTATTATTTTATTTAAAATTATTTTAACTATGTGCCCATCTATTGTTGTTCATATCAAGGAATTATTAATATAATCTATCAACAAATATGATTTAGCTAGATAAAAATGAATTAATTCTGAAAATTTGGTATTGAAATGAACTTAAACATATAATTTTTATCAATAAATTGATGGTGCCTAATTCATAATTCTCTAATTGTCTAGCCGATTGCTTCAAGAGCGTAGACCAATCAAGTTTTAAGAAAATAGCAAAATGCATTAGGGTTTTACTTATCGTTTTCAAGCGAAACATTTTTATTTACTCCCCCCCTCCGTGAGTGAACAAAAAAATTTTTGTTCACTCACGGAGGAGGGTTAAATTTTTTTTTTAAAAAATTTATATATATATAAATTTTATAAAAAAATATTTTTTTTCGAAATTTAAAAAAATCCTAATTTGCAAAAATTGGAAAAGCAAATATTTATTTAATTTATAAAATTTATGTTTTAAAATGCAATTCGTTCAAAATTAAACAGAATTAGCACTAGATTTCATTATACTAATTATCATTTATATATCAAAATTTTTTTCCATAAAAGATTTTTGTATTAAAAAAATTTTTTTTTCACTCACGGAGGGTAGGTTTTTGGGGCAAAAAATAGCGATTTTTCTAATGGTTTTGTTCACTCACGGAGGGGGGGGGAGTTAGGGCTTTTTATGAAACTTTTGATAACTCGAAATATAACTAGATTTATTTTCAGAGTTTTCTTAAGCTGGCACCATTTATACTAGCTATAAGCGACTTAGATTTGAGCTTTAATGGGCTAAGCAATGAAATTGATCAGAATTCACAAAGTGTAGTTGATGGCCAAAGTAATTTGATTTCATTTATTATATACTTTTATTTTAGGAAAATTAAATCTTTGATGAAAATAATTCCTATCGTTAATATAATAAATATAGCTTTTCCTGCAATAGTGATTTAGATTTTTTCTTTAAATTTTAATAATAGCAATTTTTAAGAGATTAGAATTTTGGTGCGAGTTAGAAAAGGAAATATATTTTAGCATGCTCATCTATTATTGATAAAAATTAAATTCGAAGTCGAACTTACATCCAATATGGATAAAAAAAATGAGAATTTAATATAAAAATATTGAAAATAATTTTTCTAGATGTTTTTCTCCAAACTTTACGATTTTGTTTTAGAAGACTATGAGATGCTTGTATAAGGTGAAGAAATTTATGTTAAAAAAATCCAATAAATTTATTCTAACTATCGCTTATTTAATATATACATTAATATATATTCATGTATTTCATTAAATAAAATTTTATCAATTATTCGCAAATATAATAGCTAATAGTCTTGGATAAAGTTTTGAGAAAACAAACGAATAATGAAGATAAGTTTTTATAAATTATTAATTATGGGAGTTAAGAAAGAAGAATTAATTATCCTTCTAAGACTCCTGCTCAAAGCTGAATTTAAGCTTGATTGGGAGCTGGCTTAGAATAAGATCAGTTCTAATCTGTAGCTGGCTTGCAGTTTGTGAGTGTATTTGCCAAGTAGTTGTCGCGATAGCCTGGCTATCCTTAGTTGTTGCTTTTAAGTTGCTAATTTTTAGAGTCTTTGCCAAAGGATAGGCGAAGTCAACAATAATGTTTGGAGAGACAAAGCTAAACTTGTACCCAACTGAGTAAACTCTGCAAGAGTTTCCAGATTGAGAAATTACATCAGCACATTTAAAGCAAGTAGGACTAGCATTGCAAGAAGTGCATGAGTCACAAGCTAAATAAAAGTTACCTAAGCAGCTTGTAGAAGAGCCGCTATTATAGAGAAAAAAGTTTGGATCGCATTGAGTGCATACCTTTTCTGCTGTTCATAATGCACAATTGAGAGGAGAATCTGCATAAAAATTACTTAAGACACAAGTAAGTCCTTCGAGAGCATAATTAGTTTTGCATTGACACTTATTTGCAAGGTCACCATTTGGATCGTTGCAAGATGAGCACACTCCATCATTTGCAGAGCATGTGCAAATTGTCGGACACGGGCAAGCTGTTGAGCTCAGCATCCCATTTCGGGGTGACAATAACTGGCGCAAGAGGCTGGACAAGTCGAAGTTGTAGCATCATAAGTAGCATCAGAGATGTCATATAAAGTGACAATAGACGAGTTTATAGTAGCTTTTTTGAAGAATTGAATCTCATAATAGTCTGCATCTATATAATTTCCAATTATAATTGTATTCCCTGGTTCGTAGTCATCAAATAAAGTAACAGTGGAAAACTCTGGAGAAATAACTGTCCAAACCCAAATGGATTGAATTTTAACAAAATAATATACCAAAAATATTCATTTTCCTATCTAAAACATACCTTCGGAAATAGGAACTTCTTCCTTTTGGCCATAAGATAGACTAAAGATCAAGATTTGGTCCTTAAATGTGGCTTGATGAAGTTTCATGGCGTTATAATAGCGTTTTATATAAACTGGATCTCCATTGCCTTGCAAGCTCATTCATATACTTACCCCATACTCTACTGTGGACGAGGGAATAGCACTTGCAGTTCCTCAGTAATCGCTATTGGAAGAAGCGGTATGAAGACCTTTACAAGTTACATCTGATGTAGCAATTATTTTACCATCTCCTGCGAAAGGCTCATTGCTATTAGATGATAAGTCTTTGATCTTCCCATTTACTAGATTGTTTGGGGTAAAAACCCATTTTGCAAGAGGAGAATAAGCAGCAATACCAAAGGAAAAACAAAAAATTATAAAGCATGCCTTCAGTCGGGTCACCTTCCCATTTAATAATTATATCCGTATAAATAAAAATGAATTATCGAAATAAATTTTGAAAAACGGGTATAAAAGCGAGTTCTTAGAACTCTAAAAAGGGATTTGAAAAAGACTTTTAAAAATTAATAATTTTAAATAAAAGCACGCATAAGCCCGTTTTATCGAAAATAGATCTTCAATTTTTTATGTTTCGGTGTAGATAACTTCTTGGAAAACGACAATAAAAATTACGAATCAATTAAAGAGCACTGAAAAATTAAAAGCCAGTGACTTAGCCTAAACTAAAAAATAAGTCAGCCACTGCTATAATAGGGTGGCTTTTTAAGTCAACAATCAATAAGTTTTAGCTCTTAAGTTAAGGCAGCACAAATAGCTTAAATAGAAGCTTAGATCAATTCTTTCGAAAATGTGAATGGATTTAAAAATTATGAATTGAACCATATAAGGCTAAAATGCAAATTACATCCAATCTATAGTCACATAATGATGCTCGATTTTTAATCTTTTATACGCTTACAAAATTATTTGTTGCAATATCGCACCTATCCTTAAACTTGAAAAAATACACAAGTCTAGATTAATTTTAGAAAATTTTTATAAAGATTGTATTTTAATACACTCACAGCATATGGCCTTTAATTAAATTTTTTTTTTCAAATAGCAATATTGAAGTTTGAGCTGCAGGAGTAAGCAAGCCAACTATATTTTATCATTTAAACAAATCTCATTAAGTTGCTTCATTAAAATAGGGCATTTAAATTTTGCAAAGCTTTTGCTATTTTAAATGCTGTAAGCATCTTGAATAATAGATATTTTGAATACAAAAATGTCTAAAATAGAATGGAATATTGGTTCCTTCTTCAATGAAAGGAAACTTTTTAAGCTTTTTTCTTTGATTATTTCGAAGAAAAGTTGAGAATAACTTAAATCTTAATTTTTATTATTATTATTTTCCAAGTCATTATGCTGATTTGATTTATTATTATAGCTCTGAGTATCGGAATAGCTGAATGCTAATTTCGTGATATCAAATTTGCTTATCTCTGGATGTTGATTAAAATAAATAAAAACTTTATTATAATAGCAAATATTAAAGCAAGGAAATATTATTCCGTAAACTATCTCATGATAATTTCAGATTTTTCAATTTTTATTTCTGAAACATAGAAATCATTTTTAGCAGCATAGCATAGCACCTCTCTTTAAGCGTAAAAAGGATTTTTCACGAATTGGGCTAAATCAAACAGACTTTTTAAGAATTTTTGTAATGGTCGTATTTTAATATGCTTCCAAGTTTATGACCTGCAATTGAAATTTACTTTCAAATAGCATTGGGCTAACATTGTTAAAGAGCAGTTGATTGATAATTCAAGAATTTCGAATTTCATCTTTTACAATAAGAAACTTTTACTATTATCCTTTACAACAATCGTTGAGACTATTTTTTATAAATAACCCTTCAAAATATCACCGTCTTTTTCCTCTATTTTTTAATCCTTCTATTGTTTCTTTATAAACAACTCAAATAATTGCTATTTAAATATGACTCAAGTAATTAACTTTTCAGTTGACCAAAGCCAATTGCACTCTCATAGGCCAAAGCACAGGGTTCTTAGAAGTAACCACCACATATCGCTCATTCATAGGGGCACGAGTAGGCTACTCTTCTGTGACTGGAAAAAGAATATTTTCACAAAGCACTTTATATAGGCCAGAAAACCACAATTCTAGCAAATATCCTGTTCCCGTTCAGGTTTTTAAAAAACCCAAAAAGCCTCACACATTGGATTTGCAAAATGAGAATAATTCGAATCTGTCACAACAACATTTATCCAGATCAAAAACTGAAAGAAAATCTCTGGGGAAAATTCACCTATTCATCCTTCTAGGGCTTTTTATGAAACTTTTGATAACTCGAAATATAACTAGATTGATTTTTGGAGTTTTCTTAGGCAGGCACCATTTATACTAGCTATAAGCGACTTAGATTTGAGCTTTAATAGGCTAAGCAATGAAATTGATCAGAATTTACAAAGTGTAGTTGATAGCCAAAGTAATGTGATTATAGGAGTTTTGGGTGGCTTTAATCTGATTTCATTTATTATATACTTTTGATTCTGTTAGGGAAGTATTTTAGGAAAATTAAATCTTTGATGAAAATAATTCCTATCGCTAATATAATAAATATAGCTTTTCCTGCAATAGTGATTTAGATTTTTTCTTTAAATTTTAATAAAAGCAATTTTTAAGAGATTAGAATTTTGGCGCGAGTTAGAAAAGGAAATATATTTTAGCATGCTCATCTATTATTGATAAAAATTAAATTCGAAGTCGAACTTAAGAAAGAAGAATTAATTATCCTTCTAAGACTCCTGCTCAAAGCTGAATTTAAGCTTGATTGGGAGCTGGCTTAGAACAAGATCAGTTCTAATCTGTAGCTGGCTTGCAGTTTGTGAGTGTATTTGCCAAGTAGTGGTCGCGATATCCTGGCTATCAGTTGTTGCTTTTAAGTTGCTAATTTTTAGAGTCTTTGCCAACGGATAGGCGAAGTCAACAATAATGTTTGGAGAGACAAAGCTAAACTTGTACCCAACTGAGTAAACTCTGCAGGAGTTTCCAGATTGAGAAATTACATCAGCACATTTAAAGCAAGTAGGACTAGCATTGCAAGAAGTGCATGAGTCACAAGCTAAATAAAAGTTACCTAAGCAGCTTGTAGAAGAGCCGCTATTATAGAGGAAAAAGTTTGGATTGCATTGAGTGCATACCTTTTCTGCTGTTCATAATGCACAATTGAGAGGAGAATCTGCATAAAAATTACTTAAGACACAAGTAAGTCCTTCGAGAGCATAATTAGTTTTGCATTGACACTTATTTGCAAGGTCACCATTTGGATCGTTACAAGATGAGCACACTCCATCATTTGTAGAGCATGTGCAAAGTGCCGGGCATGGGCAAGTTGTTGAGCTTAAACATCCCATTTCGGGTTGACAATAACTGGCGCAAGAAGCTGGACAAGTCGAAGTTGTAGCATCATAAGTAGCATCAGAGATGTCATATAAAGTGACAATAGACGAGTTTATAGTAGCTTTTTTGAAGACTTGAATCTCATAATAGTCTGCATCTATATTTCAGCCAATTATAATTGTATTCCCTGGGCTGGTGATATCAGTTAAACTAAAAGCGGAAAACTCTGGAGAAATAACTGTCCAAGTCCAAAGGGTTTGAATTTTAATAAAATAAAATACCAAAAATATTCACTTTCCTATCTAAAACATACCTTGAGAAATAGGAACTTCTTTTATTTTATTATAAGGTGTCTTAAAGATCAAAATTTGATCCTTAAATGTGGTTAAATAAGGATATAGTGAAACTGGGATTCCATTGCCTTGCAAGCTCATTCATATACTTACCCCAAGCTCTGCTGTGGACCAGGAAATGGCACTTGCAATTCCTGAGTAGTAACCATTTTGAGAATAGGTATGAAAACCTTTACAAGTTACATCTGATGTAGCAATTATTTCACCAGCTCCTGATGCTCTGAAAGGCATATTGCTATATGATGATAAGTCTTTGATCTTCCCATCTACTAGATTGTTTGGGGTAAAAACCCATTTTGCAAAAGGAGAATAAGCAGCAATACCAAAGGAAAAACAAAAAATTATAAAGCATGCCTTCAGTCGGGTCGACCTTCCCATTTAGTAATTATATCCGTATAAATAAAAATGAATTATCGAAATAAATTTTAAAAAAGGATATAAAAGCCAGCTCTTAGAACTCTAAAAAGGGATTTGAAAAAGACTTTTAAAAATTAATAATTTTAAATAAAAGCACGTGTAAGCACGTTTTATCGAAAATAGATCTTCAATTTTTTATGTTTCGAGTGCAGGTAACTTCTTCGAAAAAGAAAATGAAAATTATAAATCTATTAAAGATCACTGAAAAATTAAAAGTCAGTGACTTAGCCTAAACTAAAAAATAATTTAGTCATTGCTATAAATATGTAATAACTTAATTTTCTTATCCGATAATCTAGCCTCTAAATACCAGTTCAATGAGGGGCATTTTTCTCGCTACCCTAGATTGCTCATACACCTTTGACTCGATTTTAGCTTCAATTAGTTATTTAATAATCCAGAAGCTCTGAAAATTCAAGCGGCCTTGCTATCACCTTATCTACTAGCACCTGTTTGGTCTAATGGTCTTACAGTATCAAGCACAGGAAGAGGTAAAGCACGAAAATGAAAGATGCTAAGTAGTCTTGACTTCATCAGACTATCAGACATAAATTATGTACAAAACTTAGCCCTATAATAAAAGTTGGGTTAGGGAAATTCATGAAGCGGATTCTTCTATAATGCTATAATTTTAATAGTTATTTTAAGTTAAGCTCTTAAGTTAAGGCTGCACAAATAGCTTAAATGGAAGAAATTCTGATAGCAAGCTACGAAATGAGTTAATTTACGAACTTAAGCTTATAATTATAATCCTAATAAAGACTTCAATTTATTCGTAAAGTTTAAATTATTAAGATAAGTCTTAGAAAATTATTTGTAACAGTATCACGCCTATCCTTAAACTTAAAAATATGTACATTTTAATATGCTCCCAGCTTATGGTCTTTGATTAGTTTTTTTCTTCAAATAGCACTATTGAAGTTGAGCTACAGGATTAAGCAAGCCAGTTATACTTATTTTGCTTAAGCTAAACTTATCGCTAGTAGCATGCTCTCTCTTTGGTCTTAAAGGATTTCGAAAATTATTACAAATTTTCGAAATAAACTGGATATGCTAAAAATATATACCTCCAAGCCCACTCTTGTTACGGCCATTTTAGGGTCGCCAAATATGCATTTTAGAGCTCTTGAATTCTTGTAGAAGCCCTTTGACACTTGAAACAAAAAGTCATAAGGCTTTGGTATTAAGTTTTCTCAATATCATAGACAAGTAATTAGAAATCCTTCAAAAATTCCATTTAACTCCAAAATACCTATGAAGATTTTCCCTATAACTTATCGATATTGCTGTTTTCTATTGTAAATAGCTTATCTATATGAAAATTGTGCCCAAACTCTTAATCGGCCTGAAATAATCAACTAATAAGCATGCAATTTTATATGTCAGCTTAGGAATATGAGCAACAGAAAGTGGAGGTGAGACTGTTGGGATTTCTCTTCAAAATCAAATGCCTTACTCATATGCTTTCAGAAATAGTTTAGTTTCAATAAAAGACACCATGCAAAGAATTAAACGTTCGCAATCTGTCATAAGAAATTCCAAATATTCCCACATTTTTTCAAAATATTTTTCGAAAAAGCTGACGATTCGACTTGAGATGAATTGGCAATGGGCTTAATTCAACTGGAGAAATGGCTTTATTTCAAGCTGATTATATTAGATTTATTTTCGGAGTTTCAGCTGGAGCGATTTAATCTATTTATAAACGACTGAAAGTTGAGATTTAATGGGCTAATCATCCAGATTGATCAGTATTCACAAAGTGTGGTTGATGGCCAAATGAATGTGATTATAGGAGTTTTGGATGTTTTTATTGAGAATTCGTTTATTATGCACTTTGAGATTTATTTGCTTTTTTAATTAGAGGAAAAAAGTATTTTAGGAAAATTAATTCTTTGATGCAAATAATTCCATTCCCCAATATAATAAGTATTATAAATATATTTTTCCTATATTAGTGAATTATATTTTTTCTTTAAATATCAATAATAGTAATATTTAGAGAGCTCATAATTTTTAACTCATTATGAAAAAGAAGTATATTGCATCGCACTTCATCTATTATTGCAAAAATTAATTTCCATGAAGTCGATCTTAATTATCCTTCTAAAGATCCTGCTCAAAGCTGAATTTAAGCTTGATTGGGAGCTGGCTTAGAATAAGATCAGTTCTAATCTGTAGCTGGCTTGCAGTTTGTGAGTGGATTTCCCAAGTAGTGGTCGAGATAGCCTGGTTATCAGTAGTTGTTGCTTTTAAGTTGCTGATTTTTAGAGTCTTTGCCAAAGGATAGGCGAAGTCAACAATAATGTTTGGAGAGACAAAGCTAAACTTGTAGCCAACAGAGTCAACTTTACAGGAATTTCCAGCTTGAGAAATTACATCGGTACATTTAAAGCAAGTAGGACTAGCATTGCAAGAAGTGCATGAGTCACAAGCTAAATAAAAGTTACCTAAGCAGCTTGTAGAAGAGCCGCTATTATAGAGAAAAAAGCTTGGATTGCATTGAGTGCATACCTTTTCTGCTGTTCATAATGCACAATTAGGAGGGGATTCTGTATAAAAATTACTTAAGACACATATGTTTCCTTGGAGATCATAACCAGTTTTACACTGACACTTATTTGCAAGGTCACCATTTGGATCATTGCAAGATGAGCACACACCATCATTTGCAGAGCACATGCAAAGTCCCGCGCATGGGCAGGCTGTTGAGCTCAAGCATCCCACATCGGAGTGACAATAAGTATTGCAAGAAACTGGACAAGTCGAAGTTGTAGCATCATAAGTAGCATCAGAGTTGTCATATAAAGTGACAATAGACGAGTCCATAGTAGCTTTTTTGAAGAATTGAATCTCATAATAGTATGTATCTATATAGTTTCCAATCATAATTTTATTCCCTGGGCCGGTAGTATCAGTTAAAGTAACAGTGGAAAACTCTGGAGAAATAACTGTCAAAGTCCAAAGGGATTGAATTTTAACAAAATAAAATACCAAAAATATTCATTTTCCTATCTAAAACATACCTTCGGAAATAGGAACTTCTTTTATACTGTCTGAAGGTGCAAAAAACATCAAAGTTGTGTGATATTTAAATTCGACTCCATAAAGTGACATGTCTGGACCACGAATTGATACATAAACTGGCCTTCCATTATCTTGCAAGCTCATTCATATACTTACCCCAAGCTCTTCTGCGGACGAGGGAATAGCACTAGCAGTTCCTGAGTAATAAGTATCGGAAGAAGCTGTATGAAGTCCTTTGCAAGTTACTGCTGATGTAGCAATTAGTTCACCATTTAATGCGAAAGGCTGATTGTTATTAGATGATAAGTCATTGATCTTCCCATTTACTAGATTGTTTGGGGTAAAAACCCATTTTGCAAAAGGAGAATAAGCAGCAATACCAAAGGAAAAACAAAAAAATATAAAGCATGCCTTCAGTCGGGTCGACCTTCCCATTTAATAATTATATCCGTATAAATAAAAATGAATTATCGAAATAAATTTTGAAAAACGGATATAAAAGCGAGTTCTTAGAACTCTAAAAAGGGATTTGAAAAAGACTTTTAAAAATTAATAATTTTAAATAAAAGTACGCGTAAGCCAATTTTATCGAAAATAGATCTTCAATTTTTTATGTTTCGAGTGTAGGTAACTTCTTCGAAAAAGACAATGAAAATTACGAATCTATTAAAGAGCACTAAAAATCAAAAGCAGTGACTTAGCCTAAACTAAAAATAAGTCAGCACTGCTATAATAGAATGGTATTTTAAATCAACAATCAATAAGTTTTAGCTCTAAGTTAAGGCAGCACAAAACGCTTAAATGGAAATTTAGATCAATAAATTCGAAAAACTTGAAGTAAATAATATTGAGTTGACTTATTTTAACTATCATCTCAATTAAACGCAAAAACTTTCTGAATCAAATCTATTTGTGAATAGTAATCTCCATAAGGTCATTCCGAAATAAATTTGTGAATGGATCTAAAAATTATGAAATGAAGCATAATAAGGCTAAAATGCAAATTATATCCAATCTATAGTCACATAATGATGCTCGATTTTTAATCTTTTATACACTTACAAAATTATTTGTTGCAGTATCGCACCTATCCTTAAACTTGAAAAATATGCAAGGTTGATTAATTTTAGGAAATTTTTATAAAGATTGTATTTTAATACACTCACAGCTTAAGGCCTTTAATTAATTTTTTTTTCAAATAGCAATATTGAGGTTTGAGCTACAGGAGTAAGCAAGCCAATTATACTTTTTTATTTAAACAAATCTCATTCAGTTGCTTTATTAAAATAGGGCATTTAAATTTTGCAAAAGCTTTTGCTATTTTAAGCATCTTGAATAATAGATATTTCGAATACAAAAATGTCTAAAATCGAATGAAATATTTGTTCCTTCTTCAATGAAAGGAAACCTTTAAGCTTACTTCTTTGATTATTTCGAAGAAAAGTTGAGAATAACTTAAATCTTATTTTTTATTATTATTTTCCAAGTCATTATGCTGATTTGATTTATTATTATAGCTCTGAGTATCGAAATAGTTGAATGCTAATTTTGTGACATCAAATTTACTTATCTCTGAATGCTGATTAAAATAAATAAAAACTTATTATAATAGCAAACATTAAAGCAAGGAAATATTATTTTGCCAATTATCTCATGATAATTTCAGATTTTTCAATATTTTATTTCTGAAACATAGAAATCATTTTTAGCAACATAGCATAGCACCTCTCTTTAAGCGTAAAAAGTATTTTTCACGAATTGGGCTAAATCAAACAGACTTTTTAAGAATTTTTGTAATGGTCGTATTTTAATATGCTTCCAAGTTTATGACCTGCAATTGAAATTTACTTTCAAATAGCATTGGGCTAACATTTTTAAAGAGCAGTTGATTGATAATTCAAGAATTTCTAATTTCATCTTTTACAATCAAAAACCTTTACTATTATCATTTACAACAATCGTTGAGACTATTTTTTATAAATAACCCTTCAAAATATCACTTCTTTTCCCTCTATTTTTTAATCCTTCTATTGTTTCTTTATAAACAACTCCAAAAATTGCTATTTAAATATGACTCAAGTAATTAATTTTTCAGTTGACCAAAGCCAATTGCACTTTCATAGGCCAAAGCACAGGGTTCTTACTCCCCCCGCCCCATAGCGAACAAAAAAATTTTTTTCATTCACGTAATTTTTTTTTGAAATTTTTATATAATATTTGTCGTAATTTTTTTTCAAAAATCCAATTTGCAAAAATTGAAAGCAAATATTTATTTAATTTGCAAAAAATTTTTTTAAAATGTAATTTGTTCAAAAGATAATCAAATTTTTTTCATAAAAATTTTTCGTTTGCTAACGAAGGGTGGGTTTTTGGCAAAAATAAGGATTTTCCAATGGTTTTGTTCACTCACGGAGGGGGAGATAGAAGTAACCACCACATATCGCTCATTCACAGGGGCACGAGTAGGCTCCTCTTCTGTGACTGGAAAAAGAATATTTTCACAAAGCACTTTATATAGGCCAGAAAACCACAATTCTAGCAAATATCCTGCTCCCATTCAGGTTTTTAAAAAACCCAAAAAGCCTCACACATTGGATTTGCAAAATGAGAATAATTCAAATCTGTCACAACAACATTTATCCAGATCAAAAACTGAAAGAAAATCTCTGGGGAAAATTCACCTATTCATTCTTCTAACTCCCCCCTCCGTGAGTGAACAAAAAAATTTTGTTCACTGAAGGGAGGGGGTTAATTGTTTTTTTAAAAAAAATTATATATAAATTTTATAAAAAATATTTTTTTTTTCGAAATTTAAAAAAATCCTAATTCGCAAAAATTGGAAAGCAAATATTAATTTAATTTATAAAATTTATGTTTTAAAAAGCAATTTGTTTAAAATTACACAGAATTAGAATTAGATTTCATCTCTTAACCCTAAAATTATTTTAAAAGTAAATAAAAACAAATATATATATATATATATATATATTTAAATTTTTTTAACCCCCATCCTTGATTGAACGATGGCGAGCAGTTCGATCAAGGATGGGGGAGTTAGGGCTTTTTATGAAACTTTTGATAACTCGAAATATAACTAGATTGATTTTTGGAGTTTTCTTAGGCAGGCACCATTTTACTAGCTATAAGCGACTTAGATTTGAGCTTTAATAGGCTAAGCAATGAAATTGGTTAGAATTTACAAAGTGTAGTTGATAGCCAAAGTAATGTGATTATAGGAGTTTTGGGTGGCTTTAATCTGATTTCATTTATTAAGTATTTTAGGAAAATTCCTATCGCTAATATAATAAATATAGCTTTTCTTGCAATAGTGATTTAGATTTTTTCTTTAAATTTTAATAAAAGCAATTTTTAAGAGATTAGAATTTTGGCGCGTTATGAAAAGGAAATATATTTTAGCATGCTCATCTATTATTGATAAAAATTAAATTCGAAGTCGAACTTACATCCAATATGGATAAAAAAAATGAGAATTTAATATAAAAATATTTAAAATAATTTTTCTAGATGTTTTTCTCAAACTTTACGATTTTGTTTTAGAAGACTATGAGATGCTTGTATAAGGTGAAGAAATTTATGTTAAAAAAATCCAATAAATTTATTCTAACTATAGCTTATTTTATATATACATTAATATATATCCATGTATTTCGTTAAATAAAATTTTATCAATGATTCGCAAATATAAATGTTAATAGTCTTGGATAAAGTTTTGAGAAAACAAACGAAGAATGAAGACAAGTTTTTATAAATTATTAATTATGGGAGTTAAGAAAGAAGAATTAATTATCCTTCTAAGACTCCTGCTCAAAGCTGAATTTAAGCTTGATTGGGAGCTGGCTTAGAATAAGATCAGTTCTAATCTGTAGCTGGCTTGCAGTTTGTGAGTGTATTTGCCAAGTAGTGGTCGCGATATCCTGGCTATCAGTTGTTGCTTTTAAGTTGCTAATTTTTAGAGTCTTTGCCAACGGATAGGCGAAGTCAACAATAATGTTTGGAGAGACAAAGCTAAACTTGTACCCAACTGAGTAAACTCTGCAGGAGTTTCCAGATTGAGAAATTACATCAGCACATTTAAAGCAAGTAGGACTAGCATTGCAAGAAGTGCATGAGTCACAAGCTAAATAAAAGTTACCTAAGCAGCTTGTAGAAGAGCCGCTATTATAGAGGAAAAAGCTTGGATTGCATTGAGTGCATACCTTTTCTGCTGTTCATAATGCACAATTGAGAGGAGAATCTGCATAAAAATTACTTAAGACACAACTAAGTCCTTCGAGAGCATAATTAGTTTTGCATTGACACTTATTTGCAAGGTCACCATTTTGATCGTTACAATATGAGCACACTCCATCATTTGCAGAGCATGTGCAAAGTGCCGGACATGGGCAAGGTGTTGAGCTCAAGCATCCCACATCGGAGTGACAATAAGTATTGCAAGAAGCTGAACAAGTCGAAGTTGTAGCATCATAAGTAGCATCAGAGTTGTCATATAAAGTGACAATAGACGAGTTTATAGTAGCTTTTTTGAAGAATTGAATCTCATAATAGTCTGCATCTATATACTTTCCAATTATAATTGTATTCCATGGGTTGTAGGTATCAGTTAAAGTAACAGTGGAAAACTCTGGAGAAATAACTGTCCAAGTCCAAATGGATTGAATTTTCACAAAATAAAAGACTAAAAATATTCATTTTCCTATCTAAAACATACCTTGAGAAATAGGAACTTCTTTTTTTTGGCCATGAGGTGGACTAAAGATCAAGGTTGTGTGATCCTTAAATTCGGTTCGATAAAAAGAAGTAGTATAAATAGAAAATCCTATATCAACTGCGATTCCATTTCCTTGCAAGTTCATTCAAATACTTACCCCATACTCTACTGTGGACGAGTAAATAGCTCTTGCATTTCCTGAGTAAGTAAAATTTTATCAGTAGTGATATGAAGACCTTTACAAGTTACATCTGATGTAGGAATTAGTTTACCACTTCATGTGAAAGGCATATTGCTACTAGTTGATAAATCTTTGATTTTCCCATCTACTAGATTGTTTGGGGTAAAAACCCATTTTGCAAAAGGAGAATAAGCACCAATACCAAAGGAAAGACAAAAAAATATAAAGCATGCCTTCAGTCGGGTCGACCTTCCCATTTAATAATTATATCCGTATAAATAAAAATGAATTATCGAAATAAATTTTAAAAAACGGATATAACTAAAAAGGGATTTGAAAAAGACTTTTAAAAATTAATAATTTTAAATAAAAGCACGCGAAAGCACGGTTAATAGAAAATAGATCTTCAATTTTTTATGTTTCGAGTTAGGTAGTTTCTTCAAAAAAGACAATGAAAATTACGAATCAATTAAAGAGCACTGAAAAATTAAAAGCCAGTGACTTAGCCTAAACTAAAAAAGTAAGTCAATCACTGCTTTTATAGAGTAGCTTTTTAATTCAAACAATTTATAAGTTTTAGCTCTTAAGTTAAGGCAGCACAAATAGCCTAAATAGAAGCTTAGATCAATTCTTTCGAAAAACTAGAAATAATTAATATTGAGTTGACTAATTTTAACTATCATCTCAATTAAACGCAAAAATTTCTGAATAAAATCTATTTATGAATAGTAATCTCCATAAAGGTCATCCTGAAATAAATTTGTGAATGAATTTAAAAATTATGAAATGAAGCATAATAAGGCTAAAATGCAAATTATATCCCATCTATAGTCATATAATGATGCTCGAGTTTTAATCTATTATACGCTTGCAAAATTATTTGCTGCAGCATCGCACTTATCCTTAAACTTGAAAAAATATGCAAGGCTAGATTAATTTAGGAAATTTTTATAAATAGTATATTTTATATATTCACAGCTTAAGGCCTTTAATTAATTTTTTTCTTGAGGTTTGAGCTGCAGAAGCAAGGAAGCCAACTATATTTCTTCATTTAAACAAATCTCATAAAAGTTGCTTTATTAAAATAGGGCATTTAAATTTTGCAAAAGCTTTTTGCTATTTATATGTTGTAAGCATCTTGAATAAATAGATAATTTGAATACAAAAATGTCTAAATATTGGTTCCTTCTTCAATGAAAGGCAATTTTTTAAGCTTCCTTTTTTGATTATTTCGAAGAAAAGTTGAGAATAACTTATATCTTAATTTTTATTATTATTGTCCAAGTCATTATGCTGATTTGATTTATTATTATAGCTATGAGTATCGAAGTTATCCCAATATAAGTGAATGCTAATTTCTTGACATCAAATGTTCGTATTTCTAAATGCTGATTACAATAAATAAAAGCTTTATTGTAATGACAAACGTTAAAGCAAGGAAATATTATTCCGTCAATTATCTCATGATAATTTCAGATTTTTCAATATTTTATTTCTGAAATATAGCATTGAAGATCATTTGTAACATCATAGCACCTCTCGTATAAAGTATTTTTGACTAATTGGGCTAATCTCAAACAGGCTTTTATAAGAATCTTTGTAATTGTCGTATTTTAATATGCTTCCAAGTTTATGACCTGCAATTGAAATTTTTCTTTCAAATAATAGTATTGGGCTAACATTTTTAAAGAGCAGTTGATTGATAATTCAAGAATTTCTAATTTCATCTTTTACAATATTTACAATAATTATTGGGACTATTTTTTATAATTAACCCTTCAAAATATCACTGTCTTTTCCCTCTATTTTTTAATCCTTTATTATTGTTTCTTTATAAACAACTCCAAAAATTGCTATTTAAATATGACTCAAGTAATTAACTTTTCAGTTGACCAAAGCCAATTGCACTCTCCAGGCTCTTTCTTAGGCCAAAGCACAGGGTTCTTACTCCCCCACTCCGTATGCGATCAAAAAAAAAATTGTTCATTCACGTAGGGGGTTAATTTTTTTAAAATATTTTTATATTAGTATTTGCAGTTAAAATGTTTTTCGAAAATTTAAAATTCCAATTTGCAAAAATTGAAAGCAAATATTTATTTAATTGCAAAAAATTTATGTTTTAAAATGTAATTTGTCCAATAAAAAAACCGAATTATGGTGGGTTTTTGGGAAAAAATAGGGATTTTCCAATGGTTTTTTGTTCACTTGCGGAGGGGGGAGATAGAAGTAAGCACCACATATCGCTCATTCATAGGGGCACGAGTAGGCTCCTCTTCTGTGACTGGAAAAAGAATTTTATCACAAAGCGCTTTATATAGACCAGAAAACGACAATTCTAGCAAATATCCTGTTCCCGTTCAGGTTTTTAAAAAACCCAAGAAGCCTCGCAAAACGTTGGATTTGCAAAATGAGGATAATTCGAATCTGTCACAAAAACATTTATCCAGATCAAAAACTGAAAGAAAATCTCTGGGAAAAATTCAGCCAAAGCCACCTATTCATCCTTCTAAAGCAAAATTAGCTAAAGAGACTACCAAGATGAGTAAAACTTTGATTTTAAATAAGCATCTTGTGCAGAGGATTAATATTAATTAATTATTATTGAAAAATGGCGAGGGAGGTCTATTATATGACCTAGACAATAGCCTGAGTACCTTTTCTTCAGGCTTTCCTGACGGGAAAGAGGGGAGTAAAAACCTGGTAATTTTGGCTTGACCAACTCCCCAAGTGACAGAGTCACATTAAATAGGGTTTCTACCATTTGGTGAGTTGGTCAAAACATTATTATTTGGTTTTTCCAATAACAAAGATGCTTGGGCTATAGTGACTATTAATCTCGCTTTAAAAGATAAAATTACTTTGTGCAGAGTAAGTCACAGAAAAAAATGACAGAAAATAAAAAGTCACCTAGCAAATCATTTTCAATCCCAGAAATCAAAATAAGAGAAACTGAAATCAAGCCTGAAATGACAAAAACCACTGAAGACAAAGAACCTCGAAGCGTAATAAGAATTGATGACATTGTCAAAAATACACTGATACAGGAAAAAGTAAAAAAAGTTAAAAAAATCAAGGCTGAGCAAAAGCAGAAAGCAGAAAATGAGCTTCGAAAATTTGAGCAGAAAATCCACAATAATCAAATTCGACAAGAAAATTCAGTGAAATTTAGACAAGAAAAATTTCACCCAAAAATAGCATGGGGTGCAAATGGAAAAAAAATCCTGGGCTTAGATATATTATTTCCTATGTTTTATTAAAGTATATTTAATTATTAAATCTTATTTTATATACAAAAAATTATTTGGAACTTTGAAGCCTTTTCTCAATATACCTAAATAGATTACAATAAAACTGCAAAAAGAAATTGAAGAAGAAAGAAGACACCAACGAGAAATTCGCGCCCGCACAAAATCAGCTGAAAAGGATAGACTTGGGTTAGAAACTCTAGCAGAGCTAAGAATAGAGCTGGGAACTATATCACGAAGCAAAAGTGTCAGCCAAGAAATAATTAAGCCATTTAAAGCCTCCAAAAAATCAGACCCAAAGTTGAAAGCATTTATAAAAGTAAAAAAGCAGTCAAGAAAAGAGTCAAAAGAGCAAGAAATGTTACATCACCAAGCAGAAGAAGCTAAAAGACTTACACAGTTAAAACAGCTAGATATTTTTGCAAAATCACAAATTAATTTGAAAAAGAAAAAAAAGAGAAAATTAAGCAAAAAGAAAAATAATAAAAAAAAGCCGACAAAAACATGGATGGAAGATTCGCCTATAAGTGGGTCTGAAGAGCAGTCTTATCAGCCATTGAGTAGCAGAAGGATGATTAATGAGCGCTCAGATAGTAAAGAGTCGTTTCAGGAGTATTTTATCAGTCCAGCTATAAATAAAGGAAAGGAGGAATTTAAAACGCAAGATATTTTGAAGAAACATATCAAATATACAAATTTAGAAATGCAAAAAATTATTACTATATCAAAATAGAATGAATGATCATATCTCATTCTGTAAATTAATGGAGGCCTTACTCAATTTCTATTTATTTTAATTAAATATAATTATTTTTATAGAAATATTATATCAAGTTTTATTGAAACCAAATTTAGAACAAAATAATCAGAGCGGAAACATTGACTTTCAGGATTCAACAATAAATGACCAAAATCTGTTAGAAAGCTCTTCATCTAATGGGAAAATAATTAACGAATCAAACACATCTATTGAGTTTCGCAAAAATGATATTAAAAAAAGACTTGATGACCTACGATACAGAATTGGAAAAGTCAAAGAAAATCTCCGCGAAGCCTCTCCAAATACTCAAAATCAAGCAGCGACAAAAATCCAAGCAAATATACGCCGATTTCTTACCCAAAAAAGGCTCACAAAGGATTTTGCTGATGAAGACGAAGAAGTCCAGAAAATTTTATCAAAAGACCCATCAAAATTCAAAAAAAATCTTGAAATCCAAATTGAGGAGTCTCCTTATTCTCCATCAGACACCAGCTCAGAAATTCCTCCAGAAAATTTAATGAATATTTTAAGCCCAAAAACAAGTACCACAAATCTAGAAGACCGCTTAATAGAGGGTTAAAATAATTTTTTCAATTTTTTTCAATTTTTTTAATTATTTTTTTAATGTTTTTTTTATTTTAATAGAAGAATTAAAAAACATTGAAGAAATCAAGCATCAAAAAGACGAATTTAAAGACATTTTGAAAGACCAATTAATCTGGCAAGAAAATCAAAAACAAAATTTACAAAAATTAAAAGAAAAAGAATTGAGAGAGCTTAAAGAAGTTACAAAAAAACTAGGCCAAGGAAAAGAGCTAGAAAAAATGTTAGCAGAAATAATAGAAAACCGGTATTTGCATTTGACAAATTTGATAGTAGAAAATATTGCAAATGTCCAAGAAGCATTGACAAAAGAGCAAAATTTAAAGCAAAATGAAGAGCAGAATATGAGGGAATATACCGGGGATAGCTCTAGTGAGGGCAGCTATTTTGAGTCTCAAGGATCTGATAAGTTTATGGAACTATTCAGCAAGAAAATTCAAAAAAATATTGAGTCTGATAGTGATAGCTTAAGACCTGACGAGCTTGAAAAACTTATGAGAGAATTATGCTTTTCAAGGCTCAATAGAGTTATTTTATGATAAATTAATTATTATTTTCTTATTTAATTTGCTATATTATAAATAAAAACAAAAATTTCGAAGAAAGCGAGGATTTATTAAAACTGAAAACAGTCAGAGAAATGAAAAACGCGCCAGAAAATGATGAAGATAAACAATTCAGTGACGCTCCTTCTTATTTAAGCAATATCAGTGCAGAAATTCCCCAAAAAATAAAATCCCCTACCTTTGGCCAAACTGGAACAGAAACTGACGAATGTGACGAAATTATTCAAAAAATTATGAGCAATGAGTCATATAAAAGTAGTGAAAATGAATCATTAAAAAGTGAGGAAAATAAAGAAAGCTTCCAAGAACCAAAAAACAGCTTTGAGTGTATAAGTGAACTGGAGGAGCTTAAAGAAGTTTCCCAGGAGCAGAAAACGAGTTTTTTAAATGAATCTTCAGCGAGCTCAATTAAAAAAAATGAAAGTTTGGTAGAAATTGAGACTATACTGTATTATAATAAATGGTTTTAACTAGAATATTTAGGCACTGAATAGAATTACGAGGCATTAATGCCTTAAAATAGTATAAATCAGACGAAATATACAATAATCATTGATTTTAGGCTTTATTTTTATATAAAAATTAAAAAACCAATTTTAATTAAAATTTAGTAATAAAAGAAACAGACAATGAAATAGGAAATTTATATGATTCTGAAAGTCTTGAAGAAGAAAGCCCTAGGTCCCCACCAAATCCTCCTATGGGTTCTCCACAGGTAAGTGAAGGTCCTTCAATTACATCTTTTGAGCTCCCAAAAAATATCCTCAGCCTCCAGCAAGCTGAAATCTTTATAGAAGAAGGAAAATCCCCAGAAGCCTCCGCCTTTGTAAAACATGATAATGATTCTCTTGACGAGCTTCAAATGCTTACACCAGAGCCATCCTCACAAACTCCAGAGTCTCTTATAGATCGACCTTCAGCTCCATTTTTAAGCAGTGACAGCGAAGACGACAAATCAAAGCCTTTAACCCCTCTTCCTGAGCTAAAACTCGAAGCTTCTGAAGCAAAAATCCATTTGCCTCCTGACCTTTTCCGTGAAATCACGCCTGAGCTTATCTCTATTATATCAGAATCTATTTTACAAATGCTTATAAGTGAAGACATAATCCCAAAACCATCCTTCCCAGAAGATCCAAATTTAAAAGAAGAGGTCAAACCTGAGCCAAGTTTATATTCAGGGCCAGCCATTCAAACTGACCATTTATCAGTCCAAAAATACGTTGACGAAATTTTTGACCTTGCTTTAAAAAATATTGATGATTTTCTTATAAATTTGAAAAAACCATTAAAAAGAAACGCATTAGAAGTATTATCAAGAATGCAGGCAGCAAAAATAGGGACTCCTATAGAAACTGAATTTGTAATGCCGCCAGCTGTATTAAATGTAAATTATTATCTTAATTTGGAGCACCCACGTGAAGCAGCTCATTCACAAAGATGTTTGAGTCCGAATACTATACAGATGATATCAGAATGTGAGCATATCCATAATAAGATGATTTTTGATGCTACAAATGAAGCATTGCAAAAATATAAGCCTTACTATAGGAATTATAAACAAATTTATAGCTTAATTTTCTATATTTTTATTTTTTTTAAAGTTTATATGCTAATTTGCATAAAAAAATCATAAATCTTATTAGCAGTATTCTATTTTTTATAAAAAATAATACCATTATAGTCATTTATTTCCCAATTTTTCCTTCACAGCTATAATCTCTTTCAATCATTATAGGCCATATGGTCTTAAAGGCGTTCCTCTTCCTTGGAGCACTTCAAGTCGCCAGCTCGTAAATCTACACAAAAACCCTAGTATCATGATTTCAGAAATAAAAACACTCATCGAAAAATGAAGCCTCGTCCAAGCTGGAAAAGTGCCAACTCAAGACATGGTCCTCACAGGCGGGAATTTCGACGAAGAATATGTCCAACAAATGAGAGAAGAAAGACTAGCAAGTATGCTGGCTGACGATATAATAGAAAAAGACAATATCTGGGTAGAGTACGAATTTGAAGAAGTACAAGTAAAACTTGACCTGGCTGATATGGTGCTAGAAGACCTCGTGATAGAGACAGTTAATATTCTTGACCAGGATAATTAAAATATATTAAATTATGATGCAGTGCCCGAATAAGTAAAATTTGAAAAATTCTGAGCTGTCGAATGAGGCGTAGACTCTGTCACCTTAAAATTTGGCTCTAGATTTACCATTTTTGATATAGAAATTGCTTTAGAAATGGGGTCGTAAGGTGGCTTAATGCGTTTAGTCCACATAGCGTCCCAACTGGTGTCGCTGAAAAATTGGTGACATTTAATTTGGTTTATAGTAAGTCGCTGCGAAGGGTTTTTTTCGAGGCAGCCAGAAATTAAAGCTTTAAAATCAGCTGAAAACCCTTCAGGGAATTTTAAGTCATCATGAATAGCTTTTCTGTACATTGTATTGTCGTTGATATCGTAAAACGGTGTTTGGCCTGTCGCGAGTTCATATAGTAAAATTCCAAGGCTCCAGATATCGACTGATAGACCATATTCGTCACCAGTTATAACTTCAGGCGCCAGATATTCACTTGTCCCACAAAATGTGGCTGCTCCGGAGAACTGCTTCATAAATTGCTTTGCTAAGCCAAAGTCAATTAATGCTATATGCCCAAAGGCATCAAATAATATATTTTCAGGCTTTATGTCACGATATACAATTCCACGCTCATGTAGTGACTGAAGGCCTAGCACAATTTCAGCAGCGTAAAATTTAATTCATTCCTCAGGGAACCTTTTCATTTCCTTTAGATGGCAAAATAATTCTCCACCTTTGTAGTACTCTAATACCAGAAAAAGGTGGGATTTCGATTGAAATGCGTACCTTAAAGGAGATATGAAAGGGCTTTTGACTGTCCCAAGGATTTTTCTTTCAGTTTTTATATGAGAGATTTTATTTTCTTCATGAATTTTTGATTTTTTCATAATTTTCATTGCATAGGTTTTGTCATCTAGAACACATCGGACTACATAGACTTTTCCGTAATAGCCAGAGCCTATAAAGCGGGTAACTTGGAAGTCGTCTAAAGTTATTTTGGGGAGAGGGTTTTTGACTGAGCTACTTTTTTTGAAACTTTTTGATTTTACTGCTTTAGACTTCGCACTTCCCATATTAATTTTATTTTTGGTGTTTAAAAATGTAATTTGTGTGAATGCAAAACGAATATGTGATTATTTTGCAGATTTAGCAGAAATTTTAGATTATAGGAAGAAGGCAAGTTTATTTTTGCGGATGCTGTGAAGAGATCGGAGTCTTATAATTATATGGGCATTAACTGAATAGAGCAAGAAAAAAAAAATATTTAGGAAAAATATGCCATTTAGCTGCCAATCTTGCTGAGTTTCAAGCTTTTGCTTGATATTGACTGCAATTACTAGATTACTATGTTGGACTTCCTAGGATGGTCGATGTACGGAAATGCTGTCTTTTTCATGTTGGGCGGTTTTCTGAGATTTCCTTCGCCTTAGCTAGCACATGCAATGATAAAGCTATATATACATAAATCTAATTCAGAGGCATATTCTCTAATATCAATATTAAGAGAATAATTAATAGCAAGGCATTTTTATTAAAAAGCCACAAGTTAATTAGTCATATGATGAAGGTTATTTTGATTCTTCTTCAGTTATACAAATTTTCCACGTTAAGTAGAGAGCATTAGATAGTGCATTCCTTTCTCTTAGCAATATCAATAGCAGGTTCACCACAAAATCTTGCCTCTAAAAGTTATCTGCAAGCTCAATAGTATCAGCCAATCAGTATAGCTGCATCAAATCTGCGATTATTCCGACTAGCTTTATTTTAGAGTTTAATGGCTTCATTTGTACCTTGTCTCTCGCTTTTAGCACATCACAGAGTAGCATCTTCTTTGTTCTCATTTTCTGACAGACTGACTATTTTTCTCTTGGTCTCTTCCCTATTTGCTGCAAAGCCTCTTAATCCCCTCCCTTTAAATTGGTACTAATGTAGGCTTTAGGAAATTTAATTTGGAACAATTTTTTTTACATAGGAAAATTTTTATAGGTAAAAATACTAGTTTTATAAAATTAACTTTGACTTAATTAAATTGAAGAAGCGTATGTAGAAAATTATTTAAACAGTTTCACACTGAATTAATATTTTTTGAATTTTTCTTCATAAAATAAATTAAAATCCGTTCAATGTGTTTTATTTCAAATTTAGATTAAAGCGAAAAGTATTTTTCCAATTTAAAAGGGGGAGTTAGACAATTATGAAACTTTTCCTTTGGGCTAAGTTTCTCATTAGAAACTGCTTTTACTTTATGAGAAGCGACTGGAGCTAAGTCTTTTAAACTAAAAAAGTCGGGTAAGCATAAAAATATGAATTGTTGGTATTTTCATGAAATTTCTTGTCCTGCATAAATATATTATTAGGCTTTCTTATAGCACAATAGATATTTCTTTTCATCATTTAAATAGCTTTTAAGATAAGATTAACTGCAATTTCGATTAAATATTATATTTTTATAGAAATTTTAAAGTAATTAAATTATTGCTTTAAACAAATATTAGCATTTTTCTTTATGTGCATGAGTTTTTTCATGAGTTTCCTGCACCTTATACCTGTAATGATGATTCTGAGCCATAATTATTTCAATATCACTATCTTGTTGCACTATCTATTCATCATCTTCTTATAGTCAAATCATCTTTGGCACTTATCTCCTTCTTTTTCACAAAAAATAATCATATTTCTCAAACAGCCAAATTATTTTAATTTTCTACCCAATAATTTTCTTTACTTTCTCTATACAAAATTTCTTAATTAATTCTTTCATAATTGATATTTCGCCAGAATAAAATTTCCAAAATATGAATTTGAATCTTCTCGACAACATCTCTCAAAACTCTCTTTTCTACCAGTTCACAGAGCGAAAAAAAGAATGTGAAAGCATAATCAATCTTTTCCAAGAAATTTCGAATCTTCAGAATACATATTCTTACAATCTAGAAAATATTATAAATCAGGTTGCTTTCGGTCAGCTGTCAGGATCCTTAAATGAGGCTTGGGCAGCTATGAATAAATATTTTCTGAATAAAGCGCATCAGTCCCAGCAATTTGCTGAGAATTTAGATTCAGATGTGATCCCACCCTTGCAGATGATGCTGAAAAATTACAATTATTCATTAAAGAAACTTTATGGAGATTGTAATAAAATTTCCAAAGAAAAACAAAGGCAGCTGGAAGAGGCAGAAAATTCTATAAGATTTTGGGTCTAATAAATAAAATTATTATCAAAAATTATTTATTTTTTATTAAAATTAAGAAAAATTAAGGTTTTTTTATGCAAAAATATATAGGATATCGTATAAAGTAAAATATTGAAAAACCTGCTCGAATTGTGAACAAATTTTATTAAAATTAGACCCAAATAATGACCAAAGCAAAATAATCTCAAATAAAAGCAAAAAAGAAGTAGAAAAACAGCTAAAACTTTATATAGATGCAATAGAAAATTATAATAATCTGACTACAGCTTGTTATGAAGCTTCCTCAAAATTCGCAAAAGAGCTTCAAATCGAAAACTCAAATCTTTTTGACTCCTGCAAAGACTCTCTTACCAAATTTATCGTATACGAAACTTCTGCATTAAGAAACCTTCAATATGATATTGAGACTTTTTCCCAAATAATTCAAAACCTCGAGCTAAAAGAAAATTTAGATTTGCTAACGATTGACAGTTCCAGCGAAAACTCCCAAGAACTTTCTTATGAGCCTTATGCAGGATCCCACCCATTTTTCAAAAGCCTTGCCACAAAAGAAAAAATCACAAGCAATTTTCATATTGAAGGCTTAGGAAAAATAGGCAGCTTATATAAGCGAGATTTAGATAAAATTTTAAATAGAGCGTACCAAGGAATCAAATTAAATGCAGAGGACTATCAACAATTTAATTGTATAATAAAAGAAAACGTTGGGAGAAAATGCTGATGTCTATGCATGAATGGGTATAAAAATAAAGGCAGCTTTGTGCTGACAGAAGATGGATTTTTATTAGTGACTGAACTTTTAAGCTCTTTTTTGAATGAATGTGAAAGAGATGGGGATTTATTATCAATAAAAGAGTGCTTAACATTTTTACAGTCTTTTTATAAAGAAAATAGTGATGGGAAGGTATTTTTGAAGGAAAATCTGTGCAGCCACCCAATATGAGAAAATTTGGAATTATGGAGTTCCTTGATACAGTTTTCGATAGAAAACGAAATGAAGGATTGTCAAAAGTATATAAAAAAAGAAAAAGATACAAGTTTGCATATAGAAAATGTGGCATTTTGTCAGCTTGGGTCGTTTTGTGACACTATGCAAGCTTTTCATATGTATCTAATTACAATGAATAAAAGCATTCTTGCTGATTATCCTATTTAATATTTTGGAAATAATCAGAATGCTTATATTCGCTGCTTTTATGCATATAAATTTTTTGTAAATTTAGGGTGGCTTGATAAAAGAAAAAATAATTTATCTTTAAAAAATATTAATATTGGGATATCTATTAAAAATTTTTATATATATATAATTAAGATAAAATTTTCCAGAATTAAAAGGCTTATTATGAGACTTTCAAAAAAATACAAAATCCCAACCAAAGATTTGCAAATTTTATTAGCAAATATTGACCCTGAAATAGATGTAACACAAAGTCTTGAGCATGAAAAAACCCAAGAAGTTTTTAGAGGGGTTCCAATATGGCTAAAAGTAATAGAAGGAGCAGCTACAGCATTAAGTAAGCGAAGCACAAATAAGAATCCTAAAGGTCCTCTAAAGCTTTCTCCGCCACGTTTAGACCGTACTGGTGAGTCAAAAACTCCTGATGTTTTCAATTTTGAAGATAGAAGATCTTTATAATTATTGTTTATGTTTTCTTCTATGATTTAAAAAGAATTAAATTCAATTTTAAATGTTTTACAAAATATATCAGCTGTAATTATGACAATTTAATAAATAGCTAACTCCCCTTTAAATATTATAAATGTCTGCTCCAATTTAAAGGAAAGTAATTTTTTTAATAAAAATAACCTATAATTTTTTATAATTGAGTCAATTCTCTCAATTAAATTAAAATAAAAATTCTTTTCTAATTAAAGAGAAAAAAAAATAAAAAAAACTAACGTAAATGTATTTTTTAAGTTTTAATTTAATTTTTATTAAAAATTTATTAATAAAATTAATCATCTTATTGTTACAGCTGTTAAATGCATTCTAATATTACTCTCTCCATTAAATTTGATCGAAGATATTTTTATATCAAAATAAAATTCTCATCTTAAAATTTTTTATTGAAAACATTAAAATTTTGTACAATTTAAACTGGAAATTTTATCAATATTTTATTATAGCGCCTTGCTATAATTGTGGGAGGCTACTGGCATGTGGAGAATTTTCCCTAAAAGCCTCCCACAATAATAGCAAGGCATAATACAATTTAAAGGTGGGGAAAATAATTTGAGCTTTCTATAATGCAAATAGCTATTTTTTAATATATTATACTGTTATCACTTTTCTCGTTTAAAATGGCACATAGTAACTGGTTTTCTTATGGTAACATTTTTATTTAGGCTTAAGAAGAAATACTTTTAAGACTAGATATTCTCTTGTGATGAAGAATTCCGTATTTTCTATTAATAATACTTATAATTTGTCTGGCAGTGTCATTAATCTTTCCAATTGCTCATGCTTTGCTTTTTTCTGGATATAGGAGCTACTAGAAAAGAAAGTTTTGATAAGAATCTCAATTGGAAAAATGCTTATCTAAAAGTTGATTCTTCTTTCATTACAGTATTTGCCATTGCTTACGAATTCCATATTTTTTGAGTTTGATTGAAAAATTGATTTTAATTTTGATTTGAAAATTTATTTCATCTTGGATTCTGTATTTTTCTAGATATCATTTGTTTGCTATCTAAAATATTTATATTATTCGAGGATAATTTCCGTCAAATCAAATAAATTTAAATCACTATTTAGAATAGTTTTTTTCTCTGTGTTTTAAGAGGTAGTAATTGTTTTTTCTTATTTATTGCTTTATTTGTATGTTTTATCAAGAAATAGTTATTTATAGGTAAAGACCAGTCAACAAAAATATTGGTACGTCGAACTATTACTCCTGAAATGTATTTCAAAGTAAAATATTTTTTTAAAATTTTAAGTCACCAAAACAATATTTCTCCTGTGTTAGATTTCTGTAATGTTTTTGTCTTACAAGAAAACAAGATCTTCAAATTTATTAGCTGTTTGCTGTCAGCTGTTTGCTAAAAATATCCAATAATAACACAATGAAAAACATCTTCTGGTATTTCTTTCTTTTTCTTAAACGAGAAACATGAGCAAATTATTTTCTAGTTAGAAAGATCCAAGGATTGTGCTAGAATTCAATTGTTTTTAGCTATTTAAGTTCAGGCTTCAAGAAAAGATGCTATGCTTGACTAATACAATAATTGTTATATTTTGTTTTAAATGTTTATAATTTCCGTTAAATTTTAATAGCAAAATTTTTATATTTTTATAAAATTAGAAATTTTCTTATAATTTATTGATATTTAGCTCCAATGTAGCTGCATTGTTAATAACAGGGTTTTTAGTCAATGTATATTTTATACTTCCTTAAATATTTATTATAAGCTGCTTGAATTTCTTTATTGACTATGAGCCAAAATAAGCTTCACTGTTAAATTCAATTTTTCGAATACATAACTTGAATAAATCGATTTGGAATCTTTCTAGTGGTTTGGCAGAGACTATTCTTGCTTGTACAGGGATTTTTTTAGTCTTCCCATTTCAGCTGTGCAAACTATGTATTTTTGAACAATTTCTGCACTCTTCAAATATGACAGATCATCATATATTCTTTTCTATATAATCCACTGTTGCTTCTCTCGTGCAGAAATATGATTAAATGTGCTGTTTATACTAAAAATGCCCTTTTTACTAATGCAGTATATATAATTTTCTGAAATATAGGCTCAATTTTAGTATATTTAGGAAACATATATAGACATAAAGAATGTGTATCATCATTGAGTAATTATTATCAATAAGAGCATCATAATGATTGCTGTGCGGTTATTGTAAAGTTTCTATTCTTTGATTTTTTGCTACTCAAGTGTTATTCTAATCTTTAAATGAAATATAAGCATTCTCTCCTTGATAGCTACTAAAATAAGGTTCACTCCTTCAATCAAAAAATAAATCAGAAATTCTAAAACAAGAATTCAATCACAGTGGATTTTTGGTTTCAAACAAGAAAAATAGAAAAAAATCTAATCGAAATAATTATTTCTAATGCATCAAGCTAAGAATATTTAAACCATAAGCACCTTGATGCTGATAAATTAGATAAAGATAATCATCTATTTTTCATTAATAAATATGATATATAAAACCAGTTATTATAAAAGAAAAGCTGCAATAAGTCAAAGCCAAATTAATTTACTTTTAGCTCAAAAATTAAGCAAATCTCTTCCAAGGTTAAAAATCTTTATTCTATAAAAGAAAGGGTGTTAGGGTGTTAGGGTGTTAGGGTGTTAGGGTGTTAGGGTGTTAGGGTGTTAGGGTGTTAGGGTGTTAGGGTGTTAGGGTGTTAGGGGTGTTAGGGTGTTAGGGTGTTAGGGTGTTAGGGTGTTAGGGTGTTAGGGTGTTAGGGTGTTAGGGTGTTAGGGTGTTAGGGTGTTAGGGTGTTAGGGTGTTAGGGTGTTAGGGTGTTAGGGTGTTAGGGTGTTAGGGTGTTAGGGTGTTAGGGTGTTAGGGTGTTAGGGTGTTAGGGTGTTAGGGTGTTAGGGTGTTAGGGTGTTAGGGTGTTAGGGTGTTAGGGTGTTAGGGTGTTAGGGTGTTAGGGTGTTAGGGTGTTAGGGTGTTAGGGTGTTAGGGTGTTAGGGTGTTAGGGTGTTAGGGTGTTAGGGTGTTAGGGTGTTAGGGTGTTAGGGTGTTAGGGTGTTAGGGTGTTAGGGTGTTAGGGTGTTAGGGTGTTAGGGTGTTAGGGTGTTAGGGTGTTAGGGTGTTAGGGTGTTAGGGTGTTAGGGTGTTAGGGTGTTAGGGTGTTAGGGTGTTA